GTTTCCAGTACCCTTCATTTAGTGGCTATGTAGTGGCCATACATCCTACTAAATTTAGGGGGCAGTGGGAACCTTCATGGAATATCAGGGTTGCTCTTGTTCCTACTTTGAGTACTTGGGCGCCAGTTGCTGCAGCTTCCCCGACCCGCATCACCCGGGACTGGCTTGCACGTCGCTGAATCTGAACACAAAACGTGCCCAACACTTTGGCTAGGTCCTCCAGTGACTCCAGTAGAGAGGTTAGAATAAGGGTACCCTATTTTCTGTACTCTATTTTCGGAGGGGAACCCTCCCCCCCAACAAAAGTAAAAGGGCACTACTGGGGCACCTAGCGCCAAAAACACTATGCCAAGACGCTGTTTCGCATTCGGTCCACCCGAACAATACCGCCATCCACGCAAAAACCATCCGCGCGCCCGGGCTCCTCCTCGTAGGTTTCCTCGATCTCCACGTCGTCCGCGATGTCTGCCAGGCGCAAGGACTCGCCGCCCGGGCCGATCTTCTTTGGCCTGAGGCCATGGGATCGGGGCCAGGCTCGATCCCGAAACCGCGCCTGAAAGCTCGAAGCGCGGCCCATCGCATCCCCTTGTTGGGGCTTCCTTCAGGGCAAAACCATTCCCAGTGCCCCCAGGTACCACCATAGTATGATAGGGTGCTAAGGGGGAGGGGTCAGGGAGGGAGGGGTCAAATTGAGCAAATCACGGTGTTTTGCCCCTTAGCACCCTATCATAGTAGGCAACCAAAGAACCATGATGCCAAATCCAGAGGTGATGCAAATCGCGTTTTTCCTCACCCGCTGCGCTCGCTTATCTGTCCGCATTGAGGCAGAGAGACAGGGTGCCCGGACAAATTGCCCTTTCCCCTAGTGGTTGCCTTGTCTTTTTTCAAACTAACAATCACCTCCATTTGCCTGAGGCCCCCGGAAAAAAAGAAGAAACAACAAAAATGCAATAGTGATGAAGAGGGGGGGGTATTCCCTCCAAAAGCGGTCCGAATCCCCACTAAAAACAAGGACACTTTTGATCAACATCAACCAGTCAAGCAGGGATTCCTGCTTAGTCCGAGGATCCCATTCTCAGCTTCCTCCTAATTCATTGGTTTGGCCGCGTTTCGGGAGTGGCTAACCTCCCCCCCAAAAAAAGAGCTTAAGAACCAGGGCTTCCGGCGAAAAATCCGGGGGAACCAAAAAAAGCACCTGAAGGTTCCTGCAAAAAAACTTCCGGGGGAAAAAAGGGGCGGAACCAACAACACGCTTCATCCAAGCGGCGACTTCACCCGGCTGGTGGTGTGGGTGTGCGAGTGCCTTGGACAATTCGAGCAGAACTTGTCAGTTGCAACGGGCTGACCCCCGAAACACAACGACGCTGCCTGCGCAAATGGGATGCCCCCCCACCAATCAACATGAAGCCTGACAGCAGGGATCGAAGATGTCCAAACCAATCCATAATCCTTATGCCAGATGGTGGTTTCCCTTGTTGCGGTGGCACTGTGGATGAGAATTGGGGGATGCCCCCCCCAAGTTGAACGCAGCGGGCAAGAATGCGACGGTATCGGTTTTGGGACTGCCCACCGTTGTTTGGCAGTTCCCTGTCATGTTCTGGCGATATTACTGTCGTTTTTTTAGGGGGGCTCAACCACATTGAGCATGTTGACGCCCCTCTAATGATAAAACAAGTGCTCCTCCCCCTGTGCCCTGCAGGCCCGCTGGGATTTTGAGAAAGTACATTTTTGTTCTGGAGGGACCTTGATTCTTGTGGAGATTCTTGCGAAGAAAAGATACCCTCCCACGAATTGACATGGAACCTGAACAGGGGGTTCCTTGAAAAGGAAAATGGCCTCAATGGGATTGGGGGGGCGGGGGCGTTTGTCTAGTCCTGCCCATACCAAAACGTGTGATGCCTCCAGAATCGAAATCCATCCTCCCCCCAAGCGAACCATATTGAAGGGGCCCGGTGGGGATGTTTTGACTTCATGGCCCATTCGGAATGGGCATAACTATCTCTAAACACAGGGCCTAAAACTGTCCAGTGCGACATGTCCGCGGCAAAATGACGGTGGAATCGCTCAACGGCAGGACGAGAAAAGGCGCAGGCTTTGCAAAACAAACCAATTTCTCGCCTTCCCTTAGCAAGGCAGGTGTTGCAGAACAGCCCTCCAGGCAACTTCACCCACCCAGAACCATCCAACAACCAACATCTGCTAAATTGCACGAGCCCCCTGCGGGAAGGGATGAATAAGTGTTTTCAATACGTTGGGCAGAAAGAAGTAACACCTGCAACCCTAGATTAAAAAATTGTAGTAAAACACTTATCCATCCCTTCTCGCAGGGGCTCGACTCAGATATTGCCCCCAGCCAGCACTCTTTTTCTGCAAATTTCCAGGTTGATGTGCTTCTCGTATCAAAACTGCACACTACCGTTTCGAATTGAACATCTGGCTGATGTTGCCAGACGGGGGCTCTTTTCTTCCATTTGTTCGCATGGGAATTTGAATGTTGTAGACTCGACAACATTTCTCGTCGATTCAACACCATTTCCCGTGTCGCCCACTCGACAACATTTCTCGTCGGTTCGACAACATTTCCGGAAATGTTGTCGGGTCGACAACTCTTTTCCTTTTCCTGTGGAAATTTGAAATGTCGTCAACTCGACAACATTTCTCGCCGGCTCGACAACATTTCCGAAGATTTCGTCGACTCGACAACATTTCTCGTCGATTTGACCTTTCCTTTTCCTGTGGAACATTGAAAATGTCGTCGACTCGACAACATTAACAACTTTTTGAACTTTTCCCGTGAAAGTTGAAAATGACGTCGACTCGGCAACATTTCTAGTCGATTCGACAATTCCGGAAACTTAGTCGACTCGCCAACATTTCTTGTCGGTTCGACAACTTGTCCTTTTTTCCCAAGAGGAAACAAAATGTCGTCGACTCGACAACATTTCTCGTCGATTCGACAACATTTCCGGAATTTTCGTCGACTCGACAACATTTCTCCAAGATTCGACCACATTTCTCGACTCGATGCAATTCTCGTCGATTCGACAACATTTTCGGAAATGTTGTCGAATCGACAACATATCTCGTCGATTCGACAACATTTCTGGAAAGGTTCGCCGGTTGGTGTTTTTTCCAGAAAAAACTGTGAAAACACTTATTTTTAAGGCACAAATGACAAGAAAACACTTATTTTTATGCCCCCAACTCCGTGAAAACACTTATTGAAAAATGCTGCGCAAAAATGTTGTCAACTCGACAACATATCTCGTCGAATCGACAACATTTCCAGAAATGTTGTCGAATCGACGAGATATGTTGTCGAGTCGACGAGGTTTCCGGAAATGTTGTCGAGTCGACGAGAAATGTTGTCGAGTCGACGACATTTTAAAATTTCACGCCAAAAAGGAAAAAGTTGTCGAGTCGAGCAGGTTTCTAGAAATGTTGTCGAATCGACGAGGAGCGAGTCGAGAACATTTTCAATTTTCATGGGAAAAAGGAACAAGTTGCCGAATCGACGAGAAATGTTGTCGAGCCGAAGAAATTTCAGGAAATGTTGTCGAATCGACGAGAAATGTTGTCGAGTCGACGAAATCTTCGGGAATGTTGTCGAATCTTCGCGGCCGCCTTTGTAAGGCAGTGAGCGCCTCCATGCCATCCGCTGTTGCTAGTAATGCTTGAGTTCGCGCTTCTGCTTGTGAACGCTTGTTGCTTGAGCTGTGCTCCGTGCATGAGGGCATGCCCAGACTCTTGTGAATGATGCTTCCGCAACGCAGTTGCATTTCCAACTGCGACCATGAGACTCACTGATTCCTCCAAGGCAAACTGCAACAGAAAGAAGATGCCACATGACACATGATGCCACCAAGCTAAATCCTCAATGAGTTGCATGGTCCTTGGTTGATCCGGAAAAGGCTCTTCGAGCTTTTGGAATCTTATTGAACCTGCAAATTGCAAAAGGTCAGATTATCAGCAAGTAACACCCCATTCAGGTTGGAAGAAAACCGATATCGTCCATCAGATCTGTCGCCTCCAACGTTTCAACAGGGGGAAACCTGGTTGCCTTGAGGAAGTGTTCAAACCAGTCCGCGAGTCGTGTGAAACACTTCTTGATTTGGAATAGGCCCCCCCCCTGAGCTCGTGCAATTTAGCACCAACATCAGCCAAACAACAAAGGGGGACAAAGAGCAGCAAACAACAACAACAAAACCAGGCGCCGCCCCCGGGCAGCATCCCCCAAATCATAACAAAGCTGGGGTGGGCAAGTCTCAACAGCATCTATAACCAATCAAACACCAAAGCAAAAACAATGCCCCCTCGAAGAATGAACTTTTCAGCCCAGCGGCGTATGTGAATGCGAGTGGGTCGTGGTATGGGAATGCGTGTGCTTGGTCACGACCTCAGCGATCACAGTTTCGAAAGCACTACTTAGAGCCGCCTCTCTTGACCCAAACTAATCCACCCGTCCTGTTAAGTGCCACCCTTGAGTTGACCTTCAGCAAACGATGCGAAGCAAGCGACACGCAATTAGGCGATCCGCTTCGCTGTCCGACATCTCTCCTCCGAATTCCCAAGCCAAAGTTGAAATCCCAGGGCTCACTTGGCCTAGCGAAACACTTCCCCACCAAACTTTGGAGCAAAGCGATTTACACTTTGTCAAACTTGTGGTGTGGCCGTCCTTTTGAGGCTCCGGACAACCCTGCTTCATTTTCCGTTGCAGATGCACGCCTTGCAGGACTTCGTTTTTGCAGCTCTGCCTCTCGCGCGCTGGCCTTGCTGTATCCAGGATCGGCCAAAGCCCAGGAAATGAAGCGGCACCCATGACGATTGCAGAACCAAAGCCGCCACTTGGGACCCATGCGGGCCATGGGTAAGTACCGTGTCCTCACACTCCTGGTAGCTCCTTAGCCCGATACCTCCAGCTCCTTAGCTCCCTTCCAACCAGCTACGGATGAGCATATTTTGCGTTGCAACTGTGGAAATGGGGATCGGATCAGCCCATTTCAGACACTTCCGGGCAGCGCTTTGGCTGCCAACAAATCCTGAATCTCAGAGTTCTGCTCGAGGTCCCGCATCAAGGCCTCCGAATCCGATATATCCGCTTCAGCGCTCGGTCGCGACCGGCAACCCGGCCAGTGAGCGTGTGGGAATTGTGCGCTTTCGCTCCATTTGCTCAAGTCCCCTGAAAGAAAAATGAGGGCGGGTTTCCTTGTGGGTTACCTGAAATAATAGCATGATCGAGGCTGTGGGGACTTCCCCATCCCGCTGCAGACCGGCCCTGAATGCAAGTGCAAGGGAGCTTGACTTGGCCATACCCAAGCAAACCACATAGGCAATACATACTGTGGATGGACGCAGTCCTTCTCGCACCACCTAAACAGCCCAGCAATGATGATTCCCCTATGAATACCAGCAAATCATGGTTTTCCATGGTTTCAAAGTGGTGCAGGATTTCGTCCATCCACAGTACCAACCTAAGTGACCCATTTTGAGGGTAAATGTGGGGTAAGTATTGTTGTGTGACCATAGGTGTGGGATTCTGGAATCTGTCGGTTTCCTTTTGGGCTCCCCTTTTAAACACAGATCCACAGATGGGGGCCCCCTATTGTTGGAAGAATGAAACACCATCGCCCCTTTCGCCTAAGCACACGCAATTTTGGAGGTTCTCCATGTTGAAGTCCTTAGTCCAACCGAGGGTTACCTGCTATAGCTTCTGTTTGGAAGCGCCAGGTATAGTCTAACTTGCCCAAAGGACAGAAAAGGGGAGGGGGTTAGGAAAGTAGTCCCCAGAAAGCATACCCCAGTCTAGTAACCTTTGCAAACGGGGCCCTTCTTGCGGTTGCCAGCTTTAGTGACAGCCCTTTCAATCAAAACAAAGGATTCAACGGATGCTGTTAAACAACTTCGGTACAACAAACACGCAAGATGCCCCCTGCCCTCCCTCCCCCCCGAAAAGAAAAAGAAGACAGCTGTTTGACATAAACAGAAGTTTGGTTGCCTCACAGTTCCAACCAGTTTAAATGCTTCCTGGCGTCACCGCCTCGTTCCAAGTGCGGCCCTCCAAGCGTCCAGGGCTCAGGCCCGGAACAGCCCACTTTTCCACCCACTTGTTGGATCAGCTTGTGGCGGGTGAACTCGGAATCGTGTTTAGTGCCCTATCTCCATTGGTTTTCTGTTCTTTTTTGGGGGAGCCCCCAAAACCATTGGTTCCCAGTACTCAAAAAGGGGGTACTCTCAAAAAATGACACACCCAATTTGCTTCCCGGAGCGCGTTTTCACAGGAGCAAATCTTGTTTAAGCTTCGGATCAGCAATTCCGAGAAAAACAACACATAAAAATGGGATGAGTCTCCAAATCGGACTTGGACCCGCCCCGAACAAAGCTATGTTCCCTGGTTCAAGGATAACAGCTTTACTTTGTTCAACTCTCCAAAACTTGTTGTTCAACACTGCCTTTTGGTTCACCGTTTCCCTTGGTTCCCCTGAAGAAAATGAAGAAAAAACAATCACCGCCAAGATTAAACTCAGGAAGTGACCTCAGGAAGAACACTGCCGTGTTTCACCCTTGGCTCTCCTGATAATCTCACTGGCTGAGTGGATGGCACAAAAAAAGTTCAAACCTTATATTTACCAGTAAAATGGTCTTCCCAAAAAGTTTAAAGTTCATGAACTCAGGAAGTGAGTAATAAAGGACTTGCATTCGGCCTGGCGCTCCAGCTCGCGGATGCACACCGTGCCGCCATCTGCATCCTCCAGCTCAGAGTCCAACCTGTCGGCTGAGAAAACGCACATGGAACGCACCCCCCAAAATCCACCAGGTATCTGTCCGACCCTGGGTATGGCAGTAAGAAAGCATGCTTCTTGTGCAGCCCCTGATATGGCAGTCAAAAAAAACAACTTAGACGCATGTGCTTGCTTGTCTTGATTTTCTCTTTCTTCTTGCAGCCCCCTACTAAGAAAAGAACAGAAGGCCCCCCCCAAAAAAAGAGAAAAGAGACCAACAGTGAAGGTTTACAACGCCAAGCCCCGGGCTTCCCAAAGACCTGGAAAACCAAGGAAAGAGGGCCCTGTTTGGACAACCACCTTCAACCACAAGACACGGAAGCCACCCACCCCAAACGAAGGACACAAGCAAAAAACCTCACAATGCCCTTCTTTGCATCCCCACCCCCCCTTGTCGTGCTCTTTCCGCGTGGCAAACAAAAAACGCGCGCGCAGACTCGTCTGAACTCCGCAAAAAAAGAAATGACAAAAAAAAAAGCACACACACCAAAAAACAAAAACAAGGCGCACGTCTTTGGTCGCCGGTTCGAAAGCGCGCCGCCCGCCTGTGCCGCACGGAGGTCGCCAAGCTCAGCGGCGTGGACCCGCTCTCGTCCGCGATGTCGGCGTCCGCGCGCGCGCGGAGCAGCAGCTGAGCGGAGGGAAACTTTGCTTCCCGGATCCCCCCTACCTTAAGGGGGAGGATGGAGGAGGGGGGTCCCACAATTCCCTTTGTTCAGTCTTCCAAAACTTTGCTTCCCTTCAAAGCTTGTACTTCAGGAACCCTTCAAACTGCTTGATGTTATTGTTTGCCTGCAGCTGCGTGGCCCCAAAAGCTTTTCAGTTCGGTTCATGTTTCGCAGCAAGAAGCCGTAATTTGTTTGCCCAGGGCTGGACACCCCCTACCTTAAGCGGGAGGGGGGTGAAAATGGGTTGGCCTAAATGGAGATCTCCAGCGGTCGAAATCCCCCCCCCAATTTCATTTTGAAGTGGGAGGGGGTCTTCCCTGGAACCGAATGATGGAGACTCCCCACACCCAAAAGGAGCTGAAAGAGCAGTGGGGCAAGCCACTCAGATTTCCCATGTAGGTGAAATGTGTGGGGAATGCTGCTTGGGGTGTGTCCCCCTTCCAGAAAGTACTTGGGGGTTTGGGTGGCCCCCCCAATTTGGATGCAAATCAGTTGGTGTCCTTCCCCTCGACACCGAAAGGAGGGATTCCACTTGCTGGACGCACGCTGCGATTCCACTGGACACACGCAAACGTGCTGAGACCAATTTGCCCACCTCGATCATTCGGCTGTTGTTCAGGCACGCTGCCTGGAGCCAAGCATGCTGAGAAGCGCAGGCCGTTGCGAAACATGCCCCATTTGCGCACCCCTCTCCCTAACAAACCACAGATTCTACAGCACATTGGCCCAACACCTCTTGTTTTGACGATTGCAAGCCGAGCTTCTAGAATTTCCCGGATTCTGTGACTCTCGAGGGTATATACCCACTGCATATCCCAAGTGGGTGGGCAAAGCGGAGCCAACAGGTTCAAGAGATGCACTTCCAATGGCAGTGATATCATGTGGTGGGATGCCCATCCCTACTTCCTCACTTCGAAAAGGAAAACATGGGCAAGCTCCCATACTGGAAGACCATTCTAGGGAAGCAAGGGGAAATAATGGTTGTGAAAATACGTTGTCACTTCCAGAAGGTTCTAACTCCCTTCCGCATTCTCCCCATTTTCTCATGCCACTGGACCTCTAGATAATTTCCCCAGAGATGGTAACCCGTCCCTGCCGATGGATTCCAATATGCTGCAAGTAGAGGGGCAGCCCTCGGGAGCAAGGGAAGCCGAATACGGGGAAAAGGGAGGCCTATACGGAGGCCGCTTTGGGACAAGGGAGGCCCTCTATATGTAACCTACCCACCCAGCCAAGCCAACAGCCAGGCCTGGTGCAGGGCGGTGAAGCTGAATTCCGAGCCGCGCCAGTTCACGTCCGCCTGGCAGAGGGGCCCGCGATCGCACAAAATCACAAACTTCCATTTGGTTAAGACCCCTGGATAAAATAAAAAAATCAAAAATATGTCCAATAGTTGTAGATCAGGGGTGCCCTGAGGCCATTAGGCTATTGCAGGCTGGGTGCTAACTACTGGTAGCACCTAGCTTGAAATGCTTTGCAAAAAGCAATCGAAGGGCATATAAGATTGCTGGTGCTCAGTCGGGAATCAGGGAAGCGCCTTAAAAGCCATGTGGTTTCCTTTAAGGGGACCCCTGATTTCATTCCCACATTCCCTATTTGCACCAGCAAGTGACCCATGAGCCTACCTGGAGTCACCAGGACCCTAAAAAAGGGTTGGTCATTACCCAAAATCCAGAGTCGGGTCTTGACCAACCATTTTTGATATTGGTCATGTCCGGAGACTCCAGGCACAAGGCCTCGTTTTGATTGATCGACATGTTGCTTCCATTTGCTAAGATTCTTGTTTCCCAGCTTGGTTTTACGAACAAACCAATGGAAGCTGCAACAGCCTCTAACGTCGACACCCCTTAGGATCCAGCCCAACCCCATTTTCACACGGCCTTTCGAAACAAAAACCAAAAAAACAACACCGGGGCCTTTAGGGAAGAGGGGGCTTTCGGGCGTTGCGCCACAGCAGAGAACCAGGCAGGAGGTGTGATTTTGATAGTACGTGCTTTGTATCATTCCAAGCAAGGCCTGTTTTAAGTTTCCGAACTGGGCTTGATATCCAAGGGTCCAGGGTTACTAAGATGTACTAACAACCTTCTTGCCTTTTGATTCAACCCACTATTATAGTGGAAACTGGAAGCATAAGATGCTCCCTGGTGAAGAACTGTCATGAGGTCAGGTTTCCCTGAATCGCTGAGCGCGAACTAATTTGGCCAAGTGTGTCCCACTTGAAGATTCAGTGATTCAGGGATTCAGAGTATCTAGTAAGCTGTATCTAAATGTTAGTATTAAGCCTGGATATAAAGCCCACTTCGGAAACTGAAAACAATGGCTTTGCTTATTATAACCATGCGAAGCACGCACTATCAAACAAAAACACATCATGGGGCGTTTCAATCAGGGTCGCTCGCCATCTGAAACAGCCTGCGGCAGTTTCTTAAGAAACTAAGTCCTCTGCCCCCTTTGACTGGGCTGTTCGAAATGAAGCGTGGGCCAATCGTATAATTCCTTTTGGGAAACCACCACAACGGGCAAATCCTTGCGCAACCCAGCGTAAGGATCTTGCCGATGGCATTTGAACAACCCTGACTTTCCAATCTTGACCTCGCATCAATAGACCCTTTCTTCTGGCTTCTGTCTTTGTTTGTTGGGGGGGGGGGTGCCCTGAAAAGTGGTCCACAATGGTCTGAATCCAACCGCTAAAAGGAATTGGACACCGGGACCCCGATGATTTCATCACCAAAACCCCCAGTTGTTTTTCCATGAAAACCCGTGGTGCTTTTCAACGGATTTCGTTCATACTGAAGATAAACGAAATCCTGCACCACCTAAGCAACCATGGTTGACACCATTTGTTAGTATGTGCAAAAGAATCGCCATCAACCAGGCTTTCTTAGGTGGTGTGAAATGGATTTCGTCCATCCACAGTAGCTCCCCCCGAAAAAACCGCGCCTGGGCGCCCAACAGGAGCTCCGCCATCTCCGGCTGCTCGAGGCCGACCGCTTTGAAGAGCGCCGTCTCGGCCTGAGCGAGGCCGTGGGTTTGACCGAGAAGGGAAGCCGCCCCTAAAATGGATGTTGCCAAGTTAAATATATATACATATATATATGTGTGTGCTTCTCTTTTCCTACCTTCTTGTTTTAACTTGGTTGACGTTGGAAGGGGAGCAACATTTAAAATTTAGCAGTTAAGTGGTTAGATTTCAACCACTAAACCACAATAGCAAATATGTAAAATGGGAAACAACAACCATGCTAAAATGGAGGGTCTCTTTTTGGCTTCCCTTTGAACCATCCTGAAAAAAAGCCCCACAACAAAACACACCCACATCAACCCCTGGATTCATGATGGTAAATTTGGTGGCCCGCAACGGCTCAAAGCTGTAAAAACTGCCCCATAGCGTGGGTCCCACCTGGCTATGGGTTCGTGTATCTGGGCAAACGTGACTGTTAAAACTCTAGGGCTACCTTCCCCATTCTTTCCAGGGATCCGAAAATCTTTTCAGGGAGCCATGAAAAAAACCCAGGAAAAAAACCAGCTCCGGGTTTTGAAAAAAGAACCGATGGGTTGGAAAGCATGGACAAACGAAATCAACCCCTAGGAAAAACCTCACAAACTCGCACACCGGAAGTGAGGCATCCATCCCCACTCGAAGGCCCTCCTGCTCTCGCAAGTTTGTTTTCCCCCCCGGAGCGGTGGGCTCGGCCTCTTGGCGGGTTTCTCTTTTTTGTTGGCATGCGCCAGGTCTGGGTTTTTTAAATAGGGGACCAAATAAAAAGAGTGGGTGGTGGACATCAATTCCCAGCTAGCCACCCAGACGGGGCCCCGGTGAAAATAAAAACTCATACCCAAATAATAGGAGCCCATGCTTTAAATTGGCAAGGGTTTCCAACTTTTGGTTGCCCTTTAAAGTACTGAACGGGGGGCCTAAGCAATTTTGAGAAACTCCCGTTCGCCTCTGCATCCTCTGAGTGCACGTCCGCACGCGCCAGGAGCAAAGCGCGGACCTCAGGTGACCAGATCTGGATGTTGAATGGGGCCGCGGGGGGGGGGGGGGGTTGGACAAAAATGCCAGCGGCAGGATGCCCCCCACGACCATCAAACAGTTTGTTCAGTGACCTCCTTTGGGCTAGTTTGCTGGCCGTTTGATATTGGCTTCTTGGGGGAGTTTGAAAAGGATGTCTTATTTCGCACGGGGTCTGACTGTTTGCTTCCCACTCACACCAAAATGAATCCCCATAGACCTTTACTCCGCTGACATTCCGCTCACCTGAAACCTGGACTTCTGACCGGTACCTAGTTCTCATAAAGGTCGGTTTCTGAAAATGCCCAACACATGCATCCTTCAAGGGAACACCTGCTCATGGTAGGCCACCTTTGCCTAGTCAAGCGACCCATAAACCACAGAACTGGGAACCCGCGTGCTGCAAGCACACCAAACAGGGATGTCAAGCTTCTAGGGGTACCTTCCATTTCCATTCTTTCCAGGGATCCTTCTTTCCGCAAAACCTCCGGAAACCATGGGAAAACGGATCCGGTTCTTGGAAAGAGAACAATGGTTGAAAAGAATGGAAAAGGAATCAACCCTGCGTCATGTTTGTTCAAGTCAATGGTTTGGGAAGTCATCAGGTTGGAGCGCGCCACAGCCACTGACTTCAAGACACAACCCCATCCAATTTTGCACATTCCGGATCCACGGATCACAGGGACAGCAAACAAACTCCTGACCATCCCACCACCCCAAACCAATCCGCACAGAAAATAAAAAATCGCCAGCCCTAAAAAACTGATGAACCCAGAAATGAGGAATCTTGGGTAATCGGAATCTTTGCTTGAAGGGGCCGGAGACTTTGTGAGGAACCCCAGAAAAGTCACCCACTGAACGGTGACTTACAGCAATGGCTTTGGCAGGGGTCTTTAGTGGGGAGTCACAACCCTAGTGACCCTCAGTTGCCCCTTGGGGACCTAGACATACAAGGTGATCGCCTGTTGGAACCACAAACATGGGAACCCAAAATGAGAAAACTGGTCCAACCCTTGGTATGGTAGTAAACAACCTGGTTGCTCTGCAGCCCCCTACTACAAACTAACAGAACCAAAAAACCTGAGAACCTAAACACACAGGGGCGCCCCCAAGTATCTCTGGGAACGTTCAGGAACCCAAGCCCTTGAGTAACTGAGATACTGGGGCGACAAGTGGAAGAGGTATGCCTGGCAATGCACTGGGATAGTTTGAAACCATCGATTGTACGGAGTCTTCCATCAAGCAGTTTACAGTCTCACCTGTTCTTTTAGATTCGACGATTTCTGACTTCCTGGGTAATTGGCAAGACATAGTCTAAACTTGTTGTTTACAACCAAAAATGGCCTTCCCAAACAGAACTCAGGGAGTAAGACTTTCATGATGTCCAACTGGTCAGCTCTCCTGACAAGATGCCACATCAGCATCCGCAGCTTGCACAGCAGCGTGCAAAGCGTGCAATGGCACGGGCCCCTTCTCAGCGTAGCCCCCGCTCATCGAGCGGGGTACGCGTAGCTCTTGGAATGCACTTGATGCATGAACACGAGTTGCTGCGTACTGTCCCCGCCACCCAAAACTGTATAAACCAGTAATATCCGCTTCACCTCGCAAGAATGAAGTAACTTATCCAAAGGCACGCAACAAGATTAATGGGGTGGGGACGCGTCGGGTGGGGTGGAGAAAACTAGCTAAGTCTTGACCACAGGGGAAATGATGTTAGCAAGGTTCCTTGTATTGGTGGAATTTCAGGTCATTTCGGCCACAGGCACGCAGAAACACCAGTGGGCCCATGCCTCACCTCCGATGGCGAGAAAACAAAAACCAAGTCTGTTCTTTGTTGCCAAAAGTTTGAAGTCCGACGGGAGTGGGTTGCTAGGTATTTCTTGCGCGTAAGCCCAAGGCTTGCAGCTCACATGGCCTTGCTCGAGCCAGTAGGCGGGCAAGGGAGCCCCTGAATGCCATTGGAATCCTAGGCGTGACTCTTGACGGGCACCGAGTCTATGCAACATAGGCTCGGTGTGGGGGGCCCAAGCAATCCCAGTAGGCAAGCCACGGTTGTGGGTAACTAGGTATGTTTAATGTCTACCTCTGATTAATAAACACCCCCCCTCCGCCCCAAACAACTTCCCTCCCCAAATAGTTTTCCCAAATTGATTATGAATATAGGTCGACATTACAGGGTGGGTTGCCCCTTGCCGATGGCAAAACGCCTGGAAGCACTGGGACTGAAACCAATGGTGTCGTTTTGATGGCGAACCCCCTTTTGGTTGGTTTGCAAAGGGGAATCAAAGGAAAGACACGTGTGTGTGTGTGTGTGCGCGCTGTTTGGGGGGGGTACCCTAAAAAAACCGCACCTCCAAGAGAATCATGAGAGAAACGTCCAGCTGCCCGACTGAAAACTTTTGGCTCAGGCCATGCAGGCGGCTCCGAAATGCTCCGAACTCCGCGAAACGGTCGCGAGCGAATCAGGGCCCGAGCTTTAGTCCTGGCGCGGGCAGGGGGCAACTTGGAGAAACTCAACTTCCGATGGAGCGGATTCTCGGTTGCGAAATCTGCTCCTCTGCTAAAAGTTTTCAACTTTTAGTGGTTTAGTACGGAAAACCCATGAGTTGGCAAAAAGTTGTTCAGTCCTAACAGCCCTTGGCAACATGCACCAAAGGATTGGTAAACAACATTTCGACCTTGCTATTTGCCACCAAAATGCTCTTCCCACAAAGTGACTACAGTTGCCACGGATGGGACCTAGAAATAAAAGGTTGAGCTTTGGTTTTGCAATCTTGACATATGAGAACGCAAGTTAAGGAACCCAAAAGGTAATTCCGATTCGCTTTGGGCGAGTTGAACCGCTGTTTGAACATTCTCCTATACATGGTTGTATCATAATCTTGCTGCCCCACCCTGTTTGTGGCAGGGGTGCATGGCGAGCCTGGTGACACTGGGAGTCGAAGAAAGGAATTCACAGGCTTGGCCCAATCAACGCCAGTACGGTGCTTCCTCCACAAAGAGGGCGAATTGAACAAGCGGAAACCAGGCTACTGGTGGAGTGTTTGGAACTTCAAGCTAGGCTGCTTGGACACACCTCCTGAGCGGACTGGCCAAAAGAAGAAACTCTTTTTTCGCCACTCAACGGTCCAAACCAGGGCCTGACGAATTCAGTTTCCCCTGCCCGAAGTGCCACTTTGGATGGGGAGCCTCAGATCCCTGAAAGGTCTCAGGAGCTGCGAACAAACACAAAAATGCTTGCCCCTCACATATCGGAGCTGTCAAGAATGGAGTGTTGGCCAATCCGAATCCATGATCTGTAGTGGCAAGCCGCCAGAAAGGGGACCCCTTGAGTAACTCGAGGCACGGATTATTAAGGATTGCCCTACTGGAACCAACAAAACTGAAAACCATAACTGCCGACAACCGCATGTTGCTCGTCTTTTTTGCGGGGCCTCTAAAATTGTGGTTTTCCTTTTGCCTCCGTTTGAAACCGAGCAAAACCCCCCCCCCCCCCGCAAAAGGTAGCCCAACAAATGGTCGAAGTCTCACGCCCCGAGACCCGTGGAAGTCCCGAGTCCCAGCGCCTCACCAAGGGCTTGCCGTCCTTCCCCACCAGCTGCCCATCTTCCTTGGCGGATTTGTTCTTGGTTGACGTTGGAAGGGGAGCAAAAATGGAAACAATTAGCAGGTAAGTGGTTGGATTTCAACCACTAAACCACAGAAAACACAAATGTAAAATGTTTCCCAAGAACACCGTGTTATTGGATCCTGGGCCTCCATCTAGGCTAGGTCCTCCTCTTGCAGGGGCGACCCAGGCTAACTGAGGCTAGGTCCTCCAGTAGAGAGGTTAGAATAAGTTGGTACCCGATTGTTTTTCAGGACGTCGATTTTAGTAGTTTATCAATGCCTATCAGAAAAAACAAAAACAAAACGTCAACATAACACCGCCGGCATCCGCGCATCCGCATCCAAGCTTCCGCCGGAGCCTCCACCAACTGTCCCTCCTCTGCCTCCGGAAGCTCCGACGCTTCCTTCACCTGGCAGTCGCCCCAAGGAGTTGTGGGCAGGTCCTGTACCAAACAAAATCTAGGGGTACCTTCCATTTCCATTCTTAACACAAAAATCCGAAATTATTTTCAGGAAACCATCAAAAACCCAGGGAAATTGTCCATTCTTAACCCAAAAATCAGACATTATGTTCAGGAAACCATCAAAAACCCAGGGAAACAGCGATCGGCTTTGAAAAGAACCATGGTTGAAAAGAATGGACAAGGAATCAACCCCTAGACAAAAGCTTGCCACGCCGCATCTGGGATAGAAACTATGCATGTTGTTGTTTCTCAAAACTTGCTTCACATAAAACACATCCAGCCTAACAAGTTAATGCGAGTTCTGAAGACTCCGTAAAAGTCGTAGCTGGAGTTTCAATCTGGCATTTTGTTGATGTTTGGGTACATGTTTGGGCCGACCCCTTGCTACATGCTAAGCCACTAGTGTCTAACAACCTCCTGTTGGTTCCACACAGAAGGATGTCCCAGGGCCTGATGAAAAATTAATTTGTTGGGCGGCTTCCTGGGTTACATACCTCAATTGTTCAATTGCTACCTCCAGGAAAGCAAAAAGACTGGGAACCGGGAAACCCAGCTGCTCAGTGTCAACCACTTTCGCCTTTGTGTTCGGCGGGGCCCGGGTTTACTTGGACGCAACAGGGGAAAATAGCACATTTTCATTTGGCTGCGGGTCAAAAACTTTGGTACCCCAAATGGCACCCTGGTAAGTGGAAACGTGGACCAAGACCTGCGGTTCCCTGGCGGTTTAATTTTGACCCATACCAATTTCAGCAAATGGAAGTTGAACCCCAGATCTTACCCCAGAGTTTCGGATGTTAAGATCCATAGAGTACATAGCCCAGCTACCATCGAAGCTCCACTCACAGCACCTTTCAACATGTTTGGCCTGAAGCTTCCCAATTGTTTGCACCGGCCCAAGTTCCGGGCGTTCATGTGGATCAGCATGGAATCAAAACAAGTCCTGGTCGAGAAAACTTCCAGGAAACATGGTGTTATTCTTCTCATTGCTACTGTTATGTTTCAAACAACGCACAACCACGATATGAGGCTTCACAGGTGTGAAGGCAGCCTGTTGCTTTCGGTGGATGCACAAAAGCTATTGCAAGGAAAACCAGTACACAACCATGGTACATCGCAGCAAGTTCGAGCGGCGTCTCAAGTTCGAATTACTCAGTGGCCTGGTGAAACCCTGGTAACAGCGTATCAAGTCACAGTGACTTGCAATAATTCCACTCCAGATTGACATGGAACCTAAACCACCATGTTGGGAGGAATGTCTTTTAGGGTGACCTCTTTCTGGCTTACCCTGTATAACCCATGAACAGCCACTAGTTTTTGGGGTATGTCCATTTGGGGTATGCAAGTTGCCCTTAGATTCCGCTCCCCTCCCACCAATTAACATGGAACCTGAATGAACCTGACAGGGGGTCCCTTCAAGGACCCCAACGTCAGCTTCCATGTTAATAACGGTATCCATATCACTTGCCCGACGGTCCCTCACGTCGAGCACCTTCCGCGCGTTGGCGGCGGACAAGGAGGGCGTCTTCGCGGCCTTGGCGATGACGATGGACTTCTCGCGGGTCATGTCCTTGGGTTTCGAGTCTGCCAAGGGGGCTGCAAAAGGAAGACAGCATGTATATATTATATATGTATACCCACAACTACATAAGACATATGGATATCCATACACCTACGTATATGTAGATAAACATATACAGACATATGGGTGTAATATTCACAAGTTTCATGATTTGCGTGTGTAAAGACGGTACTCATTTGTTAAGATGAAGAATGGATGAAGAGCGATTTGACCCTCCGTCTAACAATCGACAGGGGGGGGCCGCCCACAAAAGGAATGTAGTCTTCCAATACCCTCCGATCGTCAGCTTCCATGATTGGAAGAGGAAGATTCATGATTTAGTTTAATTGTGCGATTCCTTTTTTGTGGGCCCCCCAAGAGGCTTCGATGTCCCATTGCTTTCCTGTAACACCACCCCCCAAACAAAAGGTACCTCCCAAAAAGACACGCCCAAATCTCCCCTTGTGCTTTGCCTTAAAAGAACAAAACCCAACACATGGCGTCTTTCTTTCCATCTGGCTTCCTCTTGTCCCACGTTTTTCTCTCCCCCACCTGGCTTCTTTCCATGTCTTTTAACAAAAACATGGGCGGTGTTTCCCCACCTGGCTTCTTTTTCCCGTTTTTTATTCCAACCATGAACATATGGGCGGCTTTCCTTGTGGCTTCCCCCCAAAGAGACGTCAACGCGACAGCCACCCCCGGCCACCGGCCGCCCGCTGGGCGTCCATCTCGCCTTCCTTCACCGTCAGCGCCACGGAGGGCTTCCGCGAGAAGCTCGCGCCATCGGAGGGCACGGAGGCGTAGGGCTGCATCTCCTCAGCGCCAAATCGGGGATTTTTTTTCCAGGGTTTAGTGGGTTTCCAGGGTTTAGTGGGTTTAGTGGAAAACCCCAAAGGGGTGGGGAAAACGTGGACATCTCACAAGTGTTGGTGGAGAGTTTTCCGCTTTGGGGAAATGGACGTGTCCGATTCAATCGGCTGGTATGGAAGAAACAGGAAAGAAAGGGATCCCCACCCACTGAGCCAGGGATCCCTACCCAGTTTTTAAGGCAGAAGTCAATTAGCAAGCTCCTATAGCAGGGATCCGGATGCATGAAGAACACCTCAACATTGCAACTTGTACATGGTGGTTTCCAACTTTATTTTGGTGTTGCAAAAGAAACATGGTTCAAATGGTTGCAAAATGTATTTTTAAGGAGCCCTGTATAGGTTGCAACCCATCTCTCGCTGTGGGTTTTGACCGGGTTTCTCCGCGCTTGCCAAGTAGCCGATGGCCTCCTAAAGTATATATCTGCCCCGATAGCCAAGTCCAAATTGGCCCCAGCCGGTGTTGGGGTGTGCCTTTGACTGACCCAGAGTTGCATCACAGGGTCACTTTATACCCACATTAACATATTGTGTTGTTGTGCCAAATAATTGCGATCTTTATCCATTTGGAACTCCTCTTCCCGAAACCCTATTCCAAGTTGACTAAACGCTCCAACTCTGGTATGTTAGCAAAAAGCGAATTCCGTTGTTCGCAGCCCCCTGCGAAAAAAAGATCAGCACCAAACAAGACGAAGATTAGAACACATGATTCCATTGAATATATCCAAAAGTCATAGATTCCTTTTAAAACCAAGATGGGAAATAAACACAAGATGCATTTCATCAAATGGAAGTACAGTCTACCCCATCCTGTCATCTTGGAACGACTAAACCAACGAAACACAAGTAAACCACCTAAACACCTGCCAAGAAGAGTGGCAGTAAAGCTCCGGGAACGCGCCAACGGGTCCGAGTCCAAGTGGCTTCGGCGTCTGAGTCGGAGCCCATGCTGAACCTCTGAGCTTGAGGCTTCGCCTTGCACACGTCACATGCAGAAACAACGGCGAAGCCAGGGCAAATCTACAATCTATACATGGACCCTCACCCCCACCCCAACCCCAACCCCCACCCCACCCCAACCCCCAGATTGCCCGGAATTGGGTATTGCCCTAAACTTATGGGGCATATTCCCTCGGAACTTTGTAGGTCAGGGTGCGTATATCAGGGGTACATGCATTAATTTATGATTTTTTGGTCGCCGAATGTATCTATTCGTGACAAGTACTTGCAGCATATCGGCTTTCTCTAGCCAGACTTAGACTACACAAAAACGATGCTCTGGTTGAAGGGACAAGCGAAGCAGCCCACAAGAACACATTGCTTGAGGCAATCACGCATGGGAAGGTTCAGGAAAACGCTCAGAAACAACATAATTCTGTAATATTTTGCCGTGCTTTACAAAAGGCGCATAATCTTATCTTTTGGGTCAGTATATACATATGTATATATACATTGTATATGCATACTATATGTGCATATGTAAATATGTACGGAGGTCTAAGTTGGGATTGTCTGAAAATGGAGGGGATCCCTAGCCTGCCAAAAAATGATGTCCAACGACACGCTTCAGAGCTTGGACCAAGAGGGACTTCACACGAAAGGGATGCACAAGCCGTCACAAAATAAGCAAGATAAACGAGGAACTGGAGACCGCTGCGATAAGCAGTGGGGGGCAAGAGCCCCCCCCGAACAACAAAAAACACCGGTAATTGGGTATAAATGGAGGGCCACAAAGGCAGGTTGACAGCAACAATCTCAGACTTTGGCATAATTTCAAAACCGGAAATGAGGCATCCCCAAGTACAGGATCTTTATCTTGGGGTCCGGTGACAAAATAGGCAGATTTCATGAAGGGCGCACTGGCAATGAAAGCCGGAGGTTGTTCTGTCTCTCACTTGCTCAAAGGACCTGGAAGTAAAAGGTTAACCTTTTGGGACCTTTACTAAAAATAGACCAAACTAGGAAAACCAAAAGGTTAAAAGGTCGGCTTTGGGCAACTGAGGTCTCGTTCGGCCCGAAACATCCGATAGACTGCCGCGTTTGTTTGGCGCCCTTGGGCTGATTTTGACGGGCGAGCCCCGACAATATATGGCTGTGGGTCAAAATCAAGTACCTGCACCTACCCCAAAATGGGATCCCATTGGTTTTGACCCACAGCCATATAAGTATCAACGGGGGACAACCTCTCAAAATAAGCGCCACTTGAGGTCTGGGCAGCCTGTAGGGAAACAACAATTCTAGGGGTTGATTCCTTTTCCATTCTTTTCAACCATCTTTCTTTTCAAAAACCGGATCTGTTTCCCCTTGGTTTTTGCTGGTTTCCTGAAAAGATTCGGATCCCTGGAAAGAATGGAAATGGAAGGTACCCCTAGAACCATGCAAAGTTCTGAGAAGGATTACCCACCTAACAAACAACAAATACAAAACGACAGAACAAACTGTTTAGCTGCAAGCCCTCCAAAACAAGTTGAAGAAACACGGCATCGTAAAGCAACAAGTGAAGAAGGGCGTTGGAGCTCTAGGGGTAGTGTGCTCCTGCGCGCTAACCTGAAACCCAAACAGCCACGATTTTTAGACAAACCTCCCTTTCGGGACCCCATCTCGGGGCTGGATGCAAGAGGAAAACGCAAATTGCCACGGCTTGAACTAAGGGACGCCGCCAAGACGAGGAAAACAAGGGAAAGGGACAAAACCATCTGGACGTGCTCCCACTGCCACATAAACAACAACTGATCTTTTCTTGGGAGAGCCGCTGCAAAGTCAGGCTTGGGTGAAAAACCAGCCAGCTGGCCCCAGGCTTCTGGCAACGAAATTAAGCGTGATTGAAGCAACTTCTCTTCAGTTTCACGTGGTGTTCTGATCTACGTTTAAACCATTTGTCAAAGCAACAACAACGGGACCGTAAACTCAGTCGAGTTTAGGACCCAGAAATACAAGGTGATCACCTTTTCGGGCCTTTACTAAAAATAGACCAAAATTGGAAAACCAAAAGGTTCAAAAGGTCGATTCGCTTTGGGCAACTGAGTAAAACGCATGCACTGAAGGCCTGGAGGGACGCAAACCGCCCACGTCCGCCTCCTTGCCCTTGCCTTTGCCCTCGGCGTTCGCGGCCGCGGTTCCGCTTCCGCTTCCACCGCGGCTCCCGCTGGCGCCGCTACCGCCGAACTTGTAGCCTTCGCCTGAGCTGTGGCAAAATTGAAGCGAAGCCAAGGCAGAGTAAGATTCCAAAAGAGGAGGTCAGGAGGTTCCTCTACAAATCCTGGTTGCTGCAGGTCCTTTTGTTGCCAGGTACCGCGAGGAATGTCCTGACCCAATAGTTTGGGTTCCCGAATGGTTCCTAGAGCCCTTTCCAGTCCCCCCGGTCAGATGACTCTGTGGGCGGACATTACCCGACTCAAATACCAACCCCGGATTAAATGTTGAATGGGCGAAGCGGGTTAAGTTCTCCGAGGTCAATATTAACCGCCCGCCGGGACCCTTGTTCAGACTTGGAACATGCCATTCGACGTCCGTGTTTCTGGGGAGGCAGGCAACAAACGCATCTGGAGTATCCCGGTGTGAATTCACAATGTAACAGTTCAACAGGATTCCTAAAGGGCCAACCCAAAAGAAGGAGATCAGCTCAGCCTAGGCCACTGGGCAACCATCAGTCCAAAAGCAACCTCCAGCACTGTGACTTCAACCAAGGGCAAACACAGAAAATGGGCCCACATGTTGGAAAAGGGTTCCCTACTTCCCCCGGTAACACTCCACAACGAAACTCCCATTTACCTAAAATGCGGCGTGAACGCCCAATGGAAGCTGGTTTTTTCTGATGTCTGAGTATTTCATTCAGCGAGGCATACCTGGCAGGTGCTCGGGAGATGGGGGACATGGCAAGGCCGTGGGTTTCCCATGTCATGCTCCCCTTGCTTCAACGGATCGACATGGAGGATCCTATGATTGAATCTTGGCCTTGGAGCCTCTACAAGTGTCATTCTTACCCCTTTTGGCGAGAAAAACCAAACTGCATCCGCTTCTGCCTCCCAACCAACTTTGCAATATCACGTGTTTGAGTCTGGTGAGTACTTAAAGGGGTCACTGGGTTTCCTTCAAAAGCTGCAATCTACTGGTGGTTTTCATTGAAACGATCGCCACTTTTTTGGCGGTTCCCTGTAGAGGGAAATGGAGTTGAACCCCATTATGTATTCAGGGAACCTTAAGATGCAAGAACTGCTCAAAGAAAGGTTACACACGGCTTCCTATCCTCTGCCATCCCCAAGAAGGAGGCTCACCTTAAATTGGCCCAGCGGGTCATGCCGGTCGACCACTCAAAAGCTGAAATATACGGGGCCTCGTCACAAGCAAAGGCCATTCCAGAAGCGGGCAGGTGTTGAAATATACGAAATAAGGGGACCCCCCAAAGTTGTGGCTTTCCTTTGATGCTGCCAAGCTTTAAAAAGAAAAAACGACTTACGTAGTTTACCAAAAAAACATATCCTCACTTCCTGAGTGGATGGCCCAACAACATGTCCACCACCAAACTGGTCCAAGCCCAAAATGTCACTAAAGTCCAGCAAATCGCTGGTTGCGACGCGATGAAATCCGCCCAGGCAGTTCCTCTGCAAAGCGGCCCTCAATGGGAGAGAGGCAGTTGCCATGGACCCCTTTGCTCCCATCCAGATTCGCATCCACCCAGACCCAGAGAAACACAAAACAAGCAACTCAAGCAGTGAGAACACAAGCACCTTGTCCCTCAATCTTCAAACTGCCTTTGAAAATGGGTTATTGCCGCAAAATGATGGGTAAAGTCCCTCAAACTACCCTTGCAAATTGGTTATTGCCGCACAATTGTGGAGTGAATTCCACTTACGCGTCGGGTCCAGGCACACACATTCACCTCCATCCGAGTCACCGCTCAGGTCTCCACTTCCGGCAACCCGCTCCGCAGCCCGAGGCTGTGCGGGGCCCCCGAATTTGTAGCCTTCGCCTGAGCATGGCTTTCTTCTAGGGTTTGATTCCTTTTCCATTTTCTTCAGCCATCGTTCTTTTCAAAAACCGATCGCCATATCCCCAGGGTTTTTGATGGTTTTCTAGAAAGAATGATCCCTGCAAAGAATGGGGAAGTTACCCCTAGATTTCTTCTAGGTCTCTCCTGAAAACCGACCAAACAGAGTGCCATCCAAAAAGACGCACCCAAGAAACGCAATCCAGTCCTGATTGGCGGCTTGCAGGGTTGTCTCCCATGCACACCCAACAAGAACCAAACCTAAAACACTCATTCCCCAATACAACACACCAAACCCATCAGCAGCGCAGAACCCGTGCCAGCGGGTGTCTCAAAATCAGGGATCTTCCGCAAGAGGTGGATCCTTAACCCCAAAAAGGGCACCCTTACACACACATCCATTTTCTCGGAGAGACGAATATGGACCTGGGGGGCCACTTTAGTCGGCTTTCTTCGAGTTGGTTTTGGATGCATTTAGCAAATCCAAATCCAAACCGCCAAACCACCCTTTCCAGGGTGACTTTCGTGGCCTGAGATATTTTTTTACTTGCCCCGGAAATAAAAGGTCGCCCCTTTGGGACCATGACTAGAAACCAGATGGGACCTGAAATAAAAGGTCGACCCTTGGGGACCATGACCAGAAATGGAAGAGCGAAGCTTCAGGTACAAAGCAAATCGACCGCCTCGCTCGCAGCTCGCAGCCAGGCGACCCCTCAGCTCCCCGCTGGCCGCATTCAGCCTTGAAGCCTCGGCCGCGCGCTCCGCCACGGTGCGGTGCGGCGTCTGCGGCGATGGCTGGGACTGCTGCGACTGCGCCCGGTCGAACTTCGAGGAGTCACCTGGCGCGGTTGGGCAACGTTGGTTTTTTTTAATTTATTTATTTTTCCCAGGGATGGGTTTGAAAGGAGGTGAGGATAGAAAACATCTATATAAAAGTTGTCTAGTGCCTTAGCTTTTGCTGGTTTACAAGCATCCATACCTCCAAAAATCATATCTCATGGCCTTGACAGGTTGCAACCTGCTGCTGTGCCTGCACAATTGGAATGGGGCTCGGCGTCAACGTTGAAACTAGATCTAGTCATGACCATGGGGCCAACAGGCATCAAAATGCTAGCAATAGTTTTCTAGCCGTCTACTTTTGGTGGGAAACCCACTAATGTTAACCCGGATTAATAAACACTTGGTTGTATAATAGGGGGGTGTCCCCTTTTAGTGGGGATTCGGACCACTTTTGGAGGGAACGCCCCTCTAATAATGGGACGGGTTTATTAATCCTGGGACACCCACTCAGGAAACTGGGGGCATCATCTTAGCGAACTCCAGTGAACCAGCCCACGCAACTGCTAAGCTGCTATGAATTCGGGGACTGCTACGAATTCGTGTGCTGCCAGCTGAAGAATTTCAGCGGTGGTAGAACATGTGGATGGTCCGTTCGCAAACCACGAAATGAAACCATGGTTGAAACCACGGTTTCGTTTGCCTTAATTTACAGGGGGAAAATCAAACACCAGGGTTTCTTAAGTGGTCCATCCACAGTAGTGGTCCTAAAACTACCCCTAAAGCAAGCATCGCCATGAAGGGCAAATCACAGCCGTGTGCTCATTCAACAATCTTTTCATTTGGTCAAGGCCCCAGGAAAAACAAACATATTTCCAGTGGCGATGAATTCCTGTTAAAACCCACAAGGGAAAAAATAACATATTCTTAAGCAAATGGAGGAATCCAAAGGCACCTCAGCCTGGCCCGACCCTTCACCCCCTCCCCCGCCCCAAAAAAACAACACGCACTCACCGCAGCCAAGTTGCCGCTGCCACCATTCGCACGCAGCCTCTCTTCGGCCGCCCGCTCTGCCACGGTGCGATGCGGCGTCTGCGGCGATTGCTGGGACTGCTGCGAGTGCGCCCGGTCGAACTTGGAGGAATCTCCTTGCAAGCGAAGACAAATCGCCACATCGGGTATCAAAGGCATGCGATTCAGGTGAATTGCGAGTTCGTCCAGCATCCGTCAACACCTTATATACTTCAGTTGGCCTGTCCCTAATGGCCCGAATGAACTCATAAGTTGTTATCTCCGTAACACAGGGAGAGAGAGAGAGAGAGGGAGAGCAAGAGCGGCGGTTGGTCATAGCTTGGTTGCTGTTGACCCCTCTTCCAAAAAAGTTAACTTTCTGAGAGTTCAAATGAAGACCCTTGACTTCCCGAAAAGTCAAAGTCTCAAGATCCAACCCAAATAGCCATCAAGCTAGGATTGTGATTTGTCTGTTAGAAGTCCAAAGATCCAACAAAATCGCCATAAAGCCGTCATAGCTTGGCTGTGGACTCCTCTGTCCCAAAAAAACATGTATATATATATATAGAATTATATATACCTAGAGTCTCCATGACCCTTTGAAAATGGGTCCATGACCCCCAAAAAAAATGGGTAATGACCAACCATCGCAGTCAGGTGGCCGCTGCCGCCATTGGCTCGTAGCCTTTCTGCGGCCGCCCGCTCTGCCACGGTGCGGTGCGGCGTCTGCGGGGACTGCTGCGACTGGTTGGACTGCACCCGCTCGAACTTGGAATCGCCTGACTGCAAAAGCTTGACGTTGGTTTTTTGGATTTTTCCCAGGGATACCGTGAAGTGCGTGCTGCCTTGCAAGCTTTTGCTTGTTTACAAGGGACTGAAGTTGGTTCAAGGGACTTGGCAGTGATGGGTTTTGGCGGTATGGAGATATACCCCCTACTCAAACTACCCTCTTTCAGGGTATAATGTCGACCCTCTCAAAAAAAATATTTACCATGAAAAACCAGGTTTTCCCAAAAATACCTTTAAAAAAGCGGCATTTTGAGTGGGGGGTTCTTACTTATCTATGGGGTATATGCTTGATTGGCTGCCTGGACCTGAGCAAGAGCCAAGATCAAGCCGAGCCCAGTCGGTGCGATTCCTGCCGAGCCAGTGGGGTTTTCACAACACGGAAACAGCCCCCGCGATGGTAAATATCTCCTACACGAGTAATTACCCCCTACTCAAAATACCCGCTTTTCTTCAGAGTATTTTTGGGGAATACCTCCTTTTTTAGTAGAGGGGTATGATAAATACAGTACCTCCTTTTATAGTAGAGGGTCGGCATGATACGGTGTCGCCTCTTAAACACCCGGACACTTAAATAGGTCAACAAAGATTTTACACTACCTCCGCCAGCGTTACCGCCAGCCCGGCCGACCAACTTAAATACCCGATTTAGATAGGTATTTCGCGTTACGTCTTGAAAGTCTCTGGCCCGGCCCGCCTTGTCAAGTTGCTTGCTGCTTGTTGCCAATTACATCTTCCGCAGCCAGTCGGTTGTTCAGGGATTTGTTGAGAAACAGGCCCCAACCCAAGAAACCAGGAGATTCACGAATTTAAGGCAATGTGTGTGCCCGTCCGAGACAAGGGGCATTCATGTCTTTCTTTCTTTCTCCACGAGCCAAGTAGACAGGGCTTAGGCTGCTCAATTCTGCGCACTTAGCTCCGCAATTCCAGGCATTTATGTAGCATGGAATTACGAAAGCGTTGGTCTGCAATTAAAAGCACCAGTGTTGCCCCGACATGGCGCCTTAGGTTGGACCTGTGTGGCTTGGCAGGAGCCAGCGCGTGCGCTGCGGATTCGGGGCAGGGTTTTGCGAATATGAGATGGTCCTCTTGCGGGGGTCTGAAACGGGTCTGAAACAGGTCTGACGCAGGGCCCAATGCCAGATCCAAGCTTTTTTTCTGTCTCTCTCTCTCTCTCTCTTACGCCTCTTTCTTTTCTTCCAAGTCTTTTCATTCTGAGATTTGTTGAAAAGCAGCTCACATCCCAAGACGCCTGGAGACACGAGAAGAAAGGAAATCTGGGAGTCCATTCCGAGACAAGGGGCATTCATGTTCTTCTTGCTTTCTTTCTCCACGAGCAAAGTAGACAGGGCTTAGGCTGCTCAATTCAGAGCACTTAGCTCCGCAATTCCAGGCGTTTATGTAACATGGAGTTACGAAAGCATAGGTCTGCACCGGCATGGCGCCTTAGGTTGGACCTGTGCAATCTGACTTGGCAGGAGCTAGCGCAACGCAGCTGCTAGCAAGGGCTTGAAATGTGTTACGCCCTGTTTTTACGGGGAAGGTGTCTGTCTCGGTGTTGCCATTTAAATATCCTAATTGGTATTTCATACTAATTCCAGGGCCCGTGAGGGGTGGCCCGGCCAGCCACTTTAAATATCCGATTTACACAGATGTCTTACACTACCTCCCAGCCCTGTCGTCACCGTACCCTGAAAAAAGGGGGGGTGTTTGGAGCAGGGGGAAGATATACCTGAGGGGCCGTCCTCATGCGTGCGCTCCGTGCGCTCATTCCCCCGCTTCATGCGAGCTCGCAATAATCAGTTTTAAGACAATCAAATGGTCAACGTATCGCTTTTTTGAGTTGCCAAGTCATCCGTCAGGGTTTTCGCTACTGTAACACTCATAAACCGTATGTAACCTATTCCTGGGTTCGTTGTGCAGTTCTTCAGGAGCCCTGAACATGGAACCCTTTCTGGCTGATTGGGGTTGCTTCCACTTTTAGTGAGGACGCCACCCAACAAAATGATATTTGAAGGGTGGATTCCACTGAACTGGGAGTCGCTGGTCGCCTTCCTCTTCAAAATTCCCAACAAATTAGCTTTTGGACGAAGGATTGAAGGAAAGCCATGTCAAGGGGCCCAGTCATGTTAACTACGAAGAAAAGGGAAGGAGATACGCACGCCCTATAATTTCCGACAAATCATTCCAGCCGACGAAAACTTACAGCGCCCAAAGCACATGGAACCAAATGGGCTTCAGGTTTAAATATTGCTTTCCTAACCGGATTAAACCAGTAGAACTCGCATCAGCTAACCACCTCTTGGTAGCCCCGGTGGGCGCGTCGACGCGCGCGTCTGCGTCGAAGCGACCCTTCGACTCTCCACGTCGCTGCGTCGCCCGGTCGAAGCGCAAGGCATCACCTCAAGAGAGATTCGACGAGGCAACCTTCTTTGGGTGCGTGTCTTGGAAGGGGACCCTCCAGAATGGCACGGTCGGAACTTCCTTGTGCTTTCCCTACACCACAAAACAATGTCCCTTAAAGAAAGACAGGCCCACGTGGGTGCGCAAGCTGCTTTCAAAGCCAGCTACAATGAAATACAAGCAATGCAGCAACGTCATGGGAAGCCAAGCAAAGGGACACCAAAACGGTCAGATGCGGTCGATTCGCTTTTGGACTTGGGCTTCAACCATCCTTTTCGACATCGGCCTGGGGTGTCGTTGCAGGCTTTTTGGAAAGGATCCTCGTACAGAGGGAAATCATGCTGAGAAACCTTAATTCCATGAAAGCAACCATTGCGAGGTGTGCAAGGAGAAGTCCTTTCGTATGAAGGCTGATGTTTAGTTTAAGGGTAGTTTGTCACTAACTTACCTTTTCAGGTATGAAGGACCAGCCCTGCTTGCTGTCCACAATATGGAAAGCTGTCAATAACGGTTGAGATATTTAGAGATGTGAATCATGTTACCAGAGCGTTGCGACCATGTGGTCATCACTCAGTGGGGAAGAACAAAGATTACCTGAACTCCGCGGTGGCTCAGCGTCCTATGGGAAACGCTTCCCACATAACAATTCAGTATTGCACCCTGAGGGCCTTAGAACAATTACATACCATCTTGCCTGGTCATGGCTACATTTAGTTTTAAGGCACGCGACAGCCTCATTCAGCTGATGTATGTTGAATTTGGAGGGGTCATCGTGGCCTCAGACATTTTTCTCAACAGCATGCCCCCGACCCAAGCCAACGCAACCAGACATGGCCGAGCACAAACCCCTTGTGTCAAGAGGAAGGTAGTGTTCACTCCAAGGTGGTTTCCGCTAACCCCAAACCACTACCCCCACAAGAAGGGGGGTGTACCCTTTCTATTGGTGGCTAGGCATATTCATCCCACCAAAACCCTGCAGGTGGTTCGGGGGGTAGGGGAAACCGTCTTACATTCAAAAGGACCTTGTGCACTTCCATGCTCTCAAGATTAACCTGTGGGGCCATGACGGCCGTGACTAAAAATGTGTAAAACAAGGTCAAAAGGTCGATTCGCCCTGGGCAAGTGGACTGTTGACTTGGTTGCTGTTGACTTTTCCGCAAAATCACACCCAAAACGTCCATTTGCTCAACTCTCCTGGAAAAATGGCCCAGTAGTGATAGATTCCCTTAAAAGCCAGGGGAAAAAGAAAACATAAGTTCATTTCAGCAATTTGGAAGGAACCTTCAAAGAGAGGGAACCTGTTCCAGTTCTCATGGGGAAATGTACTTCGCATGGGGAAAAGAAAGGCAATAGTAGATACATAGATTCCCTTAAAATCCCGGGGAAAGTAAACATTTCAGCAAATGCAAGAAAAGCAACTAGGCCCGCCAGTAGAGAGGTTAGAATAAGGGTGCCCTTTCTTCTGCAGTCTGTTTTAGTAGGGGAACCCTCCCCTAAACAAGGGGAGAGAAGGGCACTACTGGGGGACCTAGGGCAAGTTGGAAGGGCCAAGGGAGATCCGAAGCCACAAGCCCGAGAGCCGAGCGACCCTTCAGCTCTCCGCTTCGCTCCGGCCGCTCGGAGCCGCGGCCGGAGCTCGGGGCCACGTTTGCGCGGTCGAAGCGGAGGGCGTCACCTCAAACGATGACACGCGGAGCGGTCAACAGAATATCCTACGTGTGGATGGTTCACACGAAACCCAGGAACTAGTCCGAGCTTTGTGTTGGCCACTATGGTCCAAACCCAAAATTGGTTACATTCTGCTCCCTTGCTAAAAGTATAACTTTTACTGGTTTAATGGAAAGCCCATTAGTTGGCAAAAAGGTAAAGTCCTAACATCCAAGCACAATGCACCTCTAAAAAAGTGACTAACTCAGGGGGAGTGAAATATGGGTGAGTCGTTATCCAAGGGACCACCAACATTGTGGCTTTAAGTTGTCCTCTTGGGTTTCCTCTTCAACCACAAGCAAGGGGGTACACCCATATTTGGGTGTATGGACGCCCGTTATGGCTCCCTTCCTTTTGTTTTCCTTTCAAACCAACCTTGAGAAGGGTATAAACCCTCAAATAAAGCCATACCTGCAAGTTCTCAAATATGTCCAACCCCTTCTGAATCTGAATGCCCCCAGCTCCGCAATGCGCTTTACTAAAAATCACCTTCACCTTCGGGGACCTTCAAGGCAGCCCAACCAGTTGGAGAAGGGTCTGTATCCAACCAAATAGGTCTGGTGCTACAGGGTCATGGTCTCATGAAGGCTCCCGCTACCATGATTCATCATGGTTGCGTGGTTAAGTCTGCCGACATTGTTCGGCGTGCCGGATACCTAAGAGAGGATAGAGGATAACCCCCCCCCTTAGTCCCCCCCCGGGACACGTCAATTACGCATGGTTTTTCGGTCCCCCCCCCCTCCCCCTCCGACCGCGCGGCAATTTGATGACGTTCCACGCAAAACAGGGGTCCCAGGCTCGATTCCCCCTGCCGGCTTGTTTGCTGGCTTGGGCTTCCTGCCTCCTGTTGCCGAAAATCTGGAAAACTCTGTTTTTTTGGACGTCCTCATTGCGAAAACACTGGAAAAACGTGTTTTTGCAGGAAATACTGGGGAGCCAACATACATACATACATACATTACATTACATTACATTACATACGTACATACATTACATACATTACATACATACATACATACATACATACATACATTACATTACATTACATTACATTACATTGCATTACATTGCATTACATTACATTACATTACATTACATTACATTACATTACATTACATACATACATACATACACACATACATGCATACATACATACATACATACATACATTACATTACATTACATTACATTACATGACATTACATTACATGACATAACATAACATACATACATACATTCCATCCATCCATCCATCCATCCATCCATCCATCCATCCATCATACATACATACATACATACATACATACATACATACATACATACATACATACATACATACATACATACATACATACATACATACATACATACATACATACATACATACATACATACATACATACATACATACATACATACACATACATACATACATACATACATACATACATACATACATACATACATTACATACATACATACATACATACATACATTACATACATACATTACATACATACATACATACATACATACATACATACATACATACATACATACATACATACATACATACATACATACATACATACATACATACATACATACATACATACATACATACATACATACATACATACATACATACATACATACATACATACACATACATACATACATACATACATACATACATACATACATACATACATACATACATACATACATACATACATACATACATACATTACATTACATACATACATACATTACATTACATTACATTACATTACATTACATTACATTACATTACATACATACATACATACATACATACATACATACATACATACATACATACATACATACATACATACATACATACATACATTACATACATACATACATACATACATACATTACATTACATACATTACATACATACATTACATTACATTACATACATTACATACATACATTACATTACATTACATACATACATACATACATACATACATACATACATACATACATACATACATACATACATACATACATACATACATACATACATACATACATACATACATACATACATACAATACAGACATACATACATACATACATACATACATACATACATACATACATACATACATACATACATACATACATACATACATTACATACATACATACATACATACATACATACATACATACATACATACATACATACATACATACATACATACATACATACATACATACATTACGCATACATACATACATACATACATACATACATACATACATACATACATACATACATTACATACATACATACATACATACATACATACATACATACATACATACATACATACATACATACATACATACATACATACATACATACATACATACATACATACATACATACATACATACATACATACATACATACATACATACATACATACATACATACATACATACATACATACATACATACATACATACATACATACATACATACATACATACATACATACATACATACATACATACATACATACATTACATACATACATACATACATACATACATACATACATACATACATACATACATACATACATACATACATACATACATACATACATACATACATACATACATACATACATACATACATACATACATACATACATACATAGATCATACATACATACATACATACATACATACATACATACATACATACATACATACATACATACATACATACATACATACATACATACATACATACATACATACATACATACATACATACATACATACATACATTACATTACATTACATTACATTACATTACATTACATACATACATACATACATACATACATACATACATACATACATACATACATACATACATACATACATACATACATACATACATACATACATACATACATACATACATACATACATACATACATACATACATACATACATACATACATACATACATACATACATACATACATACATACATACATACATACATACATACATACATACATACATACATACATACATACATACATACATACATACATACATACATACATACATACATACATACATACATACATACATACATACACATACATATACATATACATACATACATACATACATACATACATACATACATACATACATACATACATACATACATACATACATACATACATACATACATACATACATACATACATACATACATACATACATACATACATTACATACATACATACATACATACATACATACATACATACATACATACATACATACATACATACATACATACATACATACATACATACATACATACATACATACATACATACATACATACATACATACATACATACATACATGCAAACATGCATACATACATACGAGAGAGGGAGATTGGGGAGAGAGAGGCTTGGGGGGATGGGGAGGATGGGGAGCAAAGGGAGGGAGAGAGGACGACAGAACACGCAAGGGAGACAAGGGAGACAAGGGAGACAGGAAGAAGGAGAACAGGGAGAGGACAATGTCGGCGGACTGAGCCGGAGGCTGGAAAGTTTGGTTGGTCGGTTTACTTGCAATCTTTCGGGCATCCAACTTGGTTGGTCAAAACTTTGCCAAAACAAACAAACAAAAAACAGTTGGGGGGGGTTGTACTAGCACTCAGTCGCCCAAAGGACCCAGAAATAAACGGTTAACCTTTTGAGCCTTTACTAAAAATAGACCAAAATTGGAAAACCAAAAGGTTAACAGGTCGGCTTTGGGCAACTGAGAGTATATGAAGTCAACATTGATTCATTGCCTGCTTTCGCATTTGGCAAATCCGCCAAGCCGCCCTTCGCGGCCTCGCCGCGACCCAACTGCTCCGAGCGCTCCGATGGCTGGCTGCGCCCGGACTGCGTCGCCGGGGCCCCGCGGGACGAAGCGCCCGCAGCGCGGGCCGTGTGCTCGGCGATGGAGCGGGGGGTGGCCTTGTCCTCAGGCAAAAAAGTCTGAGTGTAGACTTCCACCAAAACAAATAGTAATTAGAATAATAAAAAAAAACATGTTAATTATTCTAATCACTCTAAATATAATTAAATGGTTGGGTGTGTCTTTTTGAGGCTACCCTTTTGGAGTAAGTCCATCCGGGGGGAAGAAGTTACAATCAGTTTCTGCCCCCCTCGCAAGCCGCAAAAAAACCAAAAAAAACACCATCGTCTTTTTGTTCGACACGCCAAGCTCCGAAGTTCTCAATCAAGCACCCAGCTCCGAGGGGCGAAAGGAAGGCCCAAAACCTGTCCAGCTCCGTGCACGAGTCAACCCCAAGCCGAATTTCAGAAAACTTCCAGGAACTGAAGGCGAGCCTTCACCATCTTGAGAAGGAGATCCTGTCTCAGTGGGGGGGATTCCTTTACCCCATGGCACATGTGAGTTCCACAGTACTTGGCACCCTTGAGGTCCGTCCGAACAGTGAAAAGCGCGTTTTCTTTGCCCTTTCTCGGGCTTGGTCTAAGCAATGGGTGTAGGTCAAAAATAGGGTAACCCAAAAATGCAACCCTGGTAAATGGAAACAAAGACTAAAGCCTGCGGTTCTCTGGTGGTTTAATTTTGATCCATACCCATATATATTTTTACACTTTCTCCATCAACACTCGTGTGGGGCATGGTCATGGCTCCCTTCATAGCAATCCCTGTGTAAGGGACGGATGACTGCGACCGCAAGCAAGCAAAGACCATCTCAGTGTTTAGCGCCCCCCCCCTCTGCCCCCGGGCGGCAGGGAATATTTCAGCAGGGAAAAGCAGGTCATCCTATTGATTGGGGGTGTTCCACCCCGAAACTCCAAAAGTGGTCTGAGTTCCAACTAAATACAAACACCCCACCGATCAAATTTAACCAGAAATTCTGCTTCATCCGGGGTTCCCACCGGCTGGGTATGCGTCCAAATAAGAGGACCCAACGTGGTTTTCCTGCGTGTTTGCCTTACCAACCCACAAAACAAAGCATGGTTTGCCTTGGTTTCCCTCCAATGTAGTTTCCTTTACCCTGGTCATAGAGTGCCTGCCTGGCCATTGGTTGAACATCCAAGCACAATCTCTGGCACCTCCGTTCCGTCCTCCCGGTTCGGAGCTTCATTCGCCGCATCGGCGGCCGCTTTGCGGGCGGCCGCCTCAGCGATGGCTTGGTCCTCCTCTGAAACGGTCCTGGCGACAGCTTGGTTTCTCAGCTTGGTCACCTTAGGCCCTGGGTTCAACCGATACCCATTAATTAAAAGAAAGGCCCAAGGGGACCCAATTTGGATGATGACGATCCTTAGGCAAGCAATGGTGGTTATATTTTCGCCCAACGATTGTTTGAATTGTGGATTGAATCCCATGGCAACGGGGGAACCACGAGGAATGATGAGTTTGAATCTTCTACAAGGCGGATCCACAAAAGCCACGACTTCTAGAACCATAGATGTCTGCCCAAAGGCACATCCGAACCGTTTTCTAAAACCATAGGTGTCCGCTTCAGGAAATTGATGGTCCTGGCAGATGAAGAAACAAACAACCAGATCAACCAGGAATCGTCAGCTATTATTCACCAACACACAAGAAGACACCTATACTGCAAGGACACGTGAATTGCTTTAGGCGGAAACCACGAGGAAGGCCAAACTCCATGGTGGGGTTCAATTCCCTTTGACACCTTTAAAAAAAAAAAAACGAGTTCGTGGTGCAGCAAGCACCTGGTTCTCAATAAATAAAAAATGGACATCTCCCCCCCCGTCCCATCCCTCCCCTCCCCTCCCTTGCCCCCCCGCCCCGGGCCCCGCCCCCCAAGCCCGCACACCCAGCCGCCTGACCATGACCTTCGAGGCATTCTTGCGGCTGGGCTGCCTCGAGATGGCAGACTTCGGATCCTGCGGCAGAAATTCACGCCTCACTTCCGATCGATCGACTCCCCAGAAGCCAAACGAAAGCAAGTCGATGCTCAATCTAGGTCCTCTTACCCCTTAAAACTCCAAGCCCTGAAAAAGTTAATCTTTTACAGACATATAGCCCATGTCACCCCCAAAAAGTTGAAAAGTTGTGTTTTTAAGAGGTAAGTGGTCCTCAACAGTAGGGAGGATAGAATAAAGGTATCCTTTTTAAAGAATCTATTTTGGTAGGGGAACCCTCCCCTCAAAAAAAAAGGGTAAAAGGGCACTACTGGGGAACCTAGACAAATTGGTCCAAACAAAAATGACTTAAAAGGAAACCAGCTATTCTCCTTGTGGTCTTTGAAGCCACCGCAAACTAGGTAAATCTTTGCAACCCTTGGTTTGGCAGCAACAACATACGGCGCCTTTTGCAGCCCGGAACCTTAAAAAATCCAAAATCAAAAAAGCAAAAAATCAAACAATCCAAAAAGCCGGCCAAAGTGAAGCAAACCCATCCACTGGGCTGACCCATCCAAGCCACCAACCAACGCGGGTCGCAGGCCTTCGCCTTGGGCGAGGCCACGCTGCTAGTGGGGCTGCCGCTACCCGGGCTCAGCGCCTCGCTTCGATCGAAGTCGCTGCATGCTCTTGTCTTAGCTTCCGCTTTAAAGGTCGGCTTTGGGCAACTGAGGCTCTTTTTTTTAGGGCATCTTTTAAGGTATGGTGGATACTTAGGGTCTATTTTGTGACCTTCTTCTTTTAGGGTATCGGTTTTTTAGGATATGGTTGCAAAATAGACTCTAGGTGTACTTGGCACGGACCCCCCTTTTTGGGGACCTTAAACCCCTTGGTATGTTTAGGGGACCCTTGGTATCTTTCGGAAGGCATTTGTTTAGGGGAACCACCTTTTTGGTCATGGTAGCCTCGTTCAGGACAGTTGTCCGACTTTTTTGGTGATACCCCTTTTTGGGCGGGAATAAAGGAACGAAAAGGAACACCACCATTTGGCACGGCACGGCACGCGCCGGGCCCCGAGCATCGAAGTCGCCGGCGCCGAAGATGGCGGTGGCCTGAAAGACATGGATCTTCAGCTGACTTTTTGGGTGTGTGTCTAGGGAGTGGAGTGGATACCCTTTTTTTTTTTTTTTTTGGGGCGTGGGGGGGGGGGGCTGATGTTTTGGGTGACGCTTTGGGTTTTTTTCGACTGTTCTAGGGGACACTTCCCCATTCTTTCCAGGGATCATCAGAAATTGAGGGGAAACAGCTGGTTTTTTGAAAGAACGATGGTTGAAAAGAATGGGGAATCAACCCCTAGAAGAGTGGATGCCCTTTTTGCTCGGGGAAGAGGTGATGTGTTTGTTGTTCAACGCTTTTTTTTGTCCTCCGTAGAGAAACCAACCTCCCAAGTTAAAAACAAACCCGTGTAAGTAGGCACGGTTGTCAGGGAACTAGCCGCCTACTTACTTGGTTTGAAAAATCTAAGAGCTCGAGTCCGGGTGGTGTGTTTCCATTTAGCCCCCCGTGAACACCATCCAAGAAAAAGCTTCCTGGATGTTCAAACCTCATCAAAAGGGTTCGACCATCGCTACATTTCGCGTAACTGGGGATTTGTTCTTTGACGACAGGGTTATTACGGACTTGCTAGGTTTGGGCTGGCCCTTGTGCTAGAACCGAGATAGAACTTGTACCCGTGCGGCTTGGGTCCCCTCATGACCCTTTCTGAGCAAACACGCAATACTACGACCAGTGTTCGACATTTACAACCTTGCCCATTCTCTTCAAAATCCTTCTGCTCCGAAGAAAAAAACTGCTTTCTGTAAGGCAACATGGATCAAGCCTTGGAAACCCTCCCTTTCCCCACCCCCCCCTGCCCGCCTTCTGCGCATAGTTCCGGGACCCGCCGCCCTCCCTCTCCCTCGCTTCCCTCTCCTCGCCAAATGCCTTCTGCGCGCCGCCGGAATTGCGGGCGGCGGACGCTCCCGGCACCAAGGGCCCCTCCGCGTCGCCGAAGGAAGCGAAGGAGGCGACCTTCTGCGACTTGGCGCCTCGGGTTTCATTCGTTCGGGTTTCATTGGACAGTTTTTGTTTTAACAAAATCTATATGCATTGGATAAATGCTAAGTCATTGCAAGACGCTAAATGACAGGGCAAATAATGGAGGGCGAGCGAAGGAGTCCGATCGCGGCTTTGGTTTCATTCGCCGGGCTGGCCGAGAAGCAAAAAAGTATATAGCGTGAGCGAAGGCCGGGTTTGTGTCTTGCAAGGCGGGAAAATTTCGCATCGCCAGTCACTCAACTTCAGTCGCAGGATGAAAACAAACAACAAGTCACGGGGGTGAGTTGGGGTGGGGTGCCTTGCAAACCACATAGCTTCGAAAAGACTCGGATAAGCCCCAAATGGACGCCCCCCCCAACTAACATACTATAAGCCACGTACGTGTAACCCATTCGTAGAATAGGGTTGTGGGGTACTTTAAAACCACAAATGGTCCAATAAGTGCACAATCAGGGATTACACACTTATTCTCACTTCCTGGGTTGATAGTGCAAAACAAATACCAATCAAGTCCAACCACATAGCTTAAGCCTTTAAATTCCCTAGCCGGATTCGCACCTAGTCCAGGGGTTGATTCCTCATTCTTTTCAACCATCCTTCTTTGCAAAAGTTTTAAAAACATCTTTTTTCTGGGGCTCTGATGGTTTTCTGGAATTCGGATCCGTGGGTTCACAATGGAAATGGAGGTGTCCCCTAAGATGGTCCAAGCCCAAAACCTGACTCAAGTCCAGGAGCTCAAAGATCTTCAGCGAACCCCCCCCCAAAATACAAATTCTTTATGTCAGCCCTAGAAAACGAACGTATCCGAACTTTCCCAGGTTTTCCAACAAACAGGACCTTAAAAGACAGGGAAAACCACCACTTTCCAGCAACTACCACCTAAACTAGGAGCTCCAGTAGAGAGGTCCAAGAAAGTGGGTGAGAAAGGGCACCTAGCCTGGTGGACCTAGTTGTGGTGGTTTCCACAAAGTTGGCCCAAACCCCAAAAATGGCTTAAACGGGAAACCAGCTATGTTCCTTGTGGGTTTTTGAAGGGCGGCAAGTCCTTGGTTCTACCTACAAACTAGGCAAATCTAAACCAAGCTCGCCGCGGGGCATTTGGAGCTTTCGGGTCTCTCCCCATCGGCCGAGGGCACGGGACATGGAGACGTCCTCACCGGCGTTGGCCACCGCGGCGATCTTCTGACTCTTCGCCCGGACCCCGAGCTTGGCCTCGGGTGAAAAAACCCGAGGACTTCGCGCTGTATTCAGCTGGTTTCATGGTTGCGGTTGACCCCCTGCAAAAAGTTTAACTTTTTGGGGTTTAGTGGAAAACACCTCTATTTCCCAAAACGTTAAAGTCTAAAGATCCAACCCAATAGCAGTCAAGGTTTTTAGGTGGTCCCACTCCAAAAGTGGTCTGCTTCCCCCCCAAAAAAACAAAAATGACCCCAGATTAATCAACCCCAGTTGATTAGGGGCCCTCTCCAAAAGTGGTCTGATTCCCCAAACCTAGATACACCCCTCTTTTAACTAAACTGCGGTTTATCAATATTCCGTTATATCAGGTTCTCCCCAATGGTCATCCGATGGCAAGGGTTTTCTCACTTCGCGAGTGGATAGGCCAAACAAAGCAACCCAAACTTTGTGCTTGCCACCCAAGCGGGCTTCCTAAAAAGTGACCAAAGTCCATGAGCTCAGGGAGTGAGTTTTCCATATTCGCCATAGTCCACTTGGAGTTGTTCTTGCGGTTCTTGTTAGATCCCGTGTTGGTTCCGCAGGGAAAACTGTGACAACTCAGAAACACGTAGGGCCTCAATGGCAACATTGGTTCGTGACATGTCGTGACCACATTTTGGTGGAAGGGTCCAACATAGACTCAGGTATTTCAAAATGTGTGACTATTTTTTGAGGTACCCTGGACGACCTCCCATTTTTAAGGTCTATTTGGAGACAACCCAAATGAGTGCTTCAAAAGCGTGTCAGATCGCAACTCCTCTCTCTGTGTCTTTAATCCTCCAAATGACCCAACAGGTCCTCTCAAGAAAAACACCCCCCCCCAACAACAGAAATCAGAAAAAGTACACAGTGAATCCCAGTACCCTTAAACTGTGTAATCAGATATTTTCCGTTGGGTGGTTTTCTTGGTTAGCTACTCTACAGGTGAATGGATCCATTCCGTTTTCCATGGGTTTCCGGGACGTTTTCTAGAAAGAAGGAGCCTTGAAACTGGGGACGCCACCCCTAGCCTCCATTTGCTTCAGCCCGCTGGAAACATGAGCAAATATTTCCAGTAGTGGAAGATTCCAACTTTAAAGCCAACGAGTGAAAAAAAACTACGGCAAATGGTAATTAAGCTAGAACTGGAGTAAATGGAATCACTGATAGCCTGGGGTCAAAAGCTAAGAACAGGGCACGAAACGCCAACTTGCCTTGCCGGGATTTTAAAGGGAGGTAAGGAACCCTAGAAAAGCCTAAGGAACCCGAAAAAAGGCTCTAAACTACCCCCCCCAGACGGTTCCAGGGGTGCCTTCCCCATTCTTTCCAGCGATCCTTCTTTCTAGAAAACCTCCGGAAACTCAGGGACAACGGATCCGGCTTTTGGAAAAGAATGCTTGGAATCAAACCCTGGAAGGGCACCTACCCTCGACTGGTTACTCCATCAAGTTCCGAGGCGCGGAGCGCTGGCCGAGCATGGAGTCCCCGGTGACGGTGCGGAGGCCCGGGCCGAGGAACTGGGTGGGCATCCTCAAACTCAGACGCCCAGAGGACCCAGAAATAAAAGGTGATCACCTTTTGGGGCCTTTACTAAAAATAGACCAAAATTGGAAAACCAAAAGGTTCAAAAGGTCGATTCGCTTTGGGCAACTGAGCAAAACAGCCGAAGCCCTAGGAACCCCTCCGAAGCCCCCCGTAAAAGAGAATGGCTTTGGATTTGCACCACCCCGTAAAGTTCTACGGCTTGTAAATCTGGAACCACCCAAGCTCAGGAAAGGACGGTTCACCCAATTTGGGCCATGACCATTGTTAGGTAAACAATGGTAAACAAGGCAACCCTGTCTTTCTTGCCTCCAAAAAGACGTGGATATAAACGGATATAAAAGGAGGGGCCATGACTACAAACTGACACAAAGTTTGAGGTTTGGATCATTTGGGTCGTCTTTTTGTGAGCTGGTACCAACCCTTTTGTGGGTTCTGTTGAGAAAACTAACTTTCAAAAAGGGGGAAATGTATGGCAGCCTCTTGGGTGTTTTCTGTTGGTCTTTAGGGACATGGAAAACCCTGGGAAAATTGGACATTGGAGCCTTGTGCCTTGTTTGATCAAGTAAACCTTACGGTCCTTTCAGGCTGTCTCCGTGGGAGGTAGGCATTGGCAATGCATAATAATCCTTGCAACTCCCCACCCGCAGGAAACCTTTGCCTCGGCCTCCACATTATTTCTTGTCTGGCAGGAACCTAGGTGGGAGGACTTGTTCCATACCTGGGCTGTCTTCAGCTGTCCTGCTTAAAAATATATCTTGCGGGTTAAATGAAAATGGAAACCCAACCACCAAAACCAACTAAAAGCGTTTGGGGGGGTGGGTGAGTTCTCCCCCGTCCTGTGGCCCATAAGCTTCGCGCTGCCGCCGAACCTCGAGTCGAGTTGAAGGGTTGAGTCAAAGGGTTTAATGGTTATACATTTCCGACACATGGGGGTATCGTATTTTTAGGGGAGCCATGCATGCGGTTGCTTTGGAAATCGTGGATTCCTTCTAGTTAGACCACAAAGAAGGGTACCAATTCAAAAAAATGGTCACACACTTACATTCCACGGTCGAAACTCCCAAGCGCATCGTCGGTTCAGTTAATTGGAACTCTTTACCTTGGTCGCATATCCCGAGGCAAGCCCACCCAGACCAGACCGGGAGCCATAAGAAAATTCGCTCGCCTTTGTTGGTTGACTTTAAAGAGGTCCCCCCTTAAGAGCTGCTATGCAACCCAGGGCTTCCAGCTTTACCACTGTAGTAGGTAACCATGGGAAAGCGCGATGTAACATCTAGAAGTAAAAACCCAAAGGGTTAGCTTTTGTGGCTTGCCTGGAAGCACTGGGAAAGGACACTGGAGGTTTCTGCCCCTTAAAAGATGATAAAAGCGCTGGAGCCACAGGTCTGGGTTACCCAGCGCTGGCCACAAGCAGATGGTTCGGGATCGATCTTTGTTCTGAGCTGGCCGCTGGGGTCGGTTCCAGTCCCGCTCGTAGAGGCTGTTGGCTTGGCTCTCCCGGACCTCCCGCGAATGGCTTGTGCAGCGAATGAGTCAGAGCTTCATCCCAATCCAAACAGGTTTTTAGGGGTACCTTCCCCATTCGAAAACCTCCGGAAACCCAAGGGAAAACGGCCGGTTTTTGGAAAGAACGATGGTTGAACAGAATGGGGAATCAACCCCTAGAAAGGTTGGAACTTGCTTGGCCGCAAGTCGCCTTCAGCCTGGGAAGCCTGGAGCTTTTCTTGGGTCTTCTTTGGGTTCCAAGCCACAAGGCCCACGCTCCCCTTGGACAAGCCCCGAAGCCCCGAAGCCCGGGAGCATCGTGCGCGGTCTGCGAGCCGACCAGGCGCCCGGCATCCTGCAAGAGCCCGTTGAAAGCTGCGGCCTGGGGCGGGCGTGGCAATCAACGGCCAGTTGCGTCCAAGGAGAGGAAGTAACCTTCGGGCTTCTTGGTTTTTCTGGTTACATGGTTACATGCCTTCTTTCAGTTTTACATGTTTTCGCTTGTTACATACTATATAGTACCCGGCATCACCCTCTGCCCTTTCAGGTGGAGCACAGGATATTATACACCCTTTCGGTCCGATCGATGGAATTTGGCGCCTCAAAATACACGACCCCTAAAGAAACTTGGGGTGTGGTAAGAACGACCATGAGAGTATGGAGTCACTGAACAATTTGTCGTCCGAGGCCAGCACCGCGCCCAAGGCGCGTCGCACCTTCTGCCAGTTCTTGCCGTACTGGTGGTCTTCGCCTGGCCGCAAGAAGCGTCTGAGACTTGGGCCGTGAGCGCTTTTCTGGAGAGGTGGGGACAGGCGCCCCACGCAATCCAGGTAGGCAATATAGACCAGCTGACCAGTTTGATGATGGGTAAATGTGGGTCAATGCGGGTTACTACTGCCAACATGGATTGGTTTGCTAAATTTTGGTAGCTACCCGGCTCTTGTGGCACCGGCTATGGCTGAAATTGAAACCTCTGCCCTCCGCAACAGTGCTCTCCCGGTGAACCTTGGCAAAAAACCAAGGTCAACCAGGCACACACAGGGGTGCCCACACAAGCGGCCCTTGGCGCCAGGCTTTTTGAACTGACTGCTTTGGGGGCCGATTTAATGTCAAGCTGTTTTTGGCGGGTGTGAAATTATATCAAAGCCTTAGATGTTGCTTTTGAAATGTGGTTTATCCGAGATCTGGACTTCTGAGATTGAGTCTTGGTAATACAACATTAGAATTGCAGCTCTAAGTTATGCACTGGGAATCTGATCAGCAAAATAAAAATCCTAAATGAAGTAATGGAAATCTGACATCAAGTCTTGGCAATACTAAATCGTTGAATTGACAATACTACATCAAGCACTGGGAATCTGAGATGAAGTTGTGGCAATACTAAATTTAGAGTTTGCAATACTCAATTGAGCATTGCCCCCCCCCTCCTTGGCTGGTCTGCCAAAAGAGCACTTGATAGCGTTGTGTTAAGGTCTTGTTCGGCAAAAACTGGGGGAACATCTGGCAGCAGTTGATCCGCCCCGTGCACATGAACTGGGCTGCGGCAAGCCCACTACACCAAACAAGAAGGAGGCATGGGATCCACTGCCAGCAGTCGGCAACCCTGCACCTGTGCCCACGCTGTCATTCTCATCCTCGCTCAGTGGCCTAAGTGGACATCCCAAGCACCAAATATGACCCTGTGCCCTGTGCCATCGGGGAACCTGGGTGTCGTCCATCTGCCCTTAAAACCAAAGCACCCCAAAGGGGCACCCTCAACCCTCGAGGAAACCAAGCAAGGCAGCTTTCAGGGTTCCCAGTTCCAATGGCCGAATTCATCGTATTTCAGTAGATGCCACCCGCAGCAAATGAGTAGGCGCGCATTTCCACCAACTTTTGTGAACACCGCAGAAATGAACGCAGCTCTCGTCGGAACTGCTGGCTTGTGGCTCTTCCCTTCGCGAAACCACCAACCCCAGCCAGTGACGTTCATCATTCCCATGTATGTATACGCAACATGTGTACCCACATTCACCCTCCTAACTCGTCAAAGCTTGGTATCTAAAAACCTACAATGTAGTATTTAACACACACCAAGATTTGGATGGACCACGTGGATTGGTTTTTCTCAGGGCGGTAGCTCACCTCCCCCCCCTGGATTCGCGCGCGATTCGAACTGCAGGGGCTTCGGCTGGAACATCTCCTCCGGATCCGGCGATGGCACCTTCCTGGCCTGCGATCTTTGCTTGCCGAAAGGGAACGAAACCCGAAAAGTGGCGAACGTCCAAGGGAGTGGGTGCTTACAGGGGAAAAACCTGGAGTCTCCTTCTGATACAAAAAATGGGTTGGTCATCACCCAAAGTAAAGGGGTCATGACCAACCATTTTTTTAGGGTCGTAGAAACTTCAGGTAGGGCCAATATGTAAAGGGCAGACACTCGGTTTCCCCCCTACAGGTTTGAGGGTAGTGAAAACTATGATAGATTCCTGCAATATTTGTAAACACCCCACTTAAGAGGAGCTCGCTTTAATGGCTTTCTCAAGGAAGAACGGCACACGGGGTTTAATCCAGGGGTGGCAAACGTATATTTAAGAGCCGCATTTTTCCAAACGGTGGAAGATCCTATCGAAGGATTCCGACGAAAAGGGGCTCCCTGCAAACCCACCAATTTCATTCATGCGGGGTCAATATATGTGTCTTTTCAGGGGACCCCCCCCCACCCATGGTGGTTTCCTTCTGGGCTTCCACGGAAAAGGGGTACCCTCACAAAAACACAGACCCATGATGAAGCAACCCCTTAAGCAACCCCTTGTGGCCACTGACACCTCATCCCAAGCCCAGATGTCAATCAGCTTTCTGGCACCTTGGGTTCTTCCTGAGCTTGGGGGTTAAGGCGAATCAAAAGGAGGGAGACAACAACAAGTTGTAACAAAATCCATCAGGACGGTCACCACCACTGACCACGTCTTTGGGCTAAACAAGGAGTACATTGGTCTGCCGAGCACCAAGCTTTATTGGGGGACGGACATGCCTGATCCACTGATCAAGCGGGGCTCCCCCGCATTGAGATCCCCAGTTCACCAAAAAGGTCTCCATGCACATGCATGTCCTGTGGTCAGCGGCTCAATGGATTGGCCAACAAAAGTATCCAAAAGTAACCGGATTTGTTGGTTGCCACTAAGGTGGTGCAACCAAACAGTGACTAAAATCCGAATCGGAACTTAGGGAATGAATTTCCTGAGTGGAGATAAGGTTTGACCTTTCTTGGCACTCCGGAAAGGGGCGGTGCACGTATTTGGGTGTCTTTTGTTTAGGCCCAAACCCGCCAACACAGGATGAATACATTTGTGTCTGAAACTCTCAGTTCATACGAGGCTATGGCTATGCACATCTGGCGCTAAGGAACCTCCAATTCATTTCTTCAGCTCATTTGCGCCTTGGTCCTACGAGAATAACTTGTGGGTTAAATGGAAACCCAACAACCAACACCTCAGGAACCAGCCGTACACGCGTCAAGCCAGCCGATCACCCCGGCCACAGAGGGGCCCGGCCTCTGCACGCGCTTCCGTGTTGCCACCTCCCACGGAGTTATGACCTGCGTGGCTTGACCGACATGGCGAGCTGCCAACTTCGGACCGCGGAGTTGAAATTATAACGCTGCCACAACACTCCCAAAAGTGCCGGGGTTGGGCTGTCCACCTGAACTGACTGAATCACCCAAAACCGAAACCTGGTGGCCCCCTCTTTGGCCCACGGTGGATCCACCCTGATCCCTTTTTTGGTTTCCCAAAAGGCCCGGAGCCGCTCACCTCACACCTCTCAGTGCCGCTTTCTGGACCTTCCACTGCTCAACCGCTGCACTGCAGGCCCCTTTGGCCCGAACCCGCTTTTCCATGAGTTTGGTGCAATTGGTTGGGCGCCCTTTCCCCCTGGCTGTCTGTCACGTGGCGCTGGCTCTAGACCTGGCAAACCCTGGAAATCGGAAACAAGGGCGCCCCAGCTATGTACATCGAGTCCACGCGGATGAGGCCTCCTTCTTTCAAGTGGGTCTGTTTTTTTTTGGGGACAGGGGACCCCCCAAACTGGTGCTGTTTTCCTTTTGGCTTCCCTTTGGACCCACCGAAAAAAAAGGGAAGACCCTCTCAAACTAAGGCACGCCTACCCTCATTTCAGCATCTTCCCTGGCTCACAGAGCCACTGCAGATCGCAAGGCCGCTTCTTCAGCTCCGGGTGGTACCTCTCCATGAGAAGCTTGGAGTACGTGAACCTCGGGTCCGGCGCAACTCATCAGGCCTAGAGGGGCGAATTCATAGGGCTCCCCTCTTTGCCGCCTGAAAACCATGGGCATCAAAGCTCGCACTGCACGGAAATCTTGGGCGTTGTATTTTTTGAGGGTTCCAGCAAATGGAATGCTGGTAGAAACCAGCAAGCCAGGAGTGGATTTGTCGAATTTCCTGTAGAGCTGATCTAGGATCTGGAGATACAAGGTTGCTAACTTGTTGTGACCTTGGCTAACTATGCCCCCACACGGGAACACCAAAAGGTCTGATTCGGTTGATTGGCTTCGGGCAATAGTAATGGAAGCATTGGCTGTCCATTTGGCTTCCATTTGCCACTATGTCCGTGGGAAAACTATAGCAGGCCTGCCAGGAGTGATCAAACCAACAGGGTGTGTTCAACGTCTGAGTGTCCAAACACGGTGTGTTGTCAGAAGTTATCTTTTTCATGTACACTGTGTACCTTGTTCTGCCCTACCTTCCTTGACTCTTGGGCTTAGAACAGTTTCACTTTTGTCCATGCCACAAATGCGTCGCTCTGGTTAAGCAAATGGAAGTTGGGGTAGCACCCCGTGCTCCTCTTGGAACAGCGGCGTCAGATCGGCTACTGGAAGCCATGGCTCGGGATCTCGCTGGTGCAGCGGGAGGACCCATAGAGCGCCTTGTAGCGGTCCAGGTTGTAGCACAGCCTGAGATTTTCAGTCCACTCACTCCCCGAGCTGTGCAAATCGTTCCCCGCTAATCCTTGGCCAAGAGATGCCTTCAGTTTCGACGCTCTATGCCCCCCATATGCACATCGAAACCACCGCGGAGATGTGCCCACGCATCTCCATCTCAAGTTGCGCACAATGTCGTCCAGCAGTATGATACGGACTCTCATTTCGTTCCCGCAACCGATTGAACCCTACGTGTTTGATCAGTGCGAGGTTATCTTGAAAATGAGTACTACAATATTTTACTGTTAATGGTCGATACAAACAATAGATGAGTTCGTGCTTCTGGAACATACACATGGACCAAAGTTGGCCGAGTGGATATTGGCCATCCCTGGCAAACCGGCCTGCGCAAGCTCCTAATAATTTATCAAGGCTTCCTTCGGGTCAGTTGAGTGGACCCGGAAAAAAGGCGGGCGCCCAAGCAATGTTGAATGAAAGTGGAGGAGAGCCTTCGGAAAGTGTATCGAGAAGTTGCCCCTTAGGGACCTGGAAATGCAAGGAGGTCACTTTTTGGAAACCTTCACAGCATGACCAAATCAGGGAAACCGTTTGAGGTCAGATCTGGTCGGTTCGCTTTGGTTTCGACTGAGTCTTAAACATTCCCCCCCCCCCGCCCCCCGCAGCAGGAATCCTCCTGGAAATTTCATTGGTGATTTTGTCGCCAGGCCCCGGCTCGACAGGGTATATTTATGTAATGCTGTCTTTTTGTTAGAGGACCCACCCCAAAACAAAACACTGTGGTGTTTTTTGCTGGTTTCCTGCCAGAACTTTCACGTAACTGTATGCTGATTTGAGGTTTACTCTTTAGGGGCATAGTCGGGGCTTTGGTGGTAAACCTCTGCTGAAGCCCCCCGGGAAAAAACAAAAAAAGCATTTTCAGTAGTGGTAGATTCCCTTTAAAACCAACCGGGGAAAATAACAATTAGTTTAAGCAAATGCAAGTAAACGCTTTGCATGGAGCAGAAGCGGCGACTTTCCCAAGTGCAGCAAGCCGCTGGCAGTTGGGATCTTTCCCTCGGTATTTTGCCTCAGCGGCTCTTCTTACGTTTCAATGGTCGGACGAACGCATCACCACGCAAGAGGCGGCTCACTTGAAATTTGAAGATTTCTTTTCCGAAGGATAAAACCAAAAACATATGGGGGCGTGTCCCCTTTTAGTGGGGGTTCGTTGGGTTTTCTTGAACAACAACATAGGGAGGTGTCCCCATTTCAGTGGGGGTTCGTCGCTGGCAGCCCAGTGCTCGGTAGGAACAGGGAGCCACGCTCTATGTTGGGCTCGGCCATGTTCAGCGAAAAATTCGCCACCAACGCGCGAGGAAGCGCGACATCTAGGGACCAAACGGCCAAAATGAGCTTTCAACGTAAGTGTCAACGGGGAGGTAAAGGGAATGGCGGCCACGGGAATTCTTGACGGAAACGTCCATTTGCGTTTTCGCCCCCTGGCAAAAATTAGACAATATTTCCAATGGGGAAATCGACTCCCCTTAAAACGAACAGGGACAGGGAAGATCGAACATATTCTCTGCAGCAAATGGAAGCAACCACCAACAACTTACCAACTACTGGCTGTCCTGGCCCTTCAGACGTGGCGTGAACCCACACCCGGAGTTTTTCAACTGCAAGGAGATGAGTGGCGCCCCACGCCCGCTTCGGCCGCGTTCGTTCTTCTCTGAGGCGTCGGCTGGCTGCTCTTTGACCAGGCGGTTGTCCTCCTTCCTGAGAGAAAAGGTGGAGACGGACAGCCAGGATCCCGGACAGTTGTGATCCCAAAAAGTGGATTGCGCAATGACACAAACTGGACTAACGTCGAACATGGGAACACCTTCGGGTCACAACAAAACCAAATAACACACAGCGTGGCAGCACCCTGGATGAACCGCCAAACAAGCACTTTGAGCGCACCAAACAGCACCCTGACGAGCACATGCTGCTAAAAGTGAACAACTTGCAGTGGGTGACATGGAAACCCGACCACTTAACCACCTAAAGACTGCTTCAGCCAAGTTGAACCGGACCTCAGAAACCAACCTGGTCGTCGCTTCGGAAACCGAAACCGAAACTAAAGACCACAAGCCAAGTTGAACCAGGACCTCAGAAACCAACGTGGTCCTCGTTTTTGTTTTGTTGTTCCTTTCGGAAACCGCAACCGAAAAACCGAAAAACAAAAAACCGAAAAACCGATGTGCCCGCCTCATCTTCAGCTCGTAGGTCGGCTTCCCCACCGGCCCCGAGTAGTGCCGGAAGGCCGCGTCCTTCAGGCCGGCCAGAGGGACCTCCTGCGATGAGCCACCGAGCCGAAGAACCCGACGGGTGGTCTAGGGGAAACCATTTCCACCCTGAACCCAAAAATCCGGGCTTCTTTTTTCAGACCGTCCAAAGTTCAGGGGAAAGAACTGGTATTAGAAAGAGCGATGGTGGAAAAGAAGGGGAATCAACCCCTCGAAATGGTTTGTGTGCGCGCGTGTGGTTTTTTTGGGATGTGTTGCATCCTCTTGAGCCAATTTGGATGCATGAAATTCAATAGCGAGCCACCCAAGGGCCCCGCCCATTTGGGTATATGTCATTGTTAAGGGTACCCTCGTCAGTTTTTGTTTGGTTTGGGGGGGGAACCAAAGGAACATTATGTGGAAACCGTTTCTTGGAACCCCTTAAGCGGGTTCCCTGTTTAAGGTTTGGAGCAAGCGACTCAGCACCTTTTTAAAACAAACTATGAAATCACCTTTCTGCTCAAAGCGGTTTACTGTCATCCCAGTGATTCCATTTGAAAAGCACTTCACAAGCCTTGGTATGGTGGCACAATACGTTGTTTTCTGCACCCCCCCTACTAAACATGAACAGAAACCAAAAGAAAAACGCAGGAAACTTGCCAAGAACGGCTGGAAAAATATGTCCAGTAGTGAAATCGATTCCCTAAAGAAACAACAGCAGGGGAAAATAGACAACATCTTCTCTTCAGCAACTGGACGTATACATAGGTGTCCTTTTAGAGGAAATAGATGGCCCTGGTAGATGATTACACCACCAGGTAAACCAGGAATCGCCATCTATTTTTCTACCAAAACAACCAAAAAGGACACCTATAGACTTATAGGTAACTGGGATCCACTCGGATCCGGCCTTGTCGTTGTGCATCTGTGCTGCCTCCTCCCAGGGCATGATCACCTGCGGAAAACGGCAATCTATTAGATTCGTTTTCAAGACAACTTTATTCTGGGGAATGACTCCATTTTTCTAGGCTGGAATTAGGACCCCAGCAAAAAATAATTATTTTGCCTGGTTAGTGGAGACCAAAAGAGAACCCAAAAAAGCAAAAAAGCAAAAGGTTTCCAGGACCCTTAAAAATGGTAGGGCTCTCAATTGGGTTCCATTCAACTGGTCTCTCAATTTTGGAGTTGGTACCTGGAGCACAGAATGGTTGGTTACCCCTTTATTTTGGGGAATGACTCCATTTTTTATGCGGGCCATGGAGACTCCAGGTACTGTTGACCCCATATTAATGTGGGCAACGGGCGTCATCCTTTTCACTGTTGATGTTGACTTGTTGTTTTCCTTGTGGTTTCCCTTTAAACCAACCAAACAAGGGGGCAATGTTGACCCAATTTATTCATCAACCAACCAGTTTATGTGGGGAATCACCCTATTAATAAACTGGTTGGTTGATGAACATTTGGGGTCAACATTGCTCACGTCCGATCGAGTGGATGGGCTAAAAAGTAACCAAACCTTTTGTCTTGGCTGGAACTAGGACCCCAGCAATATATATATATATATATGTTGCTTGGTTAGCGGAAAACAAAGGGGACCCCAAACAAGCAAAAAAAAGAAAGGGGAACTAATTCTGGGGAAGTTATTTACTACTAACATGGTCTTCTCGGAATTAAAAAAAAAAAAAACAAGCCCGGGAACTCGGGATGTGTTCGACTGCTCGACTACTCGACCCTTTCTTCGGCTTTTTTTTTGGGGGGGAGGGGCAAGTGATGAACAGGGAGGGTATACGAACAAATTTCCGCACATTGCAACCAAGCCAATCTGCGTCTTTGTCCGTGGAGTTGTTTAAAAGTTTGCACCCGCCGCAAAAGGGAAACTACATCCTCAAATCGGCCCAGCAAGTGATGTCCGAAAACTACCAAAGAGGGAAAACCAGGGCAGCCGCTTAAAATACGATATGTGGGTCTTCTTTTTGGGGAAACCTCTTTTGGTTGGTTTCAAAGGGGAGGCATGGAAAACCACTAATTGTCAGAAAGGGAAATATAGGTTTTGGCTGTGTCTTCTTTCAGGGTAACTAGTAATTACCCCTTGTTTGATCTTGTTTGTTCTTTTTTAATGGACGCCAAAGGAAAACTAACATGTTGGATGTGTCCCCTAAAAAACAAGACACACCCGTGTAGGAAACCCTCTACGGGTTGTCGCTTGCCCAGTCACCCAGCCCCGTGCAGCCAGGGCATACTGCAGAGCGAAGTCGGAGGAGTAGATCTCCTCACGTCGACATCGCCAACAGGTCCGTGCCAAGAAATTCGGCACATCCAACTTGATTTTGGCCGGGTGCTTGTTCCCAGATGTTCCCAAATGTTTCTCGGAGTTTCATGCCCACGGACCTATCCAGATCCACAGGTGTCTGAACCAATTGGGTGCCCATGATGTAACATTTGAAATTGCGTGTGTTTGGTGTTCAAAAAGAACCCGTGCGCAAAGGAGCAAACTAAGGGAAGCATTTTTCGCAAAGGTACTCCCCTGCAGCCCAACATGGAACCCAAAAGAGGGGGGGCTACCAAAAGGTGTGTTAAATGTTCATTGCAGGGAAATGGAAAAGACGCCCAGACCCCCAGTCATGGCAAGCAAAGCGGCACCTCGTTGGGCTTCAAGGACACCACGCGTCCCAAAAGCACACTCCCCACAATCGGGTTTGTTCCAAAAAAGGGGACAGAAATTGGGGGCTGGTCCTGGCCAAAAGTTTGAAACTTTCTTGGCCACTCAATCATACTCAATCTGTCCTTAAATCGCAAAAGGGTGACTGAAGCTCCGAAACGGAACTCGGGAAGTGAGTTCCGGAATTTTGGAGAAGAGGACCCCATGTGGATCGAGACCGCTTTGTTTGCTATGGGGTCGGCCCAGAAATCGGCGAGGTTGGTGGTTTGGGGCAGCCTGCAGAAGGGTTCTGCATGGAGCCGTTGTTGGGATACCACCTGAACGTTTTTTTTTTTTTCCACGCCTCGCCTTGGAGAACTTCTCACCCAAGTAGTTCCTCGAAAAGGCCCGAAGCTGATCGAGGCTTGGAGGCGGTTCCGGATGCGTTGCTTCCAGTTGTTTTTTTTGCCGAAAAGCATTAAGGCAACCCCGTGTCCCGGTCGATACGCACCCAGGTCCCAACCACTGCTTTTGGACATGGGAAATGCAGTTGCGGGGTGGACTCTTTTGGGGGCTGGCCGCGTGAGGAATAAGCAAAGGGATCATTGAACAACTGGTCTGATTCAGCCTCCCTCTAATTCGTGGTTTGGAGCCCGGTGGTTTAGTGGTTTAGTGGTTAAGGGGTTTCCCATCTACCCTCTCCGATTCCAAATCCAAACCAGAAATCCAAACCACCAATTCGGGGGTAACCTGAGGTAGGGATCAAGAGGGTTCCATTGAACTGGTCTGGCTCTCAATTGAAATTAAAATCCAACTTTGGAGTTGGCACCTGACTAAGTAGCTTGAACACGCAAGTAGAGGACGCAGAGGAAGGGGACTTCCACGGTGAGGGTCGAACTTTACTCGGCAGGGCCGAATTTAATCCCATCTTGCCAAAAACCGATGACACGACCCGCAAACCTTCCTTGGGCAAAGTTCGCCGGACTGAATCAATGTGTTGGATAGTTGAAGCATTAATATGCTAATTTGCGATGAGGCAATTTGATTGGATTTTGCAAAGAATCGGTGCTCCTGGATCTGTGGAATACCACCAGGGACCATGCGCCAACATCTTAATGGGGGTCGAGCATGGGGCGTGGCCTGGGATGCCTTACAGCCCCAGAAGCCCCTGGAACCCTCACAGAAAGCTGAGCCGGAAAGGGGCCCATACATTTTAGAGCTTGCTTCCGTTTTGCAAAAACCAAAAGAGATAAACAGTTCTCTGGCCAGCAGGATCTTGCAAACAACCCTGGGCCAACAAAGCATGAGCAACCTCCCCTAAACAGTTTTATGGGAGAAAACCGCGCCCCTTCGTCACTTAGGGAAAACAAGGCGCCAGTCAATCTCCGCCACGCGCTCATCCGACAAAGCCTCAGTCCATCGCTACGCCCCCCCAAATTCGTAGTCATAGGCCCTCCCCTACCCACCTGCCACTTTACCCCAGGAGTTGCGGACGGGGTGGATCCTATGATGTCAGGGGCCTGGTGGGGGCATCCGCAAGAATTCAGTCCATCCCCTTTGGAACTGTCTTTTTGCCAAGCTTGATCGCCAGGAGCAGGGCGCGAAAAGACTAAAAAACCGAAACATGACTAACATGACCGATTAGGGAGGGTTCAAAGTGGGATTCCTTTACTCAGTTGGCTTCTGCGGACAGAAGTACAAGTTATCATTTTTTTTTGGGAAGCACATGACTATAAACGGACCAAACGGTCGATTCGCTTTGGGCAAGGGGTGATGTAGGGGAAAGCATAGGGAGCCCCATGGCAACGGAGGCAGGGCTTCTCGGCATGAGGCAAAAGGTGCATCGATCCCCGCGAATTCGTTGAGCCAGAGTCGCATCCAGGATCGCCTCCCGCTTGTAGTAGGACCCCCCGCAAAGCCCGGCCTTAGCGGCCGTCCAAACCTACCGGGCCCCCAAGACTTCCCAGAAAGGCATATCCCAGCAGTTACTTGACAAGCTCAACTGGCTTGCTCCAAGCTCTCAGCAAATCGCGATCGAGCTTTTCGGAGCGCAATTTAGGCCCTTTAGTTGAACTCGAACTGTTCACACCAACACCGAGCACATTTTTCAAGCCCATAGCTCTCACCCGAAACCGACACCGACACCCGGAAAAAAAGAGCTGATCCGCGCCCAGGGCCAAAAAAACGTCGCCGTGTTCTGTACCCCTGGGATTTTGTCATGGGGCAACCCCCCGAATGTCCCATAACCAACAGTAGACTACCAATTCCATGGTCAGCGACTCACATATCAAGCGCACCTATTTCAGGGGCACGCGGTTGAGCTCTCAAATTCCACAAGGGCCCCTGATTTTTCCAATACGCCTGCGCCAAGTGCGGCAAGCGAGGCATCAGCGGGTTGTAAAGGCGAGGTAAGAAAAGCCATGTTCAAATCATTCAAGCCAAGCCATCATGTCTGCCTGCCAAACAAAACTAGGAAAGCTATCTCAACTCAGCTTGCCCCGTGAAGGGACTCAGCTCGCAGGCCAAAAGCTGCGGCGTTCAGCCTGGCCACCTACATGCGGGTGGTGGTGAAGTAGTCGGGCACTGGATGGTTGTCCACATGCCACCGCGGGTGCACGCGACAAATCGACACGAAAGGATGATGTAACTCTTCGTGCCAACTACACTGAAGCTGACAACGCGTCTCCTCTGGCAGCTCCCGAAACTTCATGGGACGAATACGCACCGTCATCTGAAGTTGCAGCCCCGCGTTTCGACGTAGGACGCTCGGATAATTGGAAACGCGGTCTTCGGCCATGATGACCTGTCCGTACTTTTCAACCTTATCGTTGAGGGCATCGATGTCCTCACCGCTGCCATCAATGTCTAAGACCTTGAAGACTAGTAAATCCTCAGGGTTTCGCTAAAAGGTTTGGTGACAGATGTCGAAAAGACACAGAAACATGGTTCAACTTTCAACTGGACACATGCTGAACCCTCTGTTTACAGATGTTGAATGATCTCAGAAGTCCAGCTGGGAAACCCCTCCCCACATAAGGAAAAAGAGATAACCAAATTGAGCGCCCTGGACAACTAACTATTAAAGGCTCCCCTTTGCAACTGATTTGGCCACCCATCATTCAAGCCTTGTGCTCTTGACCTGGCGAGAACAGAATGCTCCCAGACGGCAGAATTTCATATGGTCGCGGGATTTGATCCTTGATGGTCAGGTGCAAAGGTTCGCCCGGAAATACTTTGTGAACGAACATGCCCAGCTCTTCCTTACTCGCAACCAGGGGTTTCCCATGGGGCAGCAATCTCAAAAAGGATTCGAACTGCTTCGAAGCCCGCCAAAAGAAAATGGGAAACAAACTGCCATATAGCTGGGCGTCCATGCCCCACCAAACCGCTCCAAATGCATCTCCCCGCATGCCTTCACCATCGGGGCACACCATGCTCACAGTGCAATCCAGGTCAGCCCACGATTCCACGGATGCGCTGAATTGGGTGCACTGGGCCGCGCTAACACCTTGGCAGCCTTGGCCTCCTTGGCCTTTCTTCTTCTTCTTTTTCGTCTTCGGCCCAGGTGGGTCATGCAGACTCCTGATTTGCGGCAGGAAAGCTAAGGTCAGCGCCCCTTAACTACAGGTAAGCCAGAGACTTTACCGAGAAGGGTGATCTGCTTCGGTTGCAAGAGGGGCAATTCAACCCCCTGTGTTTCAACGAGCTCAAGGCACAGTCGTTCAAGCCTCCTCTTGCTTTCTCTCATTTTTTTGGAGCTCTTTTGGGAGTCTGGCTGTTCGCACAATTTTGCCCAATTGCGTACGAGCTTCGCTTCCTTCGTGTCCCCAACTGCGAAGATGTGGTAGCGCGGCGCATTTTTGAGGTAGGTCGGTCTTCGGTCGGCATCCCGGCGGTCGCCGAAGCCTGGCCAAAGGCGACACCTTATTGGGTGGAAGCGAAAGGTCGAGGAAAAATCGTCACTGCGTGGGCCCTGGACAAGACTCACCGGCTGAGTGGATAGCCCAAATAAAGTTTGAACTTCTTATTTACCACTAAAATTGTCTTTCCAAAAAGTTTAAAGTCCACCAACTCAGGAAGTGAGAAGACTATGTGCCCTGAAGGATATGCCCCCCACGTCGCACACTAGACTACCAATAAAATCTTCAGATGCTCAGTTGCCAGGGCGGACCAAAGTGGAAACCCCAAAAAATGGAAAAATGGATCGCATGTTCTGGGTGGTGATTTCCTTTCAGCCATGCCCCTAAGACGGAACCCAAATCAAGGAAAACAAGGGAAAAAAAAAACACAAACAAACATAACTCGCGGTGCAAGCATCGATTGCAGTAGCCCGGAAAGTCCTCCGGGCGAAACTCTCGGGACCGCTGCAGCATCAGACCACATGCCTCCGCCGCTTCCTTGACCTCCCGGGGGGCCAACATGACCTCCAAAGTGACATCCTAAGTATCGGCTTGATGTCACTTCGTACTATCCATTGCTTCCTAATGACTTCACTTTGGATGACACTTTGATCACTTCACTTCGTCATTTCCTAATGACATCCTATTCATCACCCCAAATGCAATTCGGAGAACATCTCAAACAGCTCCCCTTAGGCTTTCCACATTTTGAGCCAGACCCATCTCCCTTGGAAGGGGCGATTCAGTTTCGGCCGGCCTGCCTCCCACCTCCCCAGCTGCTTGCCAACCAAACCAATCCAAATCTCTCCGCCTGAGGGATTTGGATTTGTCGGACATTGGCCACACGGCAGATCCCTGTTGTGTGACTTCTGCTTCTTTCGCAGGATTTATTCTGCGGCGCCCGTTCTCTTTGACCGTCCCGACTATTTTTGTGGGCGGCATTATGCATGGAATCCAAGTATCCTCTCTAGAGTAAACCCCTTTTAGGGAAAAACATATGCGTTTTGGGTTCCATGTCAACTTGCAGCGCTGCCCTCAAAAAGGAGGGCCACCGCCCAAGTCTCTTGCCTGCCACAAGGGTCAGCTGGGCGTTTCGCAGGAAGTTGTGGACCATTACCCGCGTGCCGCTCTCTCGCTCCTCCTTACTCCGCCCCGAGCCTAACACAAAAGGGCCACGCCGATTCGGGGGTCAAATTCACAGCTCCAGCCTCCAGTTGAGAGGAGCGTGGTGGAAGAAACAAGCTTGCAGGCGCGCACACTGTTGGTTTGTCTCTCGGGGTTTGGAAGAGCAACTTTGAACGTACTAAGTCCCCCAGTAGTGCCCTTTTACCCCTTTTTGGGGGGAGGGTTCCCCTACAAAATAGAATGCAGAAAAAAGGGTACCCTTATTCTAACCTCTCTACTCGAGGACCTGAAGAGTTAGTCACTGGGAAAACGGAAACAGAGGTGCCACTGCATAACCTGGCTTCTGCATTGCAAGTCTTCACATAGGGGAAGTTCCACACGATCACATTGAAGAGCTGCGTGCGACAACGAGCATAGAGATCCATTTGGGTGCTGGTAGCGTCTGTGTTGAAAAGCACCTTGGCATCGCTGCCGATCAAAATATCCATATTGTCCCTGACTTCTTCACTCCGATACTGCTCCAAGAACTCTTTCTCGGACTTCTCCAACACCGTGCAGGTCAAATTGGACGCACACACGTGGCCTCCGCGAATCAAGCTGCAGCTCCATGACAAATCCCCGTCGCCAACCACAAGAACGCGTGCGCCGTGGGGAAAATAAGCGTCCTCCTTCTGGCCATCTTCTGCCCAGGTGCCATTGCGCCCTGCTCCAATGACTTCGCGCATGACCGCTCTTTCATATTCGAGCAGTTCTTGGCGCTCCTCGAAATCCGCAGCCTTCGGGCAAGTTCCAACGACCTGGAAAGCGCCATCCGCATCCTGTGTCACAAGCCTTCCATCAGGCCACGCCATCACCGGGGGCATTTCCTGACACATCTGATGTGCAGCTCGGGCCCTCTCAAACCCTTCCTCGCTCCAGCCCGGTGGTCTCGGGCCTTGCAGAACCCTCGCGACTAACGCATCTACTACACTCATGCCCTCCAGAAGGCGATAGCCCGCCATTTGGTGGGTTGCCTTGAAAGGCCCAAACCCTCGAGTAAACAACCTCTTGTTAAGCTTGGGCTGTTCACTTTGTCTTGTTTCAAGCCACTTCATGTTGCTTAGGGTCTGACTGTTGATAATCAAACCGAACCCTGGCGTTCCAGCGCTTCATTGAGTGCTGGCCTGAGCCAAAATGCTATGCATCTTTTGTTCGAGCCCCCTAACAGGCCCATGAAGGGCGTCCACACATGTGCCCTGCATGCCGGACCCAAAAGCAACTTGCTCGATGTCAAGAATCTCGCCCGCACACCAACCATATTCTCCAACAACAACAAATGATAGTGCACAGAACCCGCTTGAAAGGGCCCCGGCGCAATAAACCATGTCCGCAGCTTGCAAGCGCTGTTCCTCATGTTGTCCCAGATCAAGATTTCTGCCTTGGGGTCTGGTCTAGCGGGCTGTGGGCAAATATGTGACTAGTTCAACATTTCAATTAAACTGTAAAGTTGATGATGATTCTGTAAAAAGGTGTGTGTGTGTGCCACCCCTTTAAGCTTGAAGGCTAGATGCGCATGCTTTGCAGGTCCATGATGATACGGGCGCCGGCTTAAGCTGTGCTCGAATCCATCCCAACCTGGTAGCAACTTGGAGACCAAGTCAAAGCTGGTTTCCAATACCCAAACCCCTCTCTAGAAACAACAAAGGCACACTATACCCCTTGGGGTATAGGTTTGGGGGTAGCGGCATCCGTTAGACAAAGAGGCTTGGATAGGTTCCCCATCTACCTCCATTTAGGGGTTGCTGGTGAAACAGTTGAAATGGGCAAACGGGGCAACGATTGCGTAAAAGCCATGGAAGCGTACAAAACCAGGTTACCTAAAACATGACGGCAGTGCTGGTGGGTCAATTAGAAGTCGGGCACCCCGTTGGTAGATGCTTGGGCAACATCCATCATCTGAGCTCCTTTTGTGCAGCATTGGGTTGTCTAAAGAAACCAATCCCCAAAAATTGCATACTGGAGGTCTGGGTCGTTGGCCAAGGCACGCCGCAAATGCCGATGCTTACCCTGATCGGTTTTGAGTGGTGATTTGCGAGTTAGGGCGTGGCCCCGACTTGAAGTAGGCGTTGTTTGCTATGCAACCTTCAGGGCATCCAGTGCAATTGACTGTGGCCGGCCATGGAAAATCAGCCAAAACGGACTTCGCAACTGTAGGCATCTTGGAAGATGCGCGGCAGGAACTTAGGCAGCACTTCGATAGCATTTTGGATGGCAGCCTTTCCTCCCATGTGTCAACCATTCTGGCTGGTGCTCAGGGAATGACCCAGGGTGTTGGGAATGAACCTGGCTCAGGAAACCACAAGGGATGGTGTATAGGAGTCATTCCCTCATTCCGTGCTGAGAATCAGCAACCATTAAGAGAAGGCCTTTTGGCTGACTCCTCCAGGTTGCATTTCCTTTGGTTTTCCTGGGCGCCCGACTTGCTGGTTCTTCTTTGTCCACCTCGATCCAATCGAGGGATCAAGCATCTAAAGTTTAGCCGTGGGTGAGTACCATCTATATGCCGATGTGATCTGCAATTGTTTTACAATGTATCCAAAACCTGAACAAATGGATCCGCACATACAGCATCTTTACCATGGGGAGCTGGTTTTACCAGGTGTGCTCGCCATAGATTAGGCAGACGTGCAGTTTTTATCGACAATGTTTACACGAAACAATGCGTACTGTCCATGTACACACTACCTACAAGACAAAGTTGCCAGTATCATGGGCACACATCATTCAGCAGCATATCTAACAGTGCCCAAACTGGGACCACGAATGGCTCTGATTGCCGGGCGAGGGATTTTGCTCACAGGGCCGGTTTTGGTGTATGTGACAGCATGTGCATGGAATTCAGCGAACAACAGAAACTCCCGCAACCACTGATGCGCTTGCAGCCGACCAACCACGAACAAAAGCAAGGAACCAAGCAACTAAGCAAACACATTCCTCACTTGCCCAAAGGATCTGGGAGTAAAACGTTAACCTTTTGAGACATTGACTAAACATGGACCAAAACAGGAAAGCCAATGGTCAAAGATCGGCTTTACTAAAAGCGCAACGAGACACCAACAAAAACCACGGCTGCCAAACTGTCCCCTGGAGGCGCATGGCTTGAAAGCGGCCGAGCTGCTTGTAGCCAGAGACCCTCTTCTTTGAAAGCTTCTCCACCTGCAAGTCTCTCTCATCCCTCCGATTTTGGGGGTTCCACTCCTTTAACTAGAAGGAAACTCGTCTCACACGGGACGAATAATTTTTTGTCCTATGTTTCAGGTATCACTCACTCACTCAAGTTGGCACGGGGCCTCTGGGCGCAGCTGATTTATTGGGGGGGGGGGGGGATCAGGCCCAAGAACGGTTTCAGGTCTCGCCGAACTGGTGGCTTGGAGCCCGCTGGCTTGGGCTCGGATTCTGACGAGGTGCTTCTTGAGGGAGGAAACAAAACCACCCGGTTAACCGCCGCACCAAACCGCCCGACTCGGCTCCAAACCAAGAAGCGGGGAAGCTGAGGATTTTCCCACACCGACCCAAAACGCGGGCAGCTTTCCAGCCTACCTTCAGGTAGAAGGGGGGGGGGTTCCCGAATTCAATTTTTATCTCGTCTTCCCCATAAAAGGAACATTGGTTGCCAGAAATTGAGATCTCCAGCGGTCAAAAACCCCCTCCCCCAATTCCATTTTTAAGGGGCTGGGGATTCCCAGCCCGGTTGAAACTGTGAAACCGCGTTGCTCGGCTTTTTGAAATTGCGGGCGCTGAGACTCCTCACCTGGACGCCACCGCGGCTTATGTCTCAACCGGGAAATCTATGTTAGTGACCGTTTGTCTCAACCGCCTTTTGTCTTTCTGAAGAAACATTGCTGAGAGATGGATGTTCTGTGGGAGGGGCCAGGTTGTGAGTAGGAGAAAAGTAGTAGATACCGCAACCGTCTTGCAGGGTTCCCACTGAACTGCCTTTTGGAGATACGGCCGGGGAAGCATTTCGAATTTAGGGCAGCCAGGCGGCGAGATATTTGCAAACTCTCTTCACCAGCGGCGAGATCGTGGTCTTTCATTGCTTCCAGCGGTGAGGTTCTTGGCTGGCAACACCAATCGCGGCGAGATACTCTAGGAGTAGCTCTCCGCCCAGCCATGCCCTCGAGAACCAGAAATCTCTCCAACTTGGGCCTGGTGGCAACCCCCTCAAAGTGGAGAGCTACTCTGGGAGTAGCTCTCCGCTCCTGCTTGCTGTGTCTTACTGAGTGATTAGCCCCATAAAGGGCCCCACAAAAAGGAGCGGAGAGCTACTCCCAGAGTAGCTCTCCACTTTGAGGGGGTTGCCACCAGGCCCAAGTTGGAGAGATTTCTGGTTCTCGAGGGCATGGCTGGGCGGAGAGCTACTCCTAGAGTATCTCGCCGCGATTGGTGTTGCCAGCCAAGAACCTCGCCGCTGGAAGCAATGAAAGACCACGATCTCGCCGCTGGTGAAGAGAGTTTGCAAATATCTCGCCGCCTGGCTGCCCTAAATTCGATATGCTTCCCCGGCCGTATCTCCAAAAATCCGTCCAGTGGGAACCCTGCAAGACGGTTGTGGTATCTCCTACTTTTCTCCTACTCATACAGACAGCATTTTGCATTTGGCAACTCGGCGCAAGCAGGCAATAGCTGAACAAAGAAGAAACTGGAATGGCAAACGCACCCCTCCCACAGAACACCCCTCTCTCAGCAATGTTTCTTTTTAGTGACCGCTTTTTGGTCGGGTGGCTTTTGTCTCACAAAGCGGTCAATGGGCTTTTGTCTCCATTTTAGTGAACCAAAAACATATGGGACCAAAAAACAGCCTCATTGACATTCTGGCCCATTGAGCATTTCGTGAACCAATAGAAACTAAATTACGTATCCACATTACAGCGGAACAACACAACATAAAATCAAACAAGATCCAAGAAAATCTCAAATCGTCATGATTCGCCTTCAGACTAGGTTCCGGTGGAAGGATACCTCCAAAAACCACCTACTTTACGAGGGGGTTCTCTAAATCAGCTGGTATTTGGGTGATTTGGCTGGCCCTGGTCTCCAAATTTGCTTAAGTACCCTGGAAAGAAACAAATAAGTTATAGTGATACACTCCCTTTGACACCAACACGGCAAGATAAAACAATTGTTCGTCCAGCAACTCGGTCTGTCTTCTTTTAAGGGTGCTCCCAGTTGGTTGGCTAAGGGAACCAAAAGGAAAACCGATGCCTTTTTTGGGGGTGCCCCACCCAGATGGGGCAGCAGCTGGTCTTTGTTAAGGGACCCGTGTTGAAACGCCACCCGCTGAGTCGTAAGGCAAGGGGCATAATCCGCCCCTGCAAAGCTGCGGTCCCTGACCAGCACGCCGCCCGCATCGTGCTGCGGCCGCTTCTTGATAGGACCGTGGATCCTTGGTGATGTGGATACCCCTCACCAACAAACAAGGTGCTTCGCTGTGGTTTCCCTTTGGACCCCCCCAAACCAAAAACAGTGGGAACCTTCAAAACAAGCCCCAAGAAAAGGAGCAGCAAACGAAGAGTTGTGTCACTCTGACAAGTAAGTCAACCACAGCCAACCGCAAGCATTGGTGTGTTGGATTCCTTCCAGAATATGAACCTATGCCAATGTTGGACCCTAAACCGGCTGCATGTCCAAATGGTTAGTAACTTGTTTATGCATTAGAAGTGGCTCATACCAGGAGGGCATGCATTGACTTCTGCATTCTGCATTTCAATGTCCGAGTTGCGAACCTGATTGGATCGAGTCATAAGAGCTGGTGACTCAAAGAAGTCTGACTTTAAAGCCCCGAGACAATGGAGAGAAAGATTTCCGAGCCTTGGAGTCCCCAACACCTCCATCTACCCAGGATTTCCAGGTGTTGACTGTCGGACATGACCATCCTAAGCTCTGAAAGCACATTTTTCGAGGGGCCTAAGTTGTTCGCATGCTGGGCACGCTTTGCGAGGACCTTCGCCAGTCACTGAATGTGGCCGTTTGGACTGGACATACAAAAAGCTAAGATGCTGGATGCATGTTGAACACCGCCGTCCCTAAGGCAAGACAATTGATTGCCGGGTCCCTGAAAAAGTCTGACGGCCAACGGGTCGTATTCGAAAAGCCGTGGGGCGTGTTGTCAGGCTCCAACATGATCACGAACTCCGTCTTCAAGGTTAGCGCCGCGTCGTACAGCCTGACCGGCTTCCAAAAGGCGAGTAAAGGGGAAGCACCTTGGATGTTCGACAACGTAAGTAGGGCACAGCTGGGTTAGTACCCTCATAAGTGTGGTTCTCACCTACTTACCCGACGTTGGCAAAACAACCAATTGGAATGAACCTCTGATAGGATCAGCTCGCGATAAATCAGTCTGAAATCGTGGCACAAATAGCCCGGTGGACGTGTGTGGGCAAAAGCGAGAGCACCCTGATTTTGCGGTGAAAAGGGGGTTTACCTGTGATTGACCTTTTTGGATGGGTTGTTTTCAAGCGAACCCCCTGTTTCGAGAAAGACACAAAGAAGAACGCCCTCCCGGGGAAAATAGAACAAAAACGAACGGAATTTTGAAACCTCGGGGGGCAACTGGAAGGCGTTGGCGATGTCCGCGCCTTCGGAAGAAGGGCCAGGGATGCCAGCGGTCGTTGGAAGGCGGGCACATGCTGAAGGTACAGCCTAGCGAAAGCTGTGAATGGACTTGCTTGCCCCGGATGGAACCTGAATATAGGTGGCCTTTTGGAAAAATAGATAGGTTTTTCTGGGCAATGGAACAAAACCCATCTAAACCAGTGGAACCCATCTATTGTTAACCAGGCTCACCTAAACAGGACACCTATGGACCTGGAAAGAACGGGTCAACCTTTTGGGACCTGGGATAGGGGAATTACAAGGTCAAACGGTCGGCTTTGGGCAAGCGGCAAGTGTTTGACAAACACATTCGCGAGTGAATATGCAACCACATGTGTGCTAGCCACGAAACGGGTCTTCCCAAACTAACATGAAGTCCAGGAACTCAGGGAGTGAGTCGCCAAGTTGAGTTGCGAGCGCTACTGGAGGCCAATGGGTCCATACCACAGTTCACGCACCCCAAGTACCGAATTCCCAAGCCAGGGAATCCTTCAAGGCGTCCCAGCTCGTTCTACTCACTTGCGCAAAAGACCCGGAAATAAAAGGTTACCTTTTGGGACCTTTACTAAAAATGGACCAAAATGGGAAAACCAAAAGGTCAAAAGGTCGATTCGCTTTGGGCAAGTGAGTCTACCCCCCCCCATTTTTGGTCCGCGACTCCTGCAGAAAAAGGGGCCAGAGCAAGGATGCCTCTGAGCTACATGGATCCGAAACCCAAGCTAAGTACCAAGGGTGATACCCGCCGCAAAAAAACAAAAAAACAAAAAACAGAACGGTTGTTCAATGTTAATGGAAAAAAACCTTGAAGAGCCATTTGTTTCCAAAAGGTCTGGTCTAAGAGGCGTTTCGATCACACCAAAAGACCCGCCAGGAGTTTGCCCTCATGTTACTGCAAGGCCTCCGTTGCTCAGAGACCTTGGTTTGAAAGGGAGCGTTGTTGGGGATGACAAGTTTTAGTGATGAAGTGCCAAAGAAAAAGGAGAACAAGGGTGCCGCTGAGCAACTGGGGACTGCTCGCTTGCAAATCAACATGAAACCCAAACGAGGTCTGGTCCCCAACAAGAGGTTCGTCAGGGCGGGTGTTCAGAACCCCAGGGGAGTACCACCCAAAGTGTCGAAACGGGTACAGTGACCCACGCACAGGAAACGGCACAACCTCCATTTGCTGATAAGTCCCCTGGAAACAAATGAGCAAATATTTCCAGTAGTGATAGCTTCCAGATTTAAAACCAACAGGGGAAAATAACAAAATATTCTTAGCCGAACGGCAAACAAACAGAGGCCTTCTTCTTCACAGAGTGGCCCGAAATCTGCGCCGCCGTCGCCTCGCTCGGACAGTCACATCCGATGCTTGTGGTGGAAGTGGACCCCTTGTGATACCAAAGTGGGTTCCTACGCAAATACACACACACACACCAAAAAAACGATGCCTCTAAGTGCCCGTCTTTTGTCAACTTGATGCTCTTTTTGGGGGTTGGTCTCTAAAGGAAGCTAGCAGGAAATCTCCGAAATCCATGTTGGGTCCAATCCTAAACAAGACACACCGGAAAAAGGTCGGCACCAGGCTGTTGACTCGCAGTGCTTGATTCCGGTTTCCTTGCCATACCCCCGACTCCAAATTCCCGCTTTTTTTAGGGTATCATGTCGACCCTCTACTAAAAAAGGAGGTATTTACCTTATAAAACCAGGTTTTCCAAAACATAGCCTAGAAAAAGTGGGTATTTGGAGTAGGGGTATGACTGATACTGAAGGCCCGGAACCCGAGCTGGGCCAGTGAACCGGTGCAGCTCCCCGGCCGATTTGACCGATGCCCAGCGGCTCATGATGTAAATCGGCGACTTGGGGAAGACTTCTTTGAGCCTCCGCACCTCCGAGCACGGGCAAGAAGCTCAGAGGCAAAGGGTGGGAAGGAGGGGAGGGGAGGGGAGGGGGGGGGAGAGGGGGGGGGATACTATGTTCTCTTCAGGATGCGAAGATGGCAGCATACCTTGTTTGTTGGCAGGATGCTAAGATCGCTAAGATGGCACTACAAAGCCAAATGGCCACAAAGAATCTTGTGTATTTGGCAAGGTTGCGAACCTCCTGGCTCCGCTTTGTACAACATGATGCCGATTCGTTCAGAGGGCCAGTTGGTGTTACTAGCTGTTTCCAACGATAAGGCCCACACGAACCTTTGCAACCATGTCAGTAGAACCAAACATCACCGGTTTTTGGACGCTGCTCATATGGAGCGGCCAGTTGTGCAGTACATTGTTCTGAACGGGATCTGTTTCAGACAGAGCAAGGATGCGCGGGCCGTTTTCGAGGTTTGGAACAATGTTGGTGAAAAGCATATCTCCCTTGCTTGAAGGATGAACCAGTGTGAGCTATCATGAAAGGCCTTGACTTTCAAAACCTACCCTTGCAACCCCTGGTAGCAACAAATGTGTTGATTTTTGCAGCCCCCTTGGAAATGAACAAACCCGAACAATAATTAAACAAATTCTTAAACCTGATCCAACCGTGAAGATATTGAGAGGCCCCCCAACCACCTGATAGATCACCGCCGCAGGTGAGTGGAAGACGTGAAGGTAGAAGCCGTAGAGCTCACCTGGTGGTCATTTCAGGTACCACTTGGCAGTTCGGAGCCAGCGAATCGTAATTTGGGTTTAGTGGTTGGTTTAGTGGTTGGGCGTCCATATTCAACCCACTATTAGCTAACCTTTAAGCAGGGCAGGAGAGCTTCAATTGGTGGTCTGGATTGGTGGCTTGGATTTGTGGTTCTTGTAGAAGGTCAATGGGAAGCCCCTCCAATTTGCCAATCCAAACCCAATTACCTGATCATTCGTAGCCTCCCCAACGATCCTTCGGTTCATGGGCCAAAACCCCAATGTGTGGCTCCTGAACAGAAGGATGGCTGAAGAGAATGGGGAATCAGCCTTTAGAAGTGTGCTGATCACATAGCATGCAACTTGGACAAGTCAAGTCACTCCCAGATTTGATGGTTCAGATTAGGGGAAACCCTGCAAGTTCACGAGCTCGGAATGCAAAAAGCCGGATCGATCGGTGGCGGCCGGCGTCAAAAACACTCCAAAACCAGCTCAGCTATCCAGGAACAAAGCGAAAGAGAAACATGCTTCGCCGGGTTGTTCATCCCTTCTCTAGATTCCTTATGACAGTCCCAAAAACCCCAGTTCCCCGGAAAGCAACAAGAAAAGGGGAGTGTGCTCGTCAAACCGGGGGGTTTCCTTGGGGTCCGAGTCTCGGGATTTTAGTTCCCTAAAAAGCAACAAGAAAAGGATGGAGCCGGGGCACTCCCAAGGTGCACGCCTGCTTGGGTTGTTTGAGGGGCTTACGTAGGCACTTAGTTGTTTACGGCAGCCGGCTCAGGCTGTCAGCACCTGAGGCCTGAGGGCCTTGCACTTGACCCAAGGTGCGGTGCGCCCCCAAAAGTCCCAAGTCCAACTTCAGCCCAGTGAATCCCGGGTAAAAGGTAACTAGCTGTTGTCCTTTTTGCAATAAATCCACTGGGTTACTAGTGGCATGTGGTTGTTGTTTTTGAGTTGCTTGGCTCTGTTCATGTTTAGCGGGTGGCTTAAAAAAAAGCTGTCATTTTTCTGCTCACATGCCAAGGGCTGGACGGTTTCAGCACCGCGCCATCCTCTGGACGAAAGCGCGCCTTCACCAGATATGCTTGGTGGCGAGGGAGTGGGATTTCCAGCGACGCTGAGCGCTCCTGTCAAGGTGTCAAATAGGAGGTCTGGCAAACACAAACACATCCCCTCTTGCTCCTTCTCGGTATAAACACGCTACATGCGATTCAGCAACTGAACAAAGCAACTTGGATATACGTTTGTGGTTTCTGAAGCGACTATTGGCTCACCTCGTGAGTGGATTGGCAAGACATAGCTTAAACTTTGCATTTAGCACTAAATGATCTTCCTAAAAAGTTTGAAGTCCAGGAACTCACTGAGTGAGTTGGTGTGACCCACAAAACCAGAATCCGAGTTTTCCGGCGTCAAATCGGAAAAAAGAATCAGATCGAGACATCTGTACTCTTAGGTCTCAGAGTTCATCCACGCACTCTGATATGTCACTAAATAAATACATACATATATATATATATAGTTCTATCATATACTGGGCTGTTCGTGTTCAGATTCCCTGCTAAAAGTGTCTAGCTTCTAGCGGGTTAAATGGAGACTACCACTAAACCCGAAACACCTAAAAATGGTCCAAGCCCCAAAAAGGGTTCCCTTTCTTTCCAGGGTCACTGAACTGAGGAACAGTTTGGGATGTGGTTTCCTCAAGGGATGAGATGGGAGGATCGGCGCCTTGGGGGATCCTGGTATTCCATGGGGACGGCGGAGAATCACCGAGCAGAAGAGGCGGGTACAACGCCTCATCGGTAAGAAGAATATTGTTAGGATCTGATCCGTGAGGTGCTTTACAGGAATCATTTCCTGACTCCACAAGGTGAGTCGAAAATCCTGGTACGAGCTTGGCACTGGCACCTTCGCCATGTTCCGTTTGGTTTTACAAGGCTGGTAAGCCCTTGGGTACCTATAACTAGCGAAATGGAATTATTCCTGAGGAAGCCAAACGCTTTGGGTTACCCTCCCACCCTTTTCACATGGAACCTGATGTTCGGGGGGTTCCTTTTACAGGGACCAGGTCTCGAACGTCAGGTTCCGGCTGTGAAAAGGGTGGGAGGGCACCATGAACAGCCTGGGCTTTCAACAGGAATAGATTCCCGAAAAAAACAAACGGGAGAAAATCACAACTATGCATTTCACATGCTTCAGCAAGTGGAAGAGGTTTGGGTTTTGGGTGGGGGTGCTTTGCACGATCAAACCCCCCAACAAAAAAGCCGGCCTGCGAAGTGCTTGTGCATCTTCCCAGGCTCACCTTGCTGGCGCCAAAGAAGCGGTCCAACACTATGCGCCCCATGACATCCCATGACTGAGCCACTCGGCTTGGCCCGAAAAAGTCACCGGAGCTTTTTGTGCTTACCCAAACCCGAAAGTAAAAAGCTCCACGCACTCAGGGAGTGAGAAAGAAACGCCGTGCCCTCCAGCGCTCCAGCGCCGAGGGTGGCCGAGAATTGCGGTTTGTCTCTGTTCCATATAATAGGCCAAAACGTCCCATTTGCCTGAGCCAGCTCGGAAAAAATGAACATATGTCCAATAGTGCATGGTTTCCCTGTAGAACCTTTTTCTAAAACGCACATGACATGTTCTTCTGCAAATCGGAGAAAGAGGGAACTCTGAGAGGAACATGGTGTTCCCAAAACTTCCACCTCCCTCTTCGTGAGGGTTCCAGAGCAATGCGGATGGATAGCTGTATCCGGATTTTTCAGAACCAAGGCACAGAGACTGCCGATATCACCGCTGCAGGGCTGCGTCTTCAGGTTGGGGTGGTATCTTTCCAGCATCAGCGGCGAATACCTTGGAACTCCACTAGAGGAGGGGTACTTGGTAACCACGGCGCTCAGGACATCAAAGGCTTGGAGTCTTAGAGCCATGGTAGATCGGTACCGCGTCTGCCCGTTGTGCCTTTAAACCAGTGCCCAACACCCCGCCGGGATTCTAATCAAGCAGCCAGTCTCTGCTTCGTCCGCTCCCATTAGCCAAAAGCCCTCCGCCGGATCTCTGTGGGAAAAGAGACGGCGCAGGGCAGCCAATGGAAGCCGCTCAAGCCGATTGGGCCCCGAAACTGGGTTGAGGGCAAGACCCCTCCCCGAAAAGCTTAGCTTTTTGAAGGTTCCATGGAAAGCCCTTGGTTTGCCAAGAAACTAAAGATTGAAGATCCAATCCAAAAGCAATCACGGAAACGAGCTCTCCCTAGATTTCGATCCAGATTTGCGCATCTAAATGGTGAACCATTTGCAGAAACTCGGTTGCTTTCTGCTCCCCTGCTAAAAGTTTAACTTTTAGTGCCCTGCATCGCGATGAGTCGTTACGTGGCCGGTGGTCAAAGACCACGAACCCCGAACGGGTGAGGCAGTAATGGTGTGCGAAGATCAGACCCCAAGCGCTGTGGCTTGAAAGGTCATGGGGGCCGAAGCCAAACAACAATGGCTGTTCCTCTCAATGGGGGAACAGGCATATGGAAAGGTCAAAAGCCCGAAATAGACAAAAACGGAAAGGGAGGATCCAAGAAGGAAGACAGCCAGACTAAGTCAAGGCTGAGTGCGAGTTCCTGGAAGGACCGAAAATAAGAAAATTGAATTTCGAGTCAGTGGATTGTCCACTCCTCGTCAAACCTTGGCAAAAAAAGCAGCTTCAAAAATTGGACGGACGAAGCCAGTCTACCACACAGCTGTAGCCGGGCAGGTGGCAGGGGCAATTTTGGGGGAAAGGGAAAACCGAAAGGAGTCCCAGGGGGAGAGTCCAACATACGCCGCTGCGGACAAGGTAAAGACTCAAGTTGGCAGCTCCGAAGGGCTTCAAGCTGTTGCAATCCACTGCCCAAGCATCTGCAAGGACCAGCAGTCCAGAATAAGTAGGGGAAGTGCATAAAGAGCTCCACTGCCAGAGCCCCCACGGAGGGCGTAGAACAAAACAAAGCCCTGGGCAAAGCTGCAGGTCCCACTGTAAAAGTCCAACATACTGCGGCGGTCATGGCAAAAGCGCAGGTTCGTTTCACCCACTGCGTAGATGGGCAACTGCACGCGACATAGGCCACTAAGGAAGCGCCATGCCTGAATAAAGCGGCTTCAGGAAACTGAAGTTCACAAAAAGAGCCCCAACAGAATCCAGAAACGGAACGCCGAAAACGGCGTAGCATGGAGAATTTCCAAAAATGGCCGGGCCGCCCAGGAACACAACCGGTGGTCGCAGAAAGCTGGTCACGGTTGCAAGGGGGGTCACATCCGAGTTGAACCTTGCAGGCATCAGGGTTCAAGCAGTAACCAACCACAGCGACACACGAGAGGGGCACAGCGAGGCACCATGGCTGAAAGGTGACGATGGCGTGAATGCTTATGTCAGCACAACCCGCTGTTACCACGGGGAGGTCCTGAGCCACAACGGCTTTAACTTTTAGTGGGCTTAATACGGAACACCCATTTGTTGGCAAAAAGTGTTTCAGTCCTAACATCCCTTGGTAAAATGCACCAAAGGAAACCTGCCACTTTTGGTGCCACGAGTCGAAAAGGGAATCTGAGAGCCACCCACGCCCCTCGAGTTCCCACAAAAGAACCGGCCAGCTGGCTCAAAGGCCAGGCGGTTCGTACACTCCGGCCCCCAGAGCTGCATGTAGCGCTCCGAGCTGTAGCCTCGACAGCTTTTGACCCGACAACAGTCGTATCTCTGGTTAAATAAGTGGGCCCTCAAGCTACCCTTATAAATGATTTATTGTCCAAGACCAGGTGAAATCCATTGTTGTTTTTGTTTTAATGGGAATCAAACTGCGCTTCACCTCTAGCCTGACCTTGCCCCCTGAGCCGAGCAAAGCTTACCATCGCAGTCATGGCACCCGCCAGGCCTTCGGCAAATTACTTCACAACCCTTGGTATGGCTTGGCAAGGAACTTTGTTTTTTGCAGGCCCCTAGCACCAAGGACCCTTCCAATTGTTTGGTTTGTGCCTGCTGAGGGACAAGAGGTCCGGGGCTTTCAAGCATTTTCACCGGCTGTGCCGTTGACTCCCCGCAAGTCGAAACAGCCACATGCACACAGTGTTTTTTGTTTTTTGTTTTTCCCCGAAACTTGATCAAACTTGTGTTTCTGCCCTGTTTCTCGCAGGGTTGGGGGACTCTCTGCCCTGAATCAAGTAGAGTTCCATGCGGAAAACCACCGCCTTTGCCGAGGAGCAGATCTGGCAGTTGGGATCTTTGCCCTGGCGCGGCCACGCGCAACATGTTGAACCTTTCCCTTTTGCTGCCTGGACATTTTGCTTGCTGAGAGTTTGTTTTGATTATTTATCCTCGCCATCATGCCGCTCCCAGCTCCAACAGGCGCTAGCTGGAACATCTCAACCTAGACGAGCGGGAAAAGAACGGTAGGTCACTAGATTTCCCCTTCAAATCGCACGGTAGGTCACTAGATTTCCCCTTCAAACTTACTGCACTGAAACTGCGACTTTCAGACTTTTTGAGGTCCAACCCGGCCGACGAAACTCACGGAGCCTTGCACGGTTGTGGAAAGTCACCTTTGTGATATCAATACACGCCATTCCCATGATTACTTTGTCTCTTAGACTCTCTTGGCATCACAAAAACTGGGGCCCTACCATTGCCCTCATGGGGGTGTGTCTGAAAATAGGGGACACCTAAAATGGCTTTCTTTCTAGTGGTTCTCCTTTAAAGGCATCCAAAAGAAAAGGAGGGGTGTTTTCCAAAGGAAGAAATTAATCAGCACCTTTTTCGGGGGGGGAGGGGGAAGTTGACGTGAAAGGGACCCGCAAAACAGAAGAACAGAATGACCAGAATTCATTTTTTGTCATTACCTGAGGTAGACTTAAACCCATGGGCCCCTTTGAGGAAATCAATCACCACCCCTAGGTTTAAGGAAATCCAGCAATCTAACCCTGGGAATCCCCACCCAACCACAATAGGCCCACGTAAATATCCCCTGCCAACCGCGTTGCGCTGGAGCCCTCCGGAAGCTGCTTTAAAAAATCACCCCTCTTGTTCATCTGTTGGTTGAAAAAACGCTCACCTCGGATGCCAGGGCAAAAAAAAGAAACGGGCATCTGTTTGTTTGGTTGTTCCCCCAAAAAAAAAAGGCACCACTGGGCAACTGGGGCTGGAAGTCTGCACTTTTGACCGGCCGCCCCCCCAACCCCTCTCCCCACGCCTGGAACTGGGCCGGGCGGTCCCGAACCAAGCTGCGGTCCGCAGCTTTCAGCTTCAGCTCCTGCAGCGCGCAACTTTTGGCATGGCACGGCGACGCATCGGCTGCTTTTTGCAGCCCGGACCGAAAAAGGAACTGAACAAGTCGAAAAAAACACGAAGACTGGATCCAAGAACTGTGAAGGGCGGTGTGGGGGCTTGGGTGGCTAGCACGTCCCTGACCCGAACCTCCCATGGGTAGCTCTCTCTTTTCAGGCTCCCCCGTGGAAAACGGATTTCGATACCTTTCGGTCCCAGCTCCGAGTCCGGCTCGCTTCCAACCAGCTAAGGTGATCACCTTCCCTCCATAAGCCCAATTCATATCTCCAATAGCCCCAGAACCCTCGAAAATCCAATCTGCGGAAGTATCTGGGCAGAGACCCCAGAGCTTTTTCAGCTGTTGGGAAAAAAAGGTGGCTTGGATTGGTAAAGGGGTTTGGAAGTGTCCGGTTTTCTTAGCCCCAGAAAGGGACCTGGAAACTCACTTCCGATCGAGTGGGCCATAACAAGAATCAGAGCTGTTTGTCTAAGCCACTAAACTTGTATTCTCAAATAGTATAAAGTCCCAAAAAACTCTGGGGAGTGCGAAAGTAAAGGTTGACCTTTCGGGGCAACAAGCACCCATCCCGAGGGCCAAACGGTGTGTTTGCGGGGCCCTAGGAAAGGCTTTAAATGAAAATCTCACCATACCCATCCAAAGCACCAAGGGCATTACATAAGTTAGTTTCCCTCTACTTGTTGGTTTGGATTGGCGGCTTGGTTAAGCAGGAGTTCGGGGTTCCCTTTACCCCCTACAAGCAAGGGTTCAAACTCCAAACCACAAAACACCGACGAAGGGTTACGTGAAGGGTTACCTAAGCTCGCGCGCACACAACCCAAATAATTGTCATGGTTTAAAGTTCCGGGAAATAAAAGGGCACACACACACAACTAACTATAACTGTGTTGTCACACAACACCGGCTGAGTTTGCAGACGGCCAAAAGACAACGAACGCACAATTTGTTTACAACACCCAACGCAAGCACGCACCCAAACACAATCTGCTGAGTTTGCACATACATACACAAACAACTGCACAATCATGATTGACACACATACACAAACAAGCACACACGCACACATAACAAGAAGAGCCAACACACAATTTGTTGGCACAGCCAAAGTCCTTAGAAATATATACACATATACACACATATACACACTTACGCACGTACGTACGTACGTACGCACGTACGCACGCACGCACTCGCACGCGCGCACACACACACACACACGCACTGACTCTTCCACACACACACACACACACACGTTAGCATGGGTTGACTTAATTCAAGTATCTACCCTGTGGGTTGTGTCATTTGGCTTTCGGAGGGAGCCTCCTTCTGGCAAATGACCTCCTTGAGTGCATCCGGACAAGTGGAAGGTCGGCAAACATTTCCTTGAGTGGCATGGAAAAAGAGGTGTACCTTTTCTCAGCACCTGGTTTTTATGGCAAACCCCAAAGAGAAGAACAATTGCACTACTGGATATTCACTTCTTGAGTGGAGTGGCCGGACAAAGTCTAAACTTTTCTGTTTAACACTAAAATTGTAGTTCCACCAAGTAAACAAATCCAAGCACAGCGAGAATTGCACTGTTGGATATCGGTTCAGATTCACACCACCCCAGGGCCGAGGGCCGGGCATATGCTGGCTTGCCCACTGGCCCCGAGTAGTGGCGAAAGGCTGCATCTTTGGGCCCAGACATAGGCACCTCCTTCGGGAATGGGCGCGACATGTCAGATGGCAATGGAACCTGATGAACGACCAGTTCTTAAAGAGACCCCCTTTGGCGGGTCCATGGCAATGTGGACGGGCTATTTTGTTTGTGGGTTTGATGCAAAACCAGTTGTTTTCGAAAGGTCCTGTTGCTAAGTTCACAGTACAAGGAGCCTCTCTTAATTGGAATGGGTTGGGGTAGCACAAGCTATGTAAGTTATAAGTCACCGTGGCAGAATCATGTTAATTGTCTTTCCAACCCTTGGTATGGTAGTAAAAAGCTTCCAGTTTTGCAGCCCCCGAACCAAAAAAATGAACAGAACCAAACAATAAACAACAACACAGCAAAACTGTTGTTTTTTGCAGACCTACCAAGAATAAACATAACCTACTAACTTGCCAGCAACAGCGACGAGACTAACACCTCAAAAGGATACCTCTGCCACTGACCCCGACTTCGTGCCTTGTCTTCGTGCATCTGCGCCGACTCATTCCAGGGCATGATGACCCAGCCCCGGGCTGCCAGCGCATACCTGACCCAAGAGAATCCCCTTTGGGGGGGGGGGGGGTCTAAGCAACCCCATGGACATGTAAGGAATTTAGGGCTCTCTCAACTACCCCCCCCCGGTATTTACCCTTAGGGATTCCATAAGATCCCCATGCCATACTCATCTCTGACTCATTTCCTGAGTAGATTGGCGCCAAAAACAGTAACACAACTGTTGGTTGCCACTAAATGGTCCAAACCAAAAAGTGACCCTTTCGTCCATGAACTCAGAAAATAAGCTGAAGTTCATGTGGGGTACGTGCGCCGATCGCTTCGAGGACTCGACGTTCTTTGGTCCTGCTCAAATAAATAGAAACGGGGCTGTCCTCAGATTTGCTAAAAGCTTAACTCTTACTTGGTTGACGTTGGGTTAGGGGAGCAAACATCTTCAGATTTTGGCAGTTAAGTGGTTGGATTTCAACCACTAAACCACAACAAGCAAACATGTAAAATGTGTCCCAACAACAACCATGTTTAGAGGGGTGTAAATAGACACCTCCCAAACCCCAAAAGCCTAAAAACCAAAGGGGACGGCGGTTCCCAGCCGCCCAGGAAAGAGAACCCCGTAAGCGCCAGTTGCCGTTCACAGGACGAGTCGCTGCATTGCAAAGTCAGAGGAGTAGATCTCCTGGAAGGAAACTCACACGGAGTCCTTATACACCCTAAGGCTTTGGGGCGGAAACAATCGGCTGGACCCACAAAGAATCTCCTCGCAGCTTCTCGCCAATGGATTGGGACAAAGAATTAGGTGCTCACCCCTGACAACAGCAGGACCAAAAGCCAATAGGGGACTACCCGAAATTGAAACCATGCCGCTCTACTCAAACAGCTGATTTGGCTACTGACATTCGAATTTGGCAAGTGCACCATCATGTCACTCATGACGACAGCTAATGCCATCGTAACTTTGTCCATTTGCTTACGTCAAGGAGTTGACCCTTTTCACTCCATTGTTCGAAAGGGTGCTTTCGGGTGTGCAGTTCTGCGCTGCGTGCCTCGCACATGAACCTCCGCCACAATGCGAATTCGGCACCCTTCCAGGGACGAACTCTGCGGACCCGGTTCGCGTGGCACCTTTTGGGTGGCGCGAGCCGCGGCGACATGGAATCCTGATCAGGTAACCATGCCTTTTCCAGGTAGCCATGGCCCCTGCACTTGAAATGTCCAGTCTTCCCTGTAGGGAATGAAACGATAAATGGAGATCTTCAATCAAAGGCCCCCGGGGATTTTTGGCCTCACCCGTTGGGCTTGACCCTGTGGATGAATAGGATTGGGACATGTGGATGAAACTGATCCGGAGTCCCGGATCGCGAAATCACACCCTGCTTGGTCACCATTCCCATGCCCGTGTTGGGCTTCACCCGAAGATCCCGAAAGCATCGCGCGAGTTGCCACTTTTTCCGCTCAGCGCGAAACCGTACCTCGGGGCTACGCCTTCGAAGGAGAGCCGCGCTGGGAGTTGGGAGGGCCTCTCTCACCTTGTCCAGCTTAAGACCAAGCAACGGGCTTTTGTTTGGTGGCTAAAGGGGTACATGAAGAAAAACAAGGGCAAATACTGATGTTTTGGTTGGTCGAAGTTTGTAAAACGAGCTCAAGCCCAAAGGGCAAACATTTCAACAAACCCCACCTCCTCTCGGGGTGTTCTCTTTTTGGGTTCCTTTTTTGATGCGCGGGGCTAGGGCACGTTTGGCTCACGAGGTCTTCTGCACGTTGGCATAGCGGCCCAGCATCTCTTCCATATCCTCTGAGTCCGAAGACGAGTCCTCCCTTTGACGCTTGCGCTCCTCAGGGGCGAACATGCGACAAGACAAACACCCAAACCCCATGGGCAAAAAAGAGGGCACGTACCTTTTTATTTTCAGGACAAAAAGAGTGGGGTTGTTGCCCAAATTTCAGGGGTCATTGCCCAAAACGAGCGAAGTCAAGAAACTTTTGAGCACTTGGTTTCACCCTGACCGAAAACATCAGAGTTTCCTTGGCCAATCCACTCATGAAGTGAGTCCAAATGGTTGCCAAAGCAGGAAAACCAGATCAAAGGTCAGACCCGGTCGATTCGACCTAGGGGCTGAGAGCAGCCGATTTGGCCTCCGATTTGGCCCCTCCCGTCCTGCGCCTCCGCTTGAAGGTTCTCAGGAGCATATGCCTCTCCCAGGGACCAGGCGCGCTCGCCACCATAGAACTGCACGAAGAGAGCGTTCACCTTGAACTTCTCCTGGGTGGGTGCCCCTGCCATATCAAGCCAAACACACCTCTCACAACAAGTTCTCTCTAACTAACCGTGAGTTCCCATTGCTTTGCTGATGCTCGGCTTGCTCAAAGTATTTCGGCCGGTCTCTCAAAACATATATAAATCTAAGTTGAGCCGGACAGCTGGAAAGCGCCAACGTTAAGATCCAGCCGGCCAAACAGCAGCCAAACTTGGCTTGTGTGGTCATGTGTTTCTTCAGTGGAGCTACGACCATCGGTGTCTACAAACATCAATGAGGATTCAAACCCAAGATGAATGGCTCGTCTACTTTTGAAGTTGGCACCCGTGTTCTGCAGGGTTTAACGAGAATCCACAATAAAACCCACCAATGGGGGGGTCCTTCCAAAAAGACGCGCCCAAATGCACAGAAGCACAACAAAATAGCGACTGTGCATGTGAACAGCAAAGCAGATTGCAAGTCCACAGTGGGAAAGGTGGCTCACAGAAAAGCTGAACATGAAAAGCTAACATGACCGGAAATGGCTTCCCATTTAATTACCTCTGTTTCCCAAAGATCGGACCCTCGTGAAGCCTTATTTAGGCCTTGCTTGGGACAAGCTAGGGGCAGGCGTACGGGAGGATTGGGGGGAGGGGGGGATGCTATGAACGAATAGACCAAAACTAGACCAACACTAGAACCTAGTGACTATGATTCGACGAAAAAGGAAACATCTGCCAGAGTCGGCAACCGAGCCGCTTGCTCCGGCAGAACGTTCCTCAGGCCGGAAGGGGAATCAAAGCTAGATTCCCCTAAGCAGCTTCACGAATCAAGTGAGAAGTGAGGGTCAGTTTGTTGAACCAAGCTCGAAAAAACTCTCTCATCGTACGACTGGAAGATGCCAAATTCCGGCATCCCAAGATAAGGTAGCTCTCAATTGCCCAAGGGCCTAGGAACAAACAATATCCTTTTGGAACCAGAACTACAAAGTAGACTGCTTGGGGAAACCAAAAGGTCAAAAGGTCGAATGGATCAAACAAACATACACAAAGGGGTTGCACAACTAGGCCCTCCAGTAGAGAGGTTCGAATAAGGGTACCCTTTGTTGTTCCTTTTCTTCTATTCTAGTAGGGGGGTTCCCTCCCCCCAGAAAAGGGGAGAGAAGGGCACTGATCTGCGACACCTAGAGCATGTTGCTTCCGAGGAGCAGGGCTCCGCGGTAGAAGCCGGCCACAGCGCGGGGAGCCTCAAGCGCCAGATCCTCCGCTTTCTTCCGCTCGCGGATGCAGTCCAACCTCAGAGTGCGAAGGTTGCATCGCGAACAGCGGACTCCCTCTGATCGGTGGTTTGGATTGGAGGCTTTGGGTGGCGGTGGTTTGGATTGGAGGCTTTGGGTGGCGGTGGTTTGGATTGGAGGCTTTGGGTGGCGGTGGTTTGGATTGGAGGCTTTGGGTGGCGGTGGTTTGGATTGGAGGCTTTGGGTGGCGGTGGTTTGGATTGGAGGCTTTGGGTGGCGGTGGTTTGGATTGGAGGCTTTGGGTGGCGGTGGTTTGGATTGGAGGCTTTGGGTGGCGGTGGTTTGGATTTGGGCTTTGGGTGGCGGTGGTTTGGAGGCTTTTGTGGCGGTGGTTTGGGGTGGCGGTGGTTGGATTGGAGGCTTTGGGTGGCGGTGGTTTGGATTGGAGGCTTTGGGTGGCGGTGGTTTGGATTGGCTTTGGGTGGCGGTGGTTTTTTGGGTGGCGGTGGTTTGGATTGGAGGCTTTGGGTGGCGGTGGTTTTGGAGGCTTTGGGTGGCGGTGGTTTGGATTGGAGGCTTTGGGTGGCGGTGGTTTGGATTGGAGGCTTTGGGTGGCGGTGGTTTGGATTGGAGGCTTTGGGTGGCGGTGGTTTGGATTGGAGGCTTTGGGTGGCGGTGGTTTGGATTGGAGGCGTTGGGTGGCGGTGGTTTGGGTGGCGGTGGTTTGGATTGGAGGCTTTGGGTGGCGGTGGTATGGATTGGAGGCGGATTGGGAGGCTTTGGAGGCTTTGGGTGGCGGTGGTTTGGATTGGAGGCTTTGGGTGTTTTGGATTGGAGGCTTTGGGTGGCGGTGGTTTGGTTTGGATTGGAGGCTTTGGGTGGCGGTGGTTTGGATTGGAGGCTTTGGGTGGCGGTGGTTTGGATTGGAGGCTTTGGGTGGCGGTGGTTTGGATTGGAGGCTTTGGGTGGCGGTGGTTTGGATTGGAGGCTTTGGGTGGCGGTGGTTTGGATTGGAGGCTTTGGGTGGCGGTGGTTTGGATTGGAGGCTTTGGGTGGCGGTGGTTTGGATTGGAGGCTTTGGGTGGCGGTGGTTTGGATTGGAGGCTTTGGGTGGTTCCAAATTTGCAGAAAAGGTTCAAATCCACATCCCATCCACCAATGCAAACCACCAAAAAAAGACCTGAACATTTGCGAGCTCCCCACCAAAACAGGATGTCCACCAAAGACCAAATCCCACTACAAATCAGACCCTCCACTTCTTTTTGTCCGAAAATCCGGACATGGGTGCATGTTTCCTCGAGAGGCCCCAATAAAATTCACAGCTCCTCGCCGCCATCCGCGCATCAAAAGGGCCGAGCGTCTTCAGCGCCATGATGCGCTTCTGGGTGCCATCCCCCACACACCGGAAGTTCAAGCCCAGGTGCTTACCTCACCAGATGCTTTCCACCCTCTGGGGGTCCGTTTCAAGAGCGGTTTTTTTTACGAGCGACTCACCGCACCCGAGCCCGGCGGTTTTTTTTTGGTTTCGGGCTTCAGTCCCGGCGAAGCGCAGATTTGCCGAATATCCTCCCGGCCGGTGCTGTTGATATCCGTCCCAAAGCCCAGCTCCAGGCGGAAGGGGTCGTTCTTGAACCTGAGATGTGATTCCACGGTCGGTTGCCCACTGGAACCTTCTGGTGAATAAAATTTCATGGGTTTCAACCGTGGCCTTTTTATGGCTTGGCACGGGTTTCGATCATGGATTTCCGGTAATTAAACTAGTAGGGTTGGTTGTGGCATACCCTGGTCGAGTTTGTGTTTTAGGGACTTGGCTGCAAAATGGACTCTAAGCGTCCATGGCACCACTCCCAACCCCAAAACACCCAGACCGTGTGTTCTCCATGGGAAAAAATAAGAAACGTGGCACTCCTTGCTTCGCCTTGGAGTTGGTAAATGTGTCAAGGTCCTCCAGTACAGAGGATAGAATAAGGGCACCCTTTTTTCTGTTGTCCATTTTCAGTAGGGGGTAGTCCATTTTTAGCAGGGGAACCCTTCCCCCAAAAAAGGGGACAGAAGGGCACTACTGGGAGACCAAATCAAAGCGTCCAAAAGGAGATTCCTCTCAAACTGCTTTTTCTTCCTGGGTTCTATGGCAATCTGTAGGGGAGTATTTCATGGGAACCCGTTCAGTTCACGCATCCGATTTTTGTGGGGACGGTATCGCGTCCATCCGGATGTCGGATCCCTCGTCCGTCCCTTCGTCGTTGTTTGGCGGTCAGGGAGCTTCTCCAACGACTTCCAATGTGGAGAGCTCTGCAAGCGATTCCACCCGCGCTGGTAGGCCATGGCAAGCCGTCAGCGGAAGTTCAAGTGAAGACTCACCCTCTGATTGAGTGCTGCATGATTCATCGCTTGTTTGGTTGGTTGATTGATTGGTTGGTTGATTGTTTGTCTGCTTGGTTGATTGTTTTTTGTTTGGTTGTTTGCTTGGTCGGTTGTTTGTTTGGTTGATTAGTTGCTTCCTGGTTTGCTTCTTTGCTTGTGTGCATGCTTGTGTGCATGCTTGTTTGTTTGCTTGCTTGCTTGTTTGATTGTTTGTTTGCTTGTCCTGTTGTCTGGTTTCCTCCGCCGCTGTTTGCAGCTCATCAGGAACTAATCGCTTGGTTGCTTCCGGTCAACGCAAATCATTTAAACACACAAACACACATAGACAGAGACGAAGGCACAGAGACACACACACAGATACAGACACAGACAGAGACAGAGACAGAGGCAGAGACAAAACACACAGAAACGCACAAACACACGCGCACGCTTCAGTCAGCGTTTTGCGGCTTACTGGCCCGTGCCCATGCTACTGTGGCTGGTAATTTGGGCAAATTCATGTTGACTCGGTTGCTTTCTGCTCCCCTGCTAAAAGTTTAACTTTTAGTGGTTTAGTGGAAAACCCATTAGTTGGCAAAAAGTTAAAATCCTAACAGCCAAGCAAACTGCACCACCAAAGTTAACTTGGGATTCATCCGCACCGTGCGAATTAATCCGGCCGGCAAGAAACAAACATCAAGGGAATCTGCTTGGAACCTGGGATGGGTTGGACGAATTCCCTTTTGTCCTTTCAAAGGGACCATTTCTCTGGTGGGTTCCATTGTGAACACCTGGTTGACGTTGGAAGGGGAGCAACAAAATATAATAATAGCAGTTTAGTTAAGTGGGGAGTTCCCACTAAACCACAATCAGCAAAAATGTAAACTGTTTCCCAACAACAACCGTGTAATTAAAGATGGACTGACAGGTTTTTTCGTGGCCTGCTTGCATTGGTATAGCATGTCGTTTTCTCGGGCAACAACTTCCAAAGTGCGTGTGGGCTAGGACCTTTGAAATCAGTGCGCGTCATTTTATCATTCTCAGCTCCTCACTTCCGATCGAGTGGATTGGCCAGAAGGAAAAAGTCGGAACCTTGTGTGTTTACCACTAAAACGGGGACCAAATCCAAACTGGGAGTCAAAAAGCTGCAGAGCCGACTGGCAGCGCCGGAAAACAAAGCGAAAAAACCGGGTCCAACCCCCCCCAAACGGATGGTTTCTTTTCCTTCGCAAAAAGTGGGTCCCAAAATCAAGATGTACAAAAGGCGTACCGTGCGGTTTCCCCCCCCCCCCCCTCGTGCTTTTTGAGGGTACCCTTTTTCAAGGTCCAGCGAAAGGGGGGTCTGCTGTAGATGAGCGAGCTTCAAATGATAGAGGACCTGAACATATTTTGCATTTGAAGCCCTCGATAGGACCATCTGTGATATCACAAGTCTAGCGGACTTCACATGCAAAATATGTCAGCGAGCCCGGTCTTCAGAAGACAAGGGTATGAGATTCAACAGGGAAAGAGCTTCCAACTCTGAAATCTTGTAGCCAAAAAATAATTAACTCACCTCCTTCGTGGATTGTTTACCACAATCCAATGGATTTTGTAGCCAACAAATAAGTCACCTCCTTCATGGATTGCTTACTACATCCAATGGTCCAAGCCCAAAACGTGCTGAAGCTCCGGAGCTGCACTCCAGGGCCACTCCACGCCCGAGTTCCCCCCGCCGAGTTCCTTGCTGAACTTCTCCCCGAGCATATTCCAGTCGATCCTCGCTTCAAGGCAAGGCGCGGGGGGAAGCGAACATCCAAAGGGAAAACCTCCCGCGGCCAGGAGCTCCACGCAGCAAGGGCCCAACAGGGATCCGGATGCATGAAAAACACCGATCGAACCTTGCAACTTGTAAATGGTGGTTTCCCTCTAGTTTGGTGTTGAAAAAGCCATGTTTCAGATGGTTGCAAGGTTAAGGAGCCCTGTGCTGCAAGAGCCCAAATATCTTTCAGGGAAACTCTTGCAGGAGTGTTTTAAAGTGAAGCCAACTGGAAAGCCACCACGCTTTGGGGTTCCATAAGTTGAAACCAAGCCCATTTCGAATGAGGTGGGGAAGCTTAAAACCATGTTAAGTCTTGATTGGCGCCTTGCAATAGCAACCCTTAAAAACCTCCATGTTGGTGGTGATTGGCGGCTTAGATTTGGAATTGAAGGCCTGGTTCTTGTGGGTAAATGGGAAACCACCCAAGCTCCGCTCCCAAACAGCGAGCTCCACCAAATGAGGGTTTCTTCTAACTTAAAGAGGTAACAATAGGAAACCACACCCGGCGGAAAGGCCAAGTCTCTTTGCCACATTCTCGTCTGAAAATGCGTCCAGAATGGCGGCTGTGCGGTAGTAGGAGCCCCCGCAAAGGCCGGCCTGGCGGGAGACTTTTCGGCCAGTCCGACTGGTGGGATGTGTGACACATCCCGTTCAGCGCGAAGAACATGCCTAAACGGCTCCAATGGCTGGGAAGTAAGACCTAAGAAAGCACCTTCAGCAAAGCCAACCACGTCCAACCGAAAACCCCGCGAGGGTGTCCCTTCCGTAAAAATGAGAGAAAAGAAGCAAACACAGAGGCATTCACCGCTTCTTACAGGCCTGGGGCTCCTTGCATTTTCCCCTGAAAACACAGCACTTGAAGGAAGCGCACTAATCTAAGAAACCATCTCCAGGAACTTCTCCAGGAAGTTCGCCCACATCCGTGGTTTCTCTGAGTATTCGGCCATTTCCTGTGTTTTTTTCCTGGAGATCGTTTAACGACCGTTTCTTAGAACTTGACATTTGCCCAACATGAACCATGGAGTAGGTCGTGTGGGGGTCTTTGGGTGAAACAGAGTTCCTTCAAGGATACATCCAGAACAACTTGCCTTGCAGAAGGAGCATTCAAATCAGCCGGCAAGAACTCTTTTTTGACTGGCCCGAGCTAAATGCCGTGTATCCTTTCAGCGGGCCCTGAATTGGGCAAGTCAAGGGCCCTCATGGATCCAGCACAACATAGCCCAGCAATCAGTGAAAGGGAAAAACTGATCCGACCAACATATTTGCCAATGCTATGTTCACTTTGGGGGAGCTGAGTCTCACCATCCGTTAGGCAAGTTATACTCACTTCCTGAGTGCATTGGCCAAAAACAGTCCAAGCTGTTCCCTGGCCACTAGACTGGTCCAAACCAAGCGGCTAAAGTCCAAAAACTCAGGAAGTGAGCCTTCCAACTCATTCTGCATCTAAGAACTCAGGGAGTGATTTGATTTGCTCAGCTTTGGGAGGCTTTGGGAGCCTTAGGGAGCCTTACCCCCCCCCCCCTCCAAAGAAGAGACCAACCCATCCAACACTTTTAGGGGTACCTTCCCCATTCTTTCCGGGGATCCGACTCTTTTCAGGAAACCATCGAAAGCCCAGGGAAACCACCGGTTTTTTTAAAGAACGATGGTTGAAAATGATGGACAAGGAATCAACCAGAACCACCCCCCCTCAGACCCGCGGACTTGCCATGATCAACCACATGTTGTTGGTTGCATTTCATGCATCCTTGGCGTTTTTCATGTGCGAACCAACCCCGTCCACTCCACACTTCTTGCCACGCCTGCTGACTGGCCTTGGTCCACTTGAAGTCCGCCACCCGCGCCCGCGCCAAAGGCTCCACCTCTGGACCGAAGCAGCCCGGACAGGCGGACAACTGTTTTGCTGGCAGCTTGGTTGCTGCAACGGCCCCTGCAAAAAGTGAGTTTCGCTTCTTGGGGCTTTAGTTCGGAAAACCCAACTTGACTTCCACCCAAACTTAAAGTCCAAAAAAATCCAAACCAATAGCGGTCAAGGCTCCCCACCGCATGACCCGGTAGGCTGCCTATGAGGGGAGATCAAAAGGAAACCCATTTCAGCGGGCCCCCTGTGTTGAAAAAAAAGGGATCCCAAATGGCGTGGTTTCCCTCTATTTCGGTGTGGAAAAAGCCCCATGTGTCAGATGGGTGCAAAATGAATCTCTTTTAAGCCCTGTTTTGAAGCAAATCCATGTTGGACTGGCTCGCTACGTTGCCCAGAGCGACCCGATCCAAACGCCTTGAAGGATACATGGCCCTAGGGGCGCTAGGAGCCCAAGCCCTCGTGGTTTGAGGTCTTTGGGGGTTCAAGGCCCTCAAATTTAGAGTCTTGCGCTCCTAGGGTGGGTTTTCTTTTTAGTTGACCCCCACAAAGGCTTCTGAGTTATTTGTTGGTTTTCCGTCAAAACAAAAAGGGGGTCATCAACCAAAAAAAGACGAACCCACATCCCAAAAACCAGCTGCTTTACAAGGGGGGGGTCTCTACATCAACTGGGATTTGAGTGATTTGGCTGGCCCCAGCCTTCCATGTGCGTGCTTAGTCCCCTAGAACAAAAATATCACCTATTGCTAGTGATAATGTGGATGGACCAAATCCATGTGGGTGTGGCTCACAATTAAACAGAAGGGGTTACGCAGGTTTTGGTCCATGCTTCCATTTACCAGGGTTCCATTTCGGAATTCCGGTTTTTTGAGCCACAGCCATTTCGCACCGGCGAACAAGCTCATGATGCTTCCCGGGTAAATACCAAGAAGCCATGGTGTCTCATGGTTTCAAAGTGTTGCAATCTACATTAGGCTCCCTTCAACACCAGCAGATTTGAATAAGTAGCACAAACCCTAGGAACATGATAAAACCACCTGCGTTACAAGAATCGGATCCTCTAAATCTGGTACACAACGCGATGTGGGCCAATTATAGCCGACCCGTGTAACTGTCACAGGGATTCCATGGCTCTGGAAAAGAAGCTCACTTCCAGACAGAATTGGTCCAACAAAGTCCCAACATTTTGTTTGTTTGCCACTTGACCGTCCTCCCAAAAGTGACTGAACTCTGAAACGACACTCCGGGACTGATTAAAAGAACAGCCAGTACCCAGACCTCCTTTCGAGTCATGGGAAAGCAGGGCACCCGTGCTCCTATGACTTTCAAGCGTGCCCCAAAAACTGTATGGGCAGCTCCCCTTCCTCAAAATTCAGGGGCCTGGTTGGTCTGCCACATGGATCCGTCGCTGCCTGTTTGGGGGTTGGTATTGATTGAGAAACCTAAGGACCTCTTAGACACGCCCGTAAGGGCTCGTCTTTTCTTGGGGGGGCCCCAATCCGGGCGGGCGTTCCTTTGGTTTCCCTTGAAACCCACTCCAAAGGCGACACGCCCATATTTTGGAATCAAACATGAACAGAACCAAAACAACAGCAAAAACACGAAAACATGCCAACGACAGTGAAGCTTTAGCCTTTGAGGTCTCTCAACTGGGGCGACGGCATAGTCCGCGCCGGCAAAGGACCTCTCCTTGCACGGCCGTGTGGCGAATGTGTGAAGCAAATGCAACCCATCTGCGTGTGCCTCTTTTTGAGGGTACACCTTTTGGTCCGGTTGTGAAGGAAACCAAATGGAATCAGTTTGGAGGCTCCCCCGTTTTGAGACCCTTGCCAGTTGACTGCTGAGGTGGCAGTTTCAATTTGTTTGGCGCCCAAAAGCACGAGGTAACTTTCAAAAAGCTTCAAGGCTGCCCACTCAGGGAAGGAACACTTAGTAAGACTTAGTTTTCCTCCCCGTGGGCAGACTTGAAGCAGAAGCAAAAGAAGAACAACTCGGCCAGGCACCACTAACGAGGGCATGGGCCAAAATTAAACCACCATGCTATGAACCGCAGGTTTTCGTCCTTGTTTCCATTATCCGGAGCAACCCACTTTGGGTGCATATGGCTGTGGCTCAAAAAACCGGAATTCCAAAATGGAACCCTAGTAAATGGAAACATGGACCAAAACCTGCGGTCTGCCCCTCCGATTGTTTAATTTTGAGCCATACCCACATGGATTTGGTCCATCCACCCACATTATCATTAGCAATAGGTGATATTCTATGTTTGTTCTAGGGAACTAAGCACGCACATGGAAGGCTGGGGCAACCCATTTTGGGTACATATTTTGATCCACAGCCACGAGGGTCTTGCGGCTCTGCATGGTTTGCTCACCGAGCGTCCTTGACATGCAAGCCGCCAGCATCGAACTGGGGCCGAGTCTTGATTGGCCCATGGATCCTCGGCACGCGGCACGTCGGCAACGCGGGGGGGGCTTCTGGTTGGGGGGGGGGGGGTTCAAAATACGAAATAAGTAGTGTATAATGTTGGATATAAGGGCCAGTTGCGCCATTTGCCCCTTTAATGACCTTGGTTCTTTACCTGACGTTTGTTGAACACCCAAGTCAAAATTGCAATCTTCTCTTTAGTGCATTTGTCTTTCAGGGTTTGAACCTGCAAATCAAACACAAGGCCATGCTCTAAGTCTGGCATTGGGGTGGGTGTTCTTGTTGCTGGCCCCGATGCCAAACCCATGCAATCCTCCAAATCAAGTTCCCAACAATCCATGCAAGGATAAACCCACATTTACGTCAAATGTTGGTATATATCATATATGTGGATTGCTTGGAATTAGTAAAAGTCCGATTTTCCAACTTGCTCAAATAGAATTTGAGGGGCCCTAAGGCCAAAACAGTTGGGGGTGGCCTTTGCAGGGATGTGGGGCTGAGCAATGCCCTAGAAACACTTCAGGGAGATGCATGCTTGATATGTTGGCCAAAAACGGACAGCGTTTTTTGCCGCCGGCTCCAAATTGAACAGCCTGCAGCAGAACCTCCAAATTGCCGAACCGCCTGATATTGCAGACTTCAAAAAAAAATACGAAGCCCCTGGAAGAAACCAACTGCAGGCTTGATTCGCGCACCCCAGTTTATGCAAAGCCACACCCACATCTGACAAGGGGCCTCAAGCCCGGAAGCCGGTGGCTTCTGCTCGGGGGGAGGGGGTGTTGGGGGGTGAAGGGTTTTGGGGGGGGGGGTACCATCCCTGCAGACTCACTGCCGTAAAATATTCTCGGTTGCTTTCTGCTCCCCTGCTAAAAGTGACTAACTTTTAGTGGTTTAATGGAAAACCCATTTGTTGGCAAAAAGTTAGTCCTAACATCCAAGCAAAATGCACCAAAGTATTAAGTCCAAAAACTCCGGGAGTAAGACTTGGGTGTTGCCCGTGGAGTTGGTACCCCTTTTGTGTGAAGTATGTTTTTGTTCAGGGAGAAAGGAAACCAGCAAAAACATCGCGGGTAAAGGGTCCTGACAGCACCCTGTTTACCGGCTACCTCGGGTGTTGCATCGTGACCCAAAAGGAAGACGACTTTCCCTGGAAACCTCCCACTCTGAATTTCGGCTGGAGTCAATGGATCGGTTTTTGCACAAACATCACATTTCCACCAGAATTGCCCTCAAAATCTGCAAAGTGGTTCATCATATATAATTGTTTTCCCTCAAGTTTCCCTTTGGCACAACCCGAAAAAGAAGCCAAACTCAGGTTTCCCTCAAGTTTCCCTCAAGTTTCCCACTGTTTCCCTTTGGCACAACCAAAATAAGTCAAACTCAAGTTTTTTGTCAAGTTTCCCACATATAATGTTGGGTTCCCTCAAGCTTCCCTTCGGCACAACCCCACAAAAAAGAAAAAGTGTCCCTCAAGTGTTCCACATATATGATGTTGGTTTCCCTCAAGTTTCCCTTTGGCACAACCCGAAAAAGAAGCCAAACTCAGGTTTCCCTCAAGTTTCCCACTGTTTCCCTTTGGCACAACCAAAAAAAAGTCAAACTCAAGTTTTTGTGTCAAGTTTCCCACATATAATGTTGGGTTCCCTCAAGCTTCCCTTCGGCACAACCCCACAAAAAAGAAAAAGTGTCCCTCAAGTGTCCCACATATATGATGTTGGTTTCCCTCAAGTTTCCCTTTGGCACAACCCCAACAAAAAAGAAAAACTGATCGTACGAGCAGCGTGTTGTCGGGCTCTAGCAGGATCACGAAGTCCGTCTTCAGCGCAACAGCTGCGTCGTAGAGCCGTCGCAGAAATGGCCACCTTGGACAGAGTTTTTTGTTGGGAGCCAGTCGTTTCATGCCAAGGAATCCAACCCCTACCGCCACCTCCATTTGATTAAGTCCCCTGGAAAAAGAAATGACAATATGTGCAATAGTGATCGATTCCCTTTAAGAAACCAACAAGGGAAAACAAATGGCAAATGGAAGTCCATGGCCCGAGACTTAGCGTATTTAGTAGGTAGGGGACTCACCATGGCAAGTGGATTGTATCCAGCGTTAACCTGGAGCTAACTCCGGGACTGTCCAAGTCTTGGTTGACGTTGGAAGGGAGGCAAAAAATCAAAGTTTATCAGTTAAGTGGTTGGATTTCAACCACTAAACCACAATAAGCAAAAATTGAAAATGCTTCCCGACAAGAACCATGAAGTAGGGACACCCTATGCGGCATATCCCTGCAAGAATTCCATGAAGTCAGGGGCCCCGATGCCTTGGACATCAAACCCAAACTCTTCCCTTTGCTTCAGCCACCTGGTAAAACTAACAAATACTGTGGGTGGTTGCGAAATGGATTTTGCACCACTCAGACACCATGGTTGACAGCATTGTTTGCTGGTATTTTACGTTGAGAGATCATCATTCCAGCGAATCATTCCAGGGCTTCTTAGGTGGTGCAGGATTTCGTCCATCCACAGTATGTCCAGTATAAACGAGCATGATTTGCCAGCTGAAAAAATCAGGGATCCAGTGAAAGACACCGTGAGCGACGTCGCCCAGGTCAAGCCCTGTGTCGGGAAGCCAAGCGCATGGTACTAGAACCCGTCTTCCAGTAGTGAAATCGATTCCCTTTAAAGCCAACAAGAGAAAACATGACTTATATTCATTTCAGCAAATTTAAAAAGTGAAGGGGAGCCATGTGATATGAACAACCACGCCTGGACCATGTACCTCCCTCGATCGCCCCCGGAAGCCAGGGGTCGAGAAGCAACGTGTCGACAAGTTGCGCCTTTTGGGGGGGGGGGGTGGGCCGGGGGTGCAATCACCGAGAGATGTCATTGGGTTTCAAACCTAGAAGCACACATGTGCCGCCATGGCGGAAATCCTCCAAATCCCAACCCCCTGCGTGGTTGGCTAGTTTCCTGCATTTCCCCGAAGCTGGTTTCTGTGAAAATGTGTGAAAAGACACAAACTCACTTCTGATTGAGTGGATTAGCCAAACAAAGTAAACCAAATTGTTGCTATGCTCAGGCAGTGAGCTTTTTCCTGCGCCACGATGGCTGCAGCCCCCATCTGCCGGTCAAACAAGATGTTCTTTAAAGCATGCTTGGTACGTTTCTCCTCCCGCAAGCCGGTCCGACCTGTATCCCCACGACAAACAGCCAGGCGCAATGGAAACTCACCATGAGCCAACAAGGTGATGCTCAAAATGCAGTGACCCCAAGTGCTTGCATCGGCTCGCTTTGGTTCACCAAAACTTCCATTTGGTTGAGGCCGGAAAAAGTATTTTAAAAAAATAAAATAAAACATGTCCAGTATGTCCAGTAGTGATGAATTCTGTTTAAACCAACAAGGGGAAATAGCAAATATTCGTAGGCAAATGGAGGGCTATCTACTTCCAGCCTGGTGTGATTAACAACACCGAGCCTTTCATTTGCTTCACTTCCCGGGAAACAAATCCAGTTGAAATACCAGGATCCAAGTAAATCGGATTGAGTACCCATGGCGGCAGTGCGTGCCCGCATTGGAAAAACGAGCCAACGACTTCGAGACAAAGAATCCCATGGCTTTCCGAGGTGCGGGTGCCAGCGGTCGTTGGCAGGAGGGCATAGCACGAAGGTGCAGCCCTCCTTGGCACAAAGGCGGCTGAAGTCCATGTTGCCTTGGCCACTGAATCCGCCATCTGTCTAGGCTGGAAAAATCGGACCCCTGCAAAAAATGATCTTTTTTGGCTGGGTAATGGAAAACAAAGGGAACCCACAAATGCAAAAAACAAAACAAAAAGGGGAGCTAATTCTAGGGAAGGAAAATGGTGAACCCAAAACAACACACTTGGTGGTAAATACCACCAAAATTGTTGAAACCCGGGGGAGTGAGATGGCTGTGTATCCCATGAAGCAGCTGGGGTAGCTTGAGAGTGACCGCCATCTGTGTCATAAGCAACACCTGGTACGAAAATGGTGAACCCAAAAGCCGTGGTAGAAGAGTTACCAAGGCGGCTCGGGACCGGTCTTTCTAACATTCAAACTACCAGGGTTTTGATTGTGGCCCACCTAAGAAACTCGCTGGTTGCTGGTTCTCAGTAGGGAATGACCTTCCAGGTGTTTCGGCATAAACCCTTTGGGGGATCCTCTTAGAGGAAACCACCACTGGGATGGTTTCTAGGTCCTCCAGATTTGAGAGTAGAATAAGTTGGCACCCGATGTTTTTCTTTAGATTATTTTAGTAGGGGAACCGAATCTCCCAACCAAAAAAGGGGTGAGAAAGGGCACCTAGCTGGGGGACCTAGGCAAAGAATCCGCTGGGCTGGGTGAACTTTACAACCCTTGGCATGGCAGCAGAAAACCGGGGTGTCTTTTTTGCAGCCCCAGACCCAAAAAAAACAGAACCCAAAAATAAACCTAAAACAATGCCAACAAAAAAGTGAAGTGAAGTAGGCGGTCTGGCCAGACTTCTACCCCCTCCCCCCCCCGCCGGCAAAAAGTGGAAAGGGAAAATGAAGGGATCCATTGTGCACAAAAGTCTCACTTCCCAAACCGCTGATCATTTTGAAGTCGAGGAACTCAGGGAGGTACTGCATACCTTCGGGCTCTGGGCAAATTTCTACCCCTCCTTAAGGGAAAAATTATGGAGGTCCAGAAGCACGGGGTCAACATTCGAAGCAACTACCCTTCCTCTCACTAACATGGCACCTGTGGGAGGGTACCTGCAAAAAGAGTTTCTTCTTGGAGGGACCCCTGTGAGTGGGAGACAGGGGAACCCTTAACCATCAAAAGTGGTGTCGAGTGCTGAAGGTTAGGAAAAGGTTGATAAAGGGTTCCCCAACTGCCATTCCGAATGAGGCGAGCACTTGCATCCTCCAATTCCATCATGGCCAGGGGAAGGCAAGGGGGTGGGCTTGGAACCTTGTTCAAGTTCCTCTCATACATACCAACATGGAATCCAACAAGCCATCATTAGAGGAATCGCCTTTTGGGGGCACCGCCTTGTCGGGTTCCATGTTACTACCATTTCCTTACAAATCTCCTGGTAGCTCCTTGCTCCCTGTTTAGAAGAAGGAGGAGATACCCAACCAACCGCTAGGTCCATCTGCAGAATACTTCGAACGCTCCCAACCGCTTTCGAGATCGCTCACCGAAGGGTTGCGAACGGATCGCAGCCAATCGGTACGCCAAGGCGCCATCACTCATGACATAAATCCTGAGCGGTGGCCCGTGGGTGAAGCAAAACTGGGCTGTCCAAACTGATCCCCTGCGAAAAGTGTCACTTGTGGGTTGTAACATTTAAATTTGAAACCTCCACTAAACCCTGAAAACCCTAAACCCCCAACAAAACGGCTGGGAACCGCCAAGAAAACTTGAATTAGCTCAAGTCTCAACTTGTCTAAGCTGTTCGTTGACCTCCAATGCTGTCTTCCCACAAATGAAGTGCAGAAAGATACTTGAGTAGATACTTGGTTGACGTGCAAAAAATCATTTTCAGCAATTAAGTGGTTGGATTTCAACCACCAAACAACAATAAGCAAAGATGTAAAAGGTTTCCCAACAACAACCATGGATAAGTGCTGTGTCCATCAGACGCACATCCAAAACACTGCGAGCAAAGGCGCGCCAAACGCCGTTTGACACTTTCCAAGAGTGAAACCGTGTCGGCTCGAGACCCCACAAAATGGCGTGCCATGGATTTTCGGTCGGTGTCCCTTCAAAGCATTGTTTACGCTACAAACAAACGGCCCCAAGCCTCAAAGCGCCGGTTTGGGGGGGGAAAAACCGTCTGCATCTCAGCGGCGGAGATCCGGGAAACCACTTTTTGATCTCCTCAGCGAGCGATTTGAGGTGCGAGGCGTCAAGTTGAAGGCGTCTATGGAACTGCGGCAAACAAAACTGGCCTCATTATTGTACCATGATCCAAGTCACCCCGTAAGTGGTGGGTTAAAGGGAAACTCCCCCTTTGATAACCACCAGAAACCATCAAAATAATGACCGTAAAATGGGGGAAACGCGTCAAGGGGCCGAACCAGCACGAGGCGTTTCTTGGGAGGGTACACTCCTGGTCAAGACACATTTTGTGGCCAACAAAAAAACCTGCAAATTAACATGGGGCCAAATATTCCTAGAAGAAACTTCTTTAAGCCTTTGGGGGACCCCTTTTTGGGTTCCAGGCTAGGTTTTGTCGGGGAGTAGCAGCAAGGTCCTTTACCCACAAACAACCCAAGTCCCCTAGACCTCGGCTTACCGATTATCCAGAGTTCCTGATCCCATCGGTGCAAAGAAAAGCTGCTCTCGACTCACTGGAGGGCCCCGCAAAAATTAATGCCACCCCAAAGTTGTTGAAAGGTACAAGTTGTTTCAGCCTCCTTAGAAAATGCCGCCAAGGTCTAAACTCTCAACGGTTGGGGGCTTTGAGGCTTTGGGGGTAGATTTGTTTTGAAAAAAATCAGAGAAACCAGTCCGAGGGCTTGTTTAAGAACAAAGACACGTAAGCAGTTGCCCAGTGCCACTGGTAGAGAATAGGAACTCGATTGTTTTGGCGGGGGTCACCAAGTTTAGTGGGGAACGCACCAAATAAATAAGACACGGTGTGTCACTGAAAAGCTGCCCGGACAAGCGATGCTGACCATCAGAATAGCAACACTTGACTTGATCGGCAATCCGAGCAGGCCATCCTTGCTGCAAATGCAAGCTCCAATGAGACATACGCGCGCCGTGTGCAATACATTACGTGGCCCGCTTATGCCTTCATGAGCTTTTCAGTGTGGTCTCGACACCGGCCAGAAAAGAACCCTGCAACAAACCCGACAAATATCTGTTAGCGGGGGATCCTGTTTCAGCTTCGGGCTCACTAAAGCACTTTACAGCGAAACGGAAAGCTTTGTCCTAAGTCTTGGATGTGTCACGCCGACTCCACTACCAAACTTGCTGCCAAATTGGACATCCAAGTCCTGACTGGCCAGTGGTTGCTTGTGAATTGCGTGTGCCTTTTGGTTTCATGGCTAAGCGTCTTTATTCTCACTTCCTGAGTGCACTGGCCTGAAAGAAGTCTGAACTTTTGGTTTACCACTTAAATGGTCCAAATCCAAGAAGCTACTCAGGTCCATAAACTCAGGGAGTAAGTATCTGGTTCATTCCTAGGTCCTCCAGTAGAGAGGTTAGGGTACCCTTTTTTCTGTAGTCTATTTTAGTAGGGGGAACCCTCCCACACCTAGCTGGGGGGACCAAGATTCATATGTCCGCAACCGCTGGGTCTGACCGCCGATCCGTGGTTTTGGGCATATCTTTCTTGCAGAGACGCCCGGACTTGATGGATCACGGCCGCTGGGTGGCCGTGCACGTGCATGTAGAATCCATACCTGGCCAAGGTACGGGCGCATGGTGTCGACCATCTGGGGGGCTCCTTTTGACTGTTGAGCTGGGTCCATAGAAGTCTGATTCTCGAAATTGGTGTCTATACTTGTGGTTTCAAGGAAAACGGTCACCAAAAAGAAATTGAGATGCCGCTGAATCTTCGCTTTTGGGGGGCCAGTTGTAAGCACAGCATTGAACACTGGAGACTTCACGGCCCTGCCCCCCCCCCCACCCACCCCCAGTAGCCTCAACAGGAATGCAACGCGTGCTCCGAAAACTCTTCTACTGGGGTCACTGGATTTCCCCTTCAAAGCTTGCCATCGACTGGCACCGCCACTTTGTGGAGGTTCCAAAAGGGAAATGACTCACAAACCCTGTTCCAACAGGAAAAACAAACACGGTCCCTGGAAGCAACCACAAGGACTTCAAGATTCGGCCCGCTCCACGGGTTCCTTGTCATAAAGGGTTCAAAGGATCGCTTGCAAAGGACGGTGATGCATCCGAAGCAACCCACTTCTTCGAATTCAACGGACCCGACACAAGCCTTGACCTTTCAGTGAGGCTGGTGTCTCCTCAGTCAAGAAGTCAGTGGCCAGCCAAAGTCTGAACTGCTTGTTTGCAAGTACCAGTAAAATTAAACAAGGCAACCAAAACCAAGTGACCAAGGTCCAGAAACTCCGAACAAGTGCGCCTCTTGGCTTCCTGAGCCAGCCCAAACCCTGGCCATTTGATCAAAACTTGCTCCGAACATGGTCCATCCAAAGCCAACTTCATCTAGGTCCTCCAGATTTGAGAGGTTAGAATAAGGCTACCAACTTATTTCGGTAGTCTGTTTTAGTAGAACTCTCCCCCCCAAAAAATTGGCTACAGGGGCGCTACTGGGGGACCTAGTTGAATCGGTTTTGACTCGCTTCAACCCGATGGCATTGCGGCAACTGCAGCCCAGCGGCTCGTTGGCCTGCGAAGGCCTTGGCTCCGCTGGCGCCAGCTGCCTGGGCCCGCGCTTCCAGTCCCTTCGGAGAAAAAGGCGGCCCCCACCGAGCTCTTTGTTCATTTGTCCAAGAGGAACCCGCGCTTTGCGTTCCAGTTGTAGAGGAATCGATAGACCAAAACGGAGCCCTCTCCCTGACTTGAGTTTCTTCCAGCAAGCCCGCGCTTGGAACCCGTCCCATTTGAGGAATGGAAAACGGAGCCCCCTCTTGGGGTCTCATGTCGTGTAGGTGAGGAAATCAGTTTTTTTCCAACAGCTGAAAGCTATGGTTGGTCCATGAGCCCAAATAGGTGAGAAGGGGTAGTTTGGGGCAGCTTTCAGGAAGAATTCCAACAAAACTGCAAGAAATTCCGGGGCTGTTGGGGATACCATCCGGGCTTGCTTAGAATAAACATATTAATGTTGAATTCAGCTTCAAAAGGGAAGGTCCGAGTGTCTTTGGATTCATGGCCTGGGGTTGACATTGGCGAGTCAGTGGACGATTCGTGTCAGCTCTTGCTGCCGGGTTGCTCTTCGGCCGCTTTGCTCGGCCAAGCTGACAGCCTTGAATAAAGGGCAAAACCCGCCCATCGACCCGAGATCAATGAGTTCTTGGGGTGGTTCTGCGCGAATAGTTCCTAAGATGGTTGGCGTCCTTTTGGCTTCCCTTTGATACCAATTGTTCTTTTGGCGCATGTTGTTGTGTTTAGGGGAACCAACAGGAAAGTATTTGGTGCGCCCCCCGGAGTCAAACCCATATAGACCCAACCCTCAGCACAGGTTCGTTTGCCACCAAAGACCCCGGTGATTCCAAACAGGCAAAGGTGAGATAAGGGGATGGCTTGTCAAAATCGGGGATGTGACCGCCCAAACAGGACTTCCCTTTTAGACAAGCTGAAAAGGGACACCTTCACAAAGCACGCACGCACACTGATTAAGCCCAGGTTGGAGCACTGTTCCTTGCGCGGCACCACCAAGGAAATGACAGCTCCACCCCTCCAAAGAACTGTTGCCTCGCTAAAAGAACCCTGAGAGAGTCTGATTGCATGTCGGCAACTTTGCAAATGCAGCAGTATCTCCGAAAACTGAAAGAAGGTATCTCCCCAAGTACAGGACCTAAATGTTCGTGAGATCTTGTGCTGCATCGGTGAGCCACGAGTGGAATCACCAACAGCTTCGGAATTCCTTGGAACCCCTCCAGAACCCTCCAGAACGTGCTCCAAACCACCGCGAAGCTTACTTTCAGCTGGGGAACAAGGCTGGCGTTTGGATTGGCTTGCGGCTTAGGAAGTGTCCGGTTTTCTTAGCCCAAGGCAGCCCGAAGGGACCCCAGAACCCGGCTCCAAACCGCCCCGCAGCCCAGCTTGCGCAGAACTCCTGCAGCCTCGTGGCTCTTGCGCTGTGCTGGGCCTGGCGTGGGCTCAGAATATCCGTCTCACTTGCCGAAAGGGAGCTGGACAAACAAGGTGATCACCTTTTGGATGGTTTGAATGGCTTGGATGGTTTGGGGGGTTGCGGCCATGACTAAAACATGGACAAAGTCGAAACTCAAAGGTCAAAAGCTCGGCTTCGGAGAAGTGAGCCATTCGAAGCCGACCTGAGTTGACCGGCAGAAAGTCGGTGGCGGGGCAAATGACAAAAACCTGGCAACATAAGCTTGGTTGACGTTGGAAGGGGAGCAACAATTTAAATCTTAGCAGTTAAGTGGGGATTTCCCACTAAACCACAATAAGCAAAAATGCAAAATGTTTCCCAACAACAACCATGCAAGTTTGAAGAAACTCCCCTCCCCTTCTTCTTCCTCTAAAAAAACAGAAGAGGCTCATACTGTGGATGGTTGCGAAATCCATTTCGTACCACCGTTCAGAAACCCTGGAATGATGATACCCCTAATACAATTCACGTTATGGCTTCAACCATGGTTTCATTTCGTGGTGCGCACAGATTTTGTCCATCCACGGTAGGGCCCAGCCTTTCGGAAGTTTGAAGTTTGGCAAATGAGAGGGTCAGCAAGTCAAGGATCTGGACATCAGGCATCCAAGCAAAAGCCTCGTCATTCTTTGCGCTTCACTTGCAACCATCACCCCACCGAAGGACATGCGCTTCGAATTGAAGCCACCACTTGCGTGTGTCTTTGAAGGTGCCCCTCGTTTGTGCTTTTTTTCAGGGGAAACCAACAGGAAAAAACACCATTTTGGAGGGTCCGTAAAACGACCACGGCCATTTCAACACTGACCGTTTTCCGCTTCCCTCCAACACAACCGGTATCTGGTCCGCGTGCGCGTATCGCTTCGAACCTGTTGCCACTGGCGCTCAACCCTTCTTTCGCACCTGGTATGTGCAAACTCTACACATCTTCCCAACCCCCCCCCCGTTCCCCCCCCCAACCCCCTCACTTTTCCCACCAATAACACCTTAGTAGCGCACGTCTTGGGGTCTTACTTATAGGCGACCAGAAAAATGAAGCTAGGGAGGGAAGGTTGGTGACCACTCCCCGCGCCTGACTTCGGCCGGAGAAGGGGCTGCGACTCCTGAAATGGACATGGGTTAGGTAGCCGAGAGGGAAAGCGTATGGAGAGGTCTTCTTTCAAAAATACGGCTCCCCCTTCCATTGCCTAGGGACGCTGAAGGGGGTGCTGCCCCTGTCTTGGCCCACCGGGACATAAGACGTGCAGCTGTTTCGTATTTGGCCCACTTTAAAAAATGACATAGACCTAAAAAATACCCCGGTGATTGTATCAAAATCCCAACCCCTAATCACAACCAAAATGTTTGGATGTTCGGCTGAGTTCGTGGGGTTGTCACCTCAGTGACCAGCAACCTGTCACGTTGACCCCGCATTCAACCCCTGCTATTCGGGTGGGTGTCGGGCCCAACACGGTCTGAATCCCTACTGAAAGGCATTGGACACCCCCCAAACAAGAAAACTAACATGGAACCGCACAGGTCCTCCGAAACATGCTTCACTTCAAAGGGCCGAGGTGGGTTCCTTGATTGACGTTGGAAGGGGAGCAAAAATAAATAAATTTCAGCAAATAAGTGGGTGGATTTCAACCACCCACGCCACCATAAGCAAACATGTAAAACTTACACCTTAAAACTCCAAGCCCTGGGGAAGTTAATCTTTTACAGACATATAGCCCATGTTACCCCCAACAAGTTGAAAAGTTGTGTTTTTAAGAGGTAAGAAAATGTTTCTCAACAGCAGCCATGGTTTCATGTTGGGGTTTGCAAACCAGACCGAACATCCAAGAACCATTCGCGGCCGGGCCCCTGGCTCCGGTCGGGCTCGGAGATCTCCGCGCGCTCCACTGAGAGGACAAAGCCCGCCTTGGGATTCGGACAGCCGCAGCCTTGCTCAGATGCCCAGCGGAATTCTATGCGGAAAACAGGCATCCTTTCTTGGTTGGTTGAGTTGAGTTGAAAGGGATCGGAACCCTTCCCCCCCCAAAAAAAAAGTGGAGAAAAGGGGCAACTGGGTATGGGTCCTCGAAATCTACCGTCTTTTTCCCTATGTCCTTCCAGGACTCCTGGGAAAGCTGGCTCCCAAAAGGCGTTTGTCCACCCTTAGCAAGGCCACCCAGAAAGCCCTGGAAAAAAACTCCTGTATGGTGATAGATTCCCTGTGAGTCGAACCTACAAACACGTTCTGAAACGCAATTGGAAGCAGGAGACTTCGCGCCGCTTCGCTCAACTTTTGCAGAACCCCAAGAGCCGTGGGACATTGGCCTTTCCAAAAAGGGAAGTTAAAAACTGGGGGCTCATAGCGAATCTGGGCAAGAGCAATTCCAACCTCAATTGGTTTCCTTTTGGGTGAGCAAAGTAATTTTTGGGCTAAGCACCAAGAAAGCCACCCATGAAAGGGTCCAACTCAACTAAGCAGGTCGAGCCACAACGATGCCGCCGAGCAGAAGCCCAAGCAGCGACCGATAGTCGCATGCCGCCTGCGTTGCCCTCCGCCTGCGTGCCGTTCGCATGCCGAAAGCGAAGGCTTACCAGCGAGTTGAACGGAGTCCATTCGAGTGACGTTCTCAAAATTCAGTACCTGATGTATGTATGCAATATTTACCCACATCTACCCTCGTCAAATGTTGGTGTGTAAAATAACCATGATAAGAATAATAAGAAGAAGAGTACTAATAGCAATAGTAATGGTAACAATAATGCTACCAAAAATAGACATGATAACAATAGTATATATATAAATATATGTACACGTGTTGCCTACATGGATTGTGTGGAATGTTTTTTCTTGTGTTTTGTTTACTTGAATTGCCTCCAAATGATGAATGATAGCAGTTGAAGAAGACAAGTCTACCCCAAAAAGGGCCCTCAAAAGCTTTTCAATACGCGGCCATCCAGACCCTCCTGCGTCCTTCAAAGCTTTAAGTCGAACCTCGCTCAGGGCTGTGAGAAGCAAGTCCGTCCGGGCAAGATGTTTTTCTTGAGGGAACCCTTTTTAAAGGGAAACCAAAACGAAAACTGAAATCCTTTTGGGGGGTCCAAGGCCTACAAAAAAGACCCACCCGGCAGGGAGGGAATCGTGAAATGCAAACACCGAAGCAACTTTCAAGAAACTGCCGGAAACCACCTCTGCTTTGGCCCCACTGACAATTCTACTCACTTCCGATCGACTGGAATGATCAAAAGAGGTAAACAGACTTTTGCTTGCCACCAATTGTGGTGTGCAAAAATGAACAAAGGAATTCCGGAAGTGAGAGTATGGAACACATTTAGTGAACCTCGAATGAAAACAGATCTGCAAAGAGGCAATTATCAACACTTCCCCGCAACCACATAGTTTGTTTCTGCTCCACATTGAGTGACCCTCAAAAAAAAAAACGAGACAGAAGAGAGATCCCGGCCAGGCATCACAGAAACACGCCACCAACGAGACCTTTTGTTGTTGGGTATGCAACTGAAAAAAGACCAACGCTCAGCGCCAAGAAGGCAAGCCAAAGACCCATCCCTGGTCGTTGGGGCTCGACCTGCCTGGCCATGGCGCCCAAACATCGTCGCCGATGGAAGGATCCGACGCTTGAGAGGTTCAAGTGAGGGCTGGGGGCTACGAGGGGTAAAACACACGCCATTCTGCGAAACAAAAAAAGGCCCTCCGGGACAAACAAATATAGAAATTCCCTGTTAAGGCTTCTTTCCTTTTGGGGGCAAGTAATTACACAACACGCAGCCTTAAAAGGCAAGCGAGGTGTTGTCAGCCTTTAGGGTATCGTATTTGATGAGAGGGCTACTGTACGTGCGGTCGAAGCAAGCAATCGGTCACCGGGCCAAACAACAACAACTACCAGTTTCGAAAAGCAGTGGGTTTTTGGAAAGATTTCAACCCATTGGCAACTTTGGCAGCTAAGAGAGGCATCCCACCAAGACCCAACAAATGCTCGACCCGGACGTCTCCATGAGCGTTCCCCATCTTCTGAGTAGGGAAAGGGGAATTCTGCAAATCCACACACCTGGAGCCATGGAAAAAGCTTTAATCAGGCAGAAGGACATGCTCCGTTGGAGGTCTGCGTTTTTCCGAGCTTGGCAGAGATCTGCTTCATGTGCGCTTGGCGTGGCATAGTTGCGAGCCGAAGCTGCGGGGACAAACACTTGAATGCATTCGATCCATTGCCGAAAGTTCTTGGTAACTCGGCGTCAAGAAAACAAATGTCGCCATGGACCCTATGAAAGGCATCAGGAATCCTCAACACAAGAGTATTGAATTTATCGTGTGTATAGCAAACTGGCTTGAACCACCAGTCCACAAAAATCCTTGGCATTGAACGAACCCTGGCTGACCTGAACATTAGTTGGCCTGCAACACAAAATGCTAGCCGTAGTTCCTTCTCCAACAAATGGAAGCCGCCCCCAAAAAGAAGACTGACAATTCGCGCAGGTTAAGGTTGCATGTTGCATCGCGCTCCAACCGCCAACTGCGCGGGGCGAAAGGGGGCGGCACGGGTCATGTTGGTGGGGGCGCGGCTCATCTCCGTGGGGATGCGGCTCACGCCCCGCTTGGCCCTGAGCACAGAGCCGTGGTGCGCTGAAAATGCGCCGGAGGCAAATTCAGGACGAGGACTAGTCAGTAGAAAATGCATCTTGGGGCCTTGACTCAATTGACGACATCATCAAAAGAAGCAGAACACATTGGGTTATAAGATGCAAAAGCAGTTTCAAGGGCCTTGACTCAAAAGCTGAAGTTTGCCAACTCAACAGCTAGGAAGGCTACCATGACAAGGGCTAAGTCCAAAGATTCTCCGACAGTTCGCCTGGACGGCTGAGGGGGAAGCAGGACGTGTTTTTGCCTCGATCCTCAGAACAGGCCCTCCCACCTTTCAAAATGGCTCTTCGAAGTTCCCCCTGCCCAGCTACCCTGGCGGAGCAATCATTGGAATCCTGCTTTGAATTGAAACCCACCAGGCAACAGTCGATTTCAAGGGTCATCCACTGAGCTCGCAACTGTTTGATACCCTTACCAGCGAACACGGCCAAAGAAGTCTCATCCATACTGTTCTTCCTTTGGAGGACCTCAGTTATTTGCAGGGCGCCCACCCCTTTGATGAAATCCGCGTGTCTGCTGCCCCTCGCAGCGAGCCGCAAAGCAGAGAAACCAAGCCCTCCAAACCACACAAACAGCGCGCCTGAACAAGCAATCCTTATAGATGGCTTGGATTCGTGGTTTGGGGAGTTGAGACCCCTTTTCTTGTAGAGGGTAAATGAGAAACCGCCCCTTTCCTCCAAACCACCAATCCCAACCACCAAAGCGAGGGAAGCTCATGATTCTAAACAGGGCAAACAACATGCCGAAGGAGCACAGGTGGTGATCGACCTGTCTAGCTTTACTGGAAAATCCCAGCTGTTTCCAAAAGGTGCTTTCGGGGCGATTCGGTCACAAAGTCCATGGAAAACACCCATACGAGTGTGCCATGTCTTGTTGAGGCTGGTTTGGACTTGTTTTCAAGGGAAAATGACACAGAAAAAAAAATGTCTTGAGAAAATCTCCCCCCAAAAACCGACAACCCCAAATGCCATGAAAAGAGGAAAACCCCGATTGGAAGCCATTCTCTCGTGACCTTCCAGGCGCTCCAGGACCAAGGGCCCGGCCAATCATCCTCGTAGAGCGCCTGACGTTGGGCATCTTAGCCTAGACGTGCTTTGTGCTTTCTGTTTAACCCTCTGTACAAGAAACTGGGGGTTCAAACCGAATCCAGACCACCAATAAAACACCACCAACGAAGGGTTGCCTGAAGACTAGTTTGACAACCCGAACGGTGTGGATGTTTCTGTACCCCCCAAACCAAAAACAAGCAAAACCACTGAAGACAGCTTAATCCAAAGAACAGTGAAGCCACACTGTTTTTTTTTTTTTTTTTTTTTTTTTCTGGGTATTGAGTTGAAAACAAATTCCTCGGATTGGGAATGCAAACGGTGCAACTTGCCCAAAACTTACATTGAGCTGTTGAATCTGTTCGAAACCTCTCAAGCTGAGGTTCCAGAATTGGGCACCAGGTCAACAGGTTGGCAACAAAAAACACGTACGCGTCACATTGACGAGAACCTCCCGGGTGGCTCCTCCTGGGCGCGGTTTTGAAGGAGGGCTGCTTTTTGGGCAGATATGCGCGATCTTGTTTGAGTGGCCCTTTTTGGTTGGGCCAAAAGAGAAGAAAGACACAATGTTTTGGGCTTCCCAAGAATTGACCGTCCCCTGCACGGCAAACACTGAAATTCTATGTTGCAACCTTTGGGGCGGGTGACTTGGCAAGCTGAACCGCATCGAGAAGTCCCGGGCAGTGGCCTGAGGGTTCTCAAGACTATGGCCTTTGCTACCCCCAGTCAAGGTAGAACTACTTCCCCAAGGGCCTGGCCGTTTCTAAAACCCACAAGACTATATATATATATAGATAATTAATTAATTTCACAGGTCTAATGGATAGAGCATGATCAACCAAAACAATAATTCCACCCGCTACGCACCAAGGTGGTGAATGAGTATCGTCTTTGGGCGCTGCTCCCGTAAGCGAGGCATGGAGGCATCGGCGCCTGGGTGTTGTCTGCCCTCACCTGCTGCAGCAGCTGCTCAAAGGCGGCCGCAGTGCCTAGGACTTAGCTCTAGGCCAGTCAGCAGGCGTGGGATTCGGTGAGTGGACGGGGTTGATTCGCACATGAAAAACACCAATTAGGATTCATGACATGCAACCAGCAACATGTGGTTGATCATGGCAAGTTCGGGGGTCTGAGGGGAGGGGGTGGTTCTAGGGGTTGATTGCTTTTCCATTATTTTCAACCATAGTTCTTTTCAAAATACCGGCTGCTTCCCCTGGGTGGTTGATGGTTTCCTGAAAAGATTCGGATCCCTGGAAAGAATGGAAATGGAAGGTACCCCTAGGTTAGCGTCTCGGACCAAACATCTGCGACTTCTTACCTCGCCTCCCGAGTGGATGGTCCAACAAAACTAGGCCCTCCAATAGAGAGGAGGGAATAGGGGGACCCGATTTTTTCTGTAGTCTAATTTAGTAGGAGAACCCTCCCCCAAAAAGCATAAAAGGGCACTACTGGGGGAGGTAGAAAAAGTCTGAACTGTTTGGTGGCCACTCAAATGGCCTTTCCGAACAAGTATAAAGCGCAGGAACTCTGGAAGTTAGTGACAAGAGCCCCCCCCACGCACTAAGATGGAACCTCATTGAGGCTCTGGAGGCAATGGACCTAACATCAGAGCCCCGTGTTTTGGTGGTTAAGGAGGGGTTTCCCAACAAAAAAACACCAATCCAAACCACCACTAAGGGTTGCCTAAACCTAGCGTTCCGACAGTGAGTATGGAAGCAACAAACATTATGCGTTTTTGGTTTGTAGCCTCCTATACTAAGCACGAGCAAAAACCAAACACACATTCAAAAACAAAAATGCCAACAACTAAACATGAACAGAACCCAAACACACAAAAACACACACACACAGAACAAAAAACAATGCCAACAACAGTGAAGACTTCGAGCCCCTCAAAGGCTCCCTCTCTCCGCAACAAGTGGGCCAACAGAACATCTGGGTGTGTCTTTTGTTGGGAACCCCCCCCCCAAATATATATATATAAATATATATATATATATATATATGTGGTTTTCCTGTTAGTTGCCCCTCAAAACCACAACAAAAACGGGTACCCTCAAACATGACGCCATCTTGTTGAAGAACTTCAACTTGCCAGCGTTCTCAACTTGGAGTTGCACTCATTTGCCCCAAGGACCTGGGAACAAAAGGTTCTCCTTCTGAGATCTTGGCGAAACATGTCGGCCAAAAAGCCCAAAAGGTCCAACGGTCGGCGTGAGTTGACGCGGGAAAACCGAGAGAGAAACCGCCAAGGCGCCATACTTGGCCCGAAGCTTTCGCCAGTGCTCTTTGCCCTTGGTCATCTCCTTCGAGCAAAGCAATCCCACCCTAGCCCCGCCCTCAACCGACCCTAAACCAACCCGAAGCCAACCCGCAGCGGGGGGATTTCGGCCAAGGCCAAGCCCTTAAGGCTTGGGTTGAATAGCAGACCCCTTCCCCCAAGATCCCCAAGGCCCCCCCCTTGAAGGTCCACTGGCGAGTTGAAAGGCGTCAAGCACCAACAACTGGGTTGCTTTTCTTTTTTTGGGCAAAAGGTTTAGCCTTTGGTTGGTTTCATCAGGGGTCACTGGATTTCCGCTTCAAAAGTTGATCAATTACCGGTTTCCATCGAAGCTGCCGCTTTTGCAGCTTCCGAAATGGAGAAAACCCCAGGCCGATTTGTTCTTCTTCCCGGAAATGGCTGGGGGGGTCTGGGGACCCAAGTTTCCCCCTTTTTTCGGGGAAAATGGCTCACCAGACATGGAGATCTCTCCCGGGAAAATTCACCCCGGAGCCATGCAGCACATGCAGCAGCCATGCAGCCCATGCAGCCCATGGTCCTGGCCCTTGGGCATCGGATACTGCGGCATGGCGCTCATCTCCGCCCTGCGGCTGTTGGCTTCGGAACAGGGCTGTGGGG